AACAGGCATAAGACGAGTGAGTGGCGAGGCGAGTGTCTGGTGGCCAGGCCTTAGCCCACGGGGCCCGGCCGGGCTCAGCCCAAAAGGATGACGTGGGCAGGCCCTCCTGTGGACCCACAGAGGGATCCGTGGTGGTGAGGTGCTGATCTGAACCCGAGCGGTGTTCAGATGTTGGATTTCTGTGCTAGCAATAGTTTGTCACAAACACCATGTTCAAGCACAAGGGTGTCCACCAGTGCACGTGGCACCAGGACACCCTAGGCCGGAGGTGGAGGATAGGCTTTGTTGTTGTATCATCTGACCTTCAGCCACATGTCTCGGACATTTGGGTGTAGAGAGGGGCGGAGCTGTCAACCTTTCACATCCTTGGTGTGAGTTGGATCCGCTGGCACGGGAAGAAGCCGGTCAGACCTGGAAGACCCAAGGGTGTAGTAAGGGTCTGCTGGGAACGTCACGCTGAGCCCCCTGTCAGCTCTCACCTCCGGGAGAGCTTCTCCCAGGTCCCGGGGGAGGAGGGGGACATTGAGTCTGAGTGTACCATGTTCTCCATCTCTTTCGCCGATGCGGCCGCTCATAGCCGTGGTCGCAAGGTCTCTGGTGCCCAAACGCAGTGGTGGACACCGGTAGTAAGGGATGCCGTCAGGCTGAAGGAGGAGTTGTGGAGTTGTGGAGCTGTCCAGTACCGGCAGGCCGAGCATGGCGCGGCCCGGGCTGTTGCAGAGACAAAATTCAGGGACTGGGAGGAGTTCAGCGAGTCCATAGAGCATGACTATCAGTCGGCCTCAAAGAGATTCTGGTAAACCATTTGGCGCCTCAGAAAGGGAAAGCAGTTCTTTGCCAACACTGTGAATGGTGCGGGTGGAGAGCTGCTGACTTCGACTGGGGATATTGTCGGGCGGAGGAAGGAATACTTCGAGGTTCTTTTCAATTCCCCCGTCACGTCCTCCGTTCCGGAGACAGAGGCTGAGAATGTTAGGGCGGATGCTTCCCTGGCTGAGATCACCAAGGTGGTTGGCTGCCTCCTTGGTGGCAAAGCCTCAGGATTGAATGAGATCCTTCCTGACTATCTAAAGTCTTTGGATGTTGTAGGACTGTCTTGGCTGACACGTTTCTGCAACATCGTGTGGCAATCGGGGGCGGTGCCAATGGAGTGTCAGTCCCTCTCTACAAGAAGGGGGACCGGAGGCTGTGGGGGGGGGTCCGATTCGTGGACGATGTTGTCCTATTGGCTCCAACGAACCAGGGGTCGAGTTCACGAGTGAGGGAAGGATGGAGCGTGAGATTGACAGACGGATCGGAGCAGCTGCGTAGTGATGCGGTCACTTTATTGGACTGTTGTGGTAAAGAAGGAGCTGAGCTGAAAGGCAAAGCTCCCGGGAGATCCCGGGGAAGACCACGGGGAGACCCAGGACACGCTGGGAGGACTATGTCTCTCAGTTGGCTTGGGAATGCCTTGGGGTCCCCGTGGACAAGCTGGAGGAAGTGTGTGTGGAAAGAAAATGGATGGATGGATGGATGGACGTAGCACACTTTCACACGCAGCTCAAGATCCAGAAGCCCGCCTCTAGGAGGTGATTGACAGGAGAAAGAAACCAAAACAGCGATTCAGTTCACACAACCTTTCCCAGCACATGGTCCACGTCTACCACAGTACCTGTTTGCTGTTTTTGCTGTTTTTCTGCTATTGACAGGAACTAAAAGTGTTAGCATCATGTCAACCCAAAATATCCTTTTGGGTGTAACTTTGTGATTTTGACCCAAAGACTAAGAACACTTCATCAGACTGTTCGTTTACCATGAAACTGGACTTACTCAAAAGTTGATGTTGAAACCTGTGTTATTTCCACAATAAAAAGACGCTAACGCGGAGCCCCAATCTGTCAGTACAATGCAACTAACTTCTGGTATTCTTCTGTGAACTAAATAATTAAGGTCCGATTCTGGAGGGGCTCTGGGCTCTTTGTAAGAAAATGTCATTGTTTGAAAAAGTTTATTCCCAGGTCTGAAAGGATTATGTACTGGTGAAAGCTAAATAGTGTGGTGTTTACAAAGTCAGCGTGAGGCTACGTCACCGTGTGGGTGGGGAGGCGGGCTCACAGGCAGAAGAGCACAGATCCAAGCGTTTGCATAGAGGTGACTCTATGCAAGAAGGGATATCATTTCTAAGAGTGTTGTATGGTGTATTATTATCACACATGTGCTTAGGATGGACTGTGAAAAATAAAGAAAAACAAAATATAGGACCTTTAAAGTTTTAAAATTCTTACCTGTCATTGAAAATTGATCATTTGTTTTGTTATCAATTTTCTGTCACTCGGGACATTTCCTTTGGGAATTGAATAATCATTGACATCACTGTTCCTAATAAAAGTCTTTGTCTTGATTCACTGGGCCAGCATGTAAATAAGAGTGTCAAACTCATTTTCACTGAGGGCAATCAGCATAATGGCTGTTCACAAAGGCCCAGATGTAACCTATAAATTAACTAAATGTAACCAAATGTAAAGTCAAATAAATGTAACTACTCCTGAATGGTAAATAACTCTGATTTTATTTCTTATTCAAGTCCAAAACATTACAGAAAAAACTATGTTTGCTCTGTTGTAACATTCATCCTTTAAATTTGTCAGGTTATGAAACTCACATAACTCCACCAATCAAGGATCAAAACTATCCAAGTGAATAAAGAAAAGTAATCAAACACAAGTTATGGAATTAACTTTGTCAAAGTTAAAACGGGCTTACTAACTGCAAAATCTACAATTGTCAGCTGCATTTTTCAAAAGAAAAAACTGCACAAAGCCTTGCATCCAACTGATGGACTACACCACATCAAAAATGTCCTGTCCCGTCGTGGTCACGTGCATTGTGGCTACATCCAACAGCTCCTCGTTGACGGTGAAATCCACTTTCATCCAGAGCCAATGAAAGAGATGTGTTCCTTAACTCGGCCCGCAAAGGTTTTTCTTGATGTCTGCATCTGTTCGGGACACACCTGCTCTCAGAGCTTTAGCATGCACTGCTTCAAAAACGGCTCTCTGAAAGACCTGGAAACGTAGGTGATTTCATCAGCCACAATAAACATACTACAAAAAAAAAAACTACATTGTTTTTGGCTGAACACGAACTTTGGCAAACTTAGAACGAACACAAAGATGGGAAGGTGTACTTCCCATCTTTTTGGGCACAGTTTTCCATCTTCAACAACTTGTTTTTCTCTTGACATTTTGGAGTGATTTTTTGATGATCAATTCCATCTGTCTGCATTGATGTGGAAACACATTAATGCCAACAGGTGGGGCGGGGAGCCGTTGAAATGTTGTTGGACTAAGTTCATCAGATGTCAGACAGTTCTAGTAGTCTTGTTCTAAACCTGGTGCACTGGTAAGCCTCATGTAGACCATGTCTCAGACATTGACATAATTCCCATGAGCTTTTCCACTTGCTCTTTAGAACTGACCCAACCGTCCGTCATCTGCTTGTGACTGTCCAATAGTCTTTGTTATGACAAGGTGAATACAATTGTTAAGTATAGTTGTTCATAGAGCCTTAGGATTTGGGGTTCACTTTGGTCCTCAATCTATCCACACGTTGGTCCACCATCCTGCGCTTTTTCAGACTTCTTCCTCCTTTGTTTGTAAATATTTCCTGCTGATGAAGGAAATATGTTGCTCTATCTCCCCTTTCTCTTAAAGAGCAGAAAAGTGTACAAAACCTTATCCATTTCTTACTGCAACTCTGGGGATTCAGATGCAGATATTGTGCAATATTAGTCTCTAGTGTATTAATGTCTCCGTGAACCCACAAGCTGAGGACTACTCACCAGCTCGTTGAGGAGCAACTTTGCTTCGGAGAGACGACTGTCGGTCTGTTGGAGTTTGGCAGCCAGAGATTTGCGCAGGTGTCTCTCCTCAGAATACATGCTCCTGTACCTCTGCATGCAGCTCAGTCTGGGTTATGTCCAGATGTCTGATGCTGTCTTGTTCGCTGCAGCGATTCTTGGACACTTGGTCCTCCAGCTCCCTGATTCTGTGCTCCATTTGGGAGAGCAGTGATTTCTGAGAAGTGTTCTGAGTCTGGAAAGAGCGGTTGACCTCGTCCAGTTTTCTTTGCAGCTGTTGCCTGGACCTCTCCTCAACTTGACTGTGCTCTCTTTCAGCTGCCTCCAAGTGAGACCTCAGCTCTTCTTCTGTCCTCTGTCTGTCCACGAGTGAGCGCTTCAGAGATGCCACCAGGTCACCATAGTCCATCTCTAGCTGATGTCGCAGCTGAGTCTCCTTGTTCAGCAGAGCCTGGACATCTTCTCTGCTCTTCTCTTCTCCCATGTCCTTGTCACGGAGCTTCTTTTTGGCCGTTTTGACTAACGTACGCATCCTGCTTACTTCTGTGTGGAGCTCTGAGTTCCTGGTCATCTCGTCTTGCAGACGAGTCTCCACAACGTTTTTCTTCTCCATTATGTGTTTTGTTTTTGTCTTTATAGTATCAACCTTTGAGGAGAGTTGCTCCTTTTCCTTCTCCAGCTCTGACAAACGCAGTCCTAACTTTGAGCATTTTTTCACCTCTTTCTCCCACAATGCTTGGTACTCCAGTCCTTCATGAGACAACATGCTGTCCTTCTGCTTCACTATACTGAGCTGCTCCTCCGAGGAGAATTTACTACTCTGGAGATTTGAGATCAACTCTTGTAGCTGAATCCTTTCCTTAAGAGCTTCGTTTGCCTGTTTTTCTAAAGTTCTCAGTTTGAATGACTGATTCTGTGCTGCTCTCTCTAGTTATGTCTTTTCCATCAACATCCTCTGCACAGTTTCTTCCAGATGTTTTATGGTTACATCAGAAGTAGCTGAGGAGGACAGGTCTGTCTTGAGTGTTTTGGTCTGCTTTTCACTCCCTGTCAGACAGTCCATGTTTTGGCTGAAACAGGTGTGCTCCTTTTCCAGGCTGTTGCAGTACTGATAGTTTACTTCTACAGCAGAAGTATTCTTAGACAGCTTCTTCATGCTTTCAGAGAGCTCTTGCTTCAGCTGGCTCAGACTGGCCTCCATCTCAATCTTGTTCGTCTCTAATCTGCAGAGTTGGTGTTTGAGATCTGTGACCTGACTGAGCAGTCGATTGTTCTCTTCCTGCAGCACCTTCACTTCTCTGTGTCTGTTGCTGTGAGCCTTCTCCAGCTGATGTTGCAGTGACAGACATTCACTTTTTGTCTCAAGTAGGTCACAACACGTGAATACTGCAGATAATACGAGACAAAGCACAGTAGCACAGGGAGGATGTTAGCTTAGCTGCTATTGATAGCTAAATGAAGCTAGCTCACTGTGTACAACAGACAATCAAACATGTACACAGTAAGTAAGTAAGTAAGTAAGTAAGTTTTTATTTATATACCGCCTTTTCACTGCAGATCTGAGTCTCAAAGCGGTTTACAATTGTTAATTTTGGGCATTTGTCTCTCACTCCACACAGAGATGGGAGCGGGGCCAGTACAGGAGGCACATGCCAGAACTATTGGACATATTTTTAGTGGTAGGGGAAACCGGAGTACCCGGAGGAAACCTACGCAGACACGGGGAGAACATGCAAACTCCACTCAGAAAGGCCCTGGTCCGACCGGGATTCGAACCCAGGACTCCTTCTTGCTGACCAGAGAGGCGAGAGTGCTATCCACTCAGCCACTCAGGGTCGAACGCTTCAACACCGAGCCCACCAGCGTCCCCACTAGCTCGGAGGGAAAGAACAGAGAAACCAAACATGTTCAGAGAGCACTTTCCAGATGTGGCTACCCCAAGTGGTCTTTTACTAAAGCCCAAAGGACTAGAAAGGCCAGAGACACAGTCCAACAGACAGAAGAAAGTAGGAGGAGAGGCGTGTCCTTACCGTATGTGGCGGGAGTTTCAGAGAAACTACAAAGAATCTTTAGGCAACACAAAATCCCTGTGTATTTCAAACCTTTCAACACGTTAAGACAGAACTTAGTGCATCCCAAAGACAAAACACCCAGACACAAACAGAGCAATGTGGTGTATTCAATTAAATGTAGTGAAGAGGAGTGCACTGACCACTATATTGGAGAAACCAAACAAACTCTACAGAAACGACTTTACCAACATCGTAGAGAAAACTCTAGTGGGCCACAGTCGGCTGTTCATCTCCACCTCAAGGCCTCCAACCACACGGTGGATGACACAGAGGTTAAAATTCTGGCTCGGGAGAAGAATTGGTTTGAGAGAGGGGTGAAAGAAGCCATTTTTGTGAGGAAACAAAAACCTTCTCTTAACAGAGGAGGAGGGTTAAGATTTGTTTTGCCTCGCATCTATGACGACATCCTAAAAACAACGCCCTAACTTGGGACAAGGTCAGTGACATGCTAATGAGTTAGGAGGGGTGAGACCTGCACTCCACTTGAGCATCCCAGCAGACAATAGGTCTGTGACATGCTAAGGAGTTAGGGTCGTTAGCCTCAGCAGGGTCGTTAGATCTGCTCCCTTCTACATCAAGCAGACCGTAGATTTTTTATGAGTTAGTATCAGGATTAGGGTGTGGCTAACCACACCCATAGGTTATAAATCTCCAACGCGCGGTCCGAGAATTCATTCCCTGAAGAAGTCCGCTAGGTTGAGGACGAAACGTCGGGAAAACTTGCTAAGAAGTACAGATGATGGGTGAGAAACCTTCCTTTGCTATAAGCTTAGTTTAGTTTAGTTTATTCTTGTTTGACACATGCACATTGAAATTCTTTTGTACCTTCAGCAGATGTTCAGTACAGTATTCAGAATCCACAATAACAGAATAATAACAGAAATAGAAACAGAGACCTGTAAGCTGATGTTACAGGTCTGAGTTACTGCAGGAGCAGTCCTCAGTCCTGCTCCTGCCCCTCAGCGCTCAGACCTGCAAACAACAGCTTCGAAATCTCCACAATAACTCTTCCGCAGTCTTGAGTTCAGGTGGTTAGAAAAGTGTATAAAGTGTGCAGAGAGGGGGTTTACATTACCTTAAAACATACAGCTGCTACTTCAAGAATTTTGCATATTGTTTTTTTTCAGATTGTGATAAACAAGGGACCACTGAATTTGAATATTTAATATATAGCCTAATAATAGTTTTTTTTTTTCACAATCCTGCCTACAAACAAACACACAAACAAAGACCTCCCCTGTTGGCGGGATACTATCACATCATATTTGTTTTCTTGCATTTACAGGCATGCTTGATGACAAAAAAAAAAGTCTGATTATTTTCCATCAAGAACAAAACCGTATTGAGATAACCTTTTATTGTCCCACATTGAGTAAATGTCAGCTGTTAATCCTTGTCAGTATCAGCCACCCTACAGTGGGCATCATTGGCATTCTTGTGTCTTTTGTTTCTGCTGCGTTAGAATGGAAATGTCATCTGTCGTCAAGAGAAGTGTCCGCCGCTGAAATGCTCCAATCCCATCACTGATCCACAACACTGCTGCCCTATCTGTAAAGGTCTGGACCATCTCAATGTAGTAATAAAACCCTATACTGACAGCAGTTTTTCGGATCCTATTTTTTATTGTGAATTCAGTAGTGTCACTAAAAACGACAAGGGAGCTGACAAACAGCATGTGTACGGTTTTTTAAAAGTGGTTTTCTCTGTCTCCTACGTATTAAGGGCAAACATAACCCAATGTCTGCCTATCATCAAATCAAGATAAATACTACTTAGGCGACAGTAGCTCAGTTGGTAGAGCATTGGCCTTTGAGCCAGAGGGTCGTGGGTTCGAGCCCGGCTTTCACCATCGACTCCTATTGTCTGCTGTCATTGTGTCCTTGGCAAGACACTTAACCTCTGGGAACACCAGCCACAGTGGGGCGGCTGTAAAGTGCCAAACCGCCGTTGTGTCCTTAGGCAAGACACTTTACCCCCATTGCCTAGAATGAGTCTGGTGTGTGTGTGAATGGTTGGTGGTGGTCGGAGGTGCCGATGGCACATACTGGTTGCCTCGCTTCTGTCGGTGTGCCCCAGGGCAGCTGTGGCTACAGTAGTAGTTCATCACCACGTGTATGGAGTGAAAGCCCACCACAAGACCTACTTCACAACTCCCACAGATGACTGCTGTCATTGTGTCCTTGGGCAAGACACTTAACCCCACTTTGCCTGAGGCCCCTACTGAATAATGAAGGCTCCTGTAGACTCACCACCTGCAGGAGGATAAGTGAGGGGCTGGTGCTATGTGTACTGGGTGCAGCTTTGACTGCCCCTCCCCCGACCCAGAAATGGATTAAGGGGGAGAAAATGAATGGATTTCTTTTGTTGTGAATGTAGAGTTCTCCATCTCTATGTGAACTTTTAGTTTGAAATTGTGTGATACTGTATGTCTTAACTTTTACTCTGCCTTTTTGTTTGTGATGCCAGTGTGCGTGGTGGAGGGCGTGGAGTTTGCTGAAGGCTCGGAGTGGCGTCCTGAGGGCCCCTGTTCTTCTTGCTCTTGTGTTGACGGTGAAATCCGCTGCTCCCAGTCTCGCTGCCCACCCATTGACTGCCTTCATCCCACAAAGATCACTGGTAAAAAAAAACTACTGTCCTTTTATTAGCCACAGTCCAGTTTTTATTAGAAGCACTCTCTCTCCTCTTCCAGGCACCTGTTGTCCAGTGTGCGACAGTTGCACTTATAACCAGCGCATCTATGGCAACGGCCAGAGGTTTACAAGCCCCGAACAGCCCTGCCAAAGCTGCACTTGTCTGGTGAATGAATAGTTTCACATACAGTACACCGGCTTGCCTTTTTGTATCAGAATGTTTTTACTCAACAAAAATAAACACATCAAGGTTTCTTATAATATTTTAGCCTTTTATGCGTTGTCCTTCCTTCAGCATGGAACTGTGGAATGTGAGAAAAGTGCTTGTCCTCCAGTTACTTGCACTAATCCATCCATACCAACTGGGAAGTGCTGTCCAAAGTGTTCAGGTAATTATATGTATTAATTATATGTATGGTTGAACAATGGGAGCATGCTTTAGGAACCCACAACAGCTATTGGGGGTGCACCATATTGTTGTGCAAAGCCGACATGACTTGTTGATTTATGCTGTTTATCTTTGACCCCTCTGGCTAATCTTTCAGAGAGAAACATTTTTTTTTTACTCTCAGTGTTGGTGGTTATTGTCTATTAAATGGGTCTTCTGTTTTCAAATTATGGAATGAAAATTCCATAATTAATCCAGATCAGGAGCATTGGAGAGGTGGCCTGTACAGCCTACAGTTGAATCTAAGAATTATTCTAGCACTTCTCACAGCATTTCCACATTTTTTTTAATTTTGCAAGTAAAATGGTGTGCAGGAATAATTCTTTGATTCAACTCTGTTCAAAGTATGACATTATTGAGCCGCTCTGTGGAGAGGTATAATTTGCATTTACAGGAACCAGAGACTTTTTCCAGCTTTACCATCAGAGAGAATAAAAAACGTCATCCACAACCACCACAAAAGACTCCAAGCTGTCATAGATCTTAAAGGGGCCATACATGCTATCAAGAACTGGGGGATGGACAAATGTGTTGTTATTATGAATCGAAAATATGGCCAAAAAAACAAACTTAGGTTTCTGACAGGGCGTGTAAACTTTCAAGCACATTAAAATGTAGTGTATTAGAAATCTCAATGATACTGATATATCCCAACTGTCACTGGGACAAAAACAGGTTCTCTTATCATCAGTAGAATTATGGTCACAAAAGCAAAAGTGTCTGTTCAGACTGCAGTTCTTTGGAGCAAATATGAAATACCTTCTCATTGCTGCTAAATAATCTGCCCATCATATAAAGCCTATGTTTTATGATAGGCAGGTGGTGGTCAGAGTGGCCAGAGCCAGGGGCAGCAATCACCATATCCTCACCCTGACAAAACTTTTGTGCTGATTCTCTCATGATCACAGACTGCTCCTTTGAGAACCGCGTGTTTGTGGACGGCGAAGCCTTCTCCAACCCCCTGAACCCGTGTGAGGAGTGTAAATGTAAGAATGGCCAAACAAACTGCTACAGAAGGGACTGTCCAGCTCCACAATGCAATGCTCCGCTGCCTGGACAGTGCTGCAACACCAACTGCGATGGTCAGAAACATTCACATCGATCCAACCCTTAGCGGCCTCTAAAGCTCTGCTCTGATTTAGGCTGTAGTTATGCTGGGAAGGACTACCCCAACGGTCAGGAGTTTGGTCACCCCACGGACCAGTGTCGCTCCTGCACCTGCACCGTGAGTAACCATCAAGTCTTGTGTAATATGGGTTTAGTTTCCTGTTATTGTTAGAATGTCATTACCAAAAACTGTAAAACACAAAATAGTGGGTCAGAGCTAAGACAGAAGACTGTAGGGTCAGACTCCTGGAGCTGGGGAGAATAATTAGAAGACAGACAAAATAGTTTGTAGTGATGGTGATGTACCTTATGTTGTGGAAAAGAATATTCACATATTTACAAAACAAATAAACCAAATAACATTTCCAATTGAACTGCAGTATTGATAGTTTAAGAAGTACTGAGTTCTTGTTTCATTTGGTTTCTGTTCAACAAGAGTCCATGGTGATTTCCCCTACCACTAAAACCATGCACAATACAGTAGGTAAAAATCTCCAGCTCCCAGGCTCTGTACTACTGCGACCACTGCTCCTTATAGACGATGAATTGCCCTACGGGGTTAAATAAAGTACACATTAAAACAAAAACAAAAGAAAAAGTAATCCAGTATTCAAGGCAAATGACACCTCACAAATTAAAAGAGTTTGATGTTTGAGTCCATTGTGGTTATTGTTCAAAGGTGGCCATGTGTCAGTGAGGAGCAGTTTCTTGTGTTGTGATTACAGAATGGAAATGTGCAGTGTCTGAAGAAAAGGTGTTCCCCGTTGCCGTGCTCGAAGCCTACTCTTCAACCCGGAGAGTGCTGTCCAAGGTGTCCATGTGAGACCTACACACATCTACTGTTGAGTTTAGGGAACTTTTTTCAGTATTTCCAAGGCTTATAATTGTCTCATTCTTCAAACAAAATCATTGTGTGGTGGGTAGATAGACCCTTTCATTTTGCCTTCACATTGACACACCGAGGGCTCAAATGGTAGTAAAGGTAACATACTTCATAGTGTAAATCTGTCAATCATTCTTTCAATCTCTCAATCTTTCATATTCTATAAAAAAATAGCTAAATATAGGTAAATATCTCAACTATCGAGATTTTTTGTATCTATCAATAAAATAAAAGTGGCCAAACATGTGCAAAAGCCAGATCCCGTCAGACCTCTGAAGCTTTGCAGGGCAAAGCCTGGTTAGTACTGTGATCTCTGGGAACACCAGGTGCCACTGTGGGGCGGCTGCGGCTGCCACGCACACACACATACAAGTTCAAACACACTCTCACCCAACACCTCTCACTCTCTTTCCTTCACGTACTTCCTCAGTAGTTGTTTAAAAAAAAACAAAAAAAAACAAGTTTCGAAAATAGTTTTAAAATAATCTATTCATCTGTTTCAAAAAGTAGCTCTAAGTATTTTTCATCACAAGTATGTAAACCAGTACAACTATATCTTGGTTGCTTTTCAGTTCAATATTTCATCAAGAGTTTTGTGCAACTTTTTAAAAACTTTTTTATGCAGCTCCGCTTTCTGATTGCACATATGAACACCGCTCATACCGACATTCTGAGCACTTCCACCATCCTACTGACAGCTGTCAATCATGTCTCTGCACCAATGGGAGTGTCCAGTGTCAGCACAGACCCTGCCCCTTCGCCTCCTGCTCTCACCCCATCGCACGTGACTGTTGTCGGAGCTGCGAGGGTATGTCCTCTACGCAATTTCTTAAAAACTGCCGTACTTGCATGTGAAAGCCATATCTCGTCAGAACTCTGAAGCTGTGCAGGGCAGGGGCTGATTAGTACTTTGATGGGAGACCTCTGGTGCCCCAGTGGGGGCGGCCGCGGCTATATAGTGTCAAACTATTGTTGTGTCTTTAGGCAAGACACTTAACCCACATTTCCTAGAATGAGTCTAGTGTGTGTGTGTGTGTGTGTGTGAATGGTTGGTGGTGGTCAGAGTCCAGTATGCAACCAGGAGGAGCAGCACAGATTCGACCCCTTTCCTCAAGCGAGTTCAGTCTTAACCTGAAGATTTGAGGAAATGGGTGGAGTCTGCTCTGCTCCTCCTGTGGCTGATATAAAACCCGCAGCCACAGCAGCCCTTTATGGACCGGTGTAACGCCGAGATACACTTCCTTGAAGAGATGCACTTCCCCAGCTGTTTATGATGTAATGCAAACCTGCGCATGCGCGTCTCACGGCAACCGAAGCATACCAAGATGGCGGACCGTGAATTGCTTTAAAAGTTGAAATACGAACGAATTAAGACACGAATGTCACTTTTAATGCAATTTGAGGCGAGATGTTGATGGTTCCGTTTTGTCACATGTGGGTTTTAAGAGTCAAAGTTTTGTGCAAAGTTTAGTTTAAGCAGTCAACTGCGCCTGTGAAACCACAAAGCTAATGTTTTCATAGCAGTCCGCAGCTGCTGACGTAGGCTGATGACGCGTCCTGTGGCAACTCTACACTCTACACTGGTCTGTCGGGTTGATAATGGAAATAATACATTTAATTCAATACATGTATCGTACTGTATTTAATATGATTAACAATAGTGTGTTCAAACAAAATATTTAATTAGATTGATTTTTTTCCCCATTTTCCATTATCAACCCGACAGTGATTGTGGCCCTCCCAAAAAACGGTATGTGAAGCATGTTTCTACCTTTTCACTTGAATGTCGATTTGACTTTTCAAATATCACATCAAGGTCATCTGATCAGGGTGTACAAACATTGTAAATGGTTCCCATTCTTTCACAAACCCGACAGACCAGTGTAAGAGTGTAGAGTTGCCACAGGACGCGTCATCAGCCTACGTCAGCAGCTGCGGACTGCTATGAAAACATTAGCTTTGTGGTTTCACAGGCGCAGTTGACTGCTTAAACTAAACTTTGCACAAAACTTTGACTCTTAAAACCCACATGTGACAAAACGGAACCATCAACATCTCGCCTCAAATTGCATTAAAAGTGACATTCGTGTCTTAATTCGTTCGTATTTCAACTTTTAAAGCAATTCACGGTCCGCCATCTTGGTATGCTTCGGTTGCCGTGAGACGCGCATGCGCAGGTTTGCATTACATCATAAACAGCTGGGGAAGTGCATCTCTTCAAGGAAGTGTATCTCAGCGTTACACCGGTTTGGACACCGGCATCACATGTGATGCTGTAGACTCTGTTAAAACTGTCTACCAAACTGAGATGTAAATGTTTTTTGGCAGGTTGTTTGGTTATTGGAGCAGAGAGAGCTAACGGGGAGACTTGGCAAGACGTGGCTGACCCCTGTGTGGAGTGCACGTGCCGGTACGGCTCTGTGGCCTGTGAGAAGAAGCGCTGTCCCCCGTCTCACTGTAAACACCCCGTACAGAGAGGCTGCTGCATGTCTTGTGACGGTGAATGTCCAAATACACACTCTACATACAGTTCAGTGGCAACAAGTGTTTGTAAGATACTGCAGACTAGAACTAGACCAGAAAAAAATAAAATACTACAATTGAATAAGCTAATACTTAGATGTTTATTATTACTCAGTCTTAAAACAAGATTTACCAATGGGACAGGCAGTTTATTATTATTTCAAGTGCAGTTGCAATTTATTTCCCATTCCAATGAAAACATCTTGACCAATCCAGACAATTCAATCCCACGAGTTCCAGGCCTACACATCCAATCATGAAGCAAGAGTGCCCCTTCTGTCTAAATGCTCCCATTTTAAAAGTCTTCAGATTATCACGACTAAGCCTTTCCCTATGTATTATTATTTCTTATTTTTGAAGTATCACAATAATTTCAATTAAATTGCAGCATGTTTTATTTTGAATTTTAATTGATGTGTACACATGGAATTCAGAAAATTAAAATGTTGTCCAAAACTTGATTTATTTCAGTAATAATTTAATTTATAAATAGAATATAGAATGAGAAGTATAATGTGGGATGATTACCAGCTCTGAGCCAATCATCAACATTATAACAAACAAAGGTTTGAAATAGCTCACGCTGCATGTAAGTGAATCAACTTTTTCTGAGATTCGCCTGTACTTTCCCTCTAAATGTGAGTGTGTCTCTTTCTACTATTTTTATGTTTGTCTATTTGTCTATTTGATTGTTTTCAATTTCACATTATAAAATACTAAATACCAAAGTAAATATCTCAGCTTTATTTGTATAGCACATTTACAACAACACCAGCGGGCCAAAGTGCTTCACGGGCCCGAAAGATAAAAAATTAAAAGCAAACAGCATAAATTACATACAAATATGGATATGTGTTCTTCATGTCTCCTCATAAGTGTTTTCGTTTCTCTTCCAGGATGCGAGTACAAGGGAAAAGAATACCCAGACAGCTTTGAATTTGCAGAGGATCATGACCCCTGCAGTGTGTGTCGATGCTTCAGAGGCGAGGTGGTCTGCTCCCACGTCCCCTGTTACGAAGAGTGCACCCACCCACACACTGCCCCAGGACAGTGCTGTGCCCAGTGTGACCGTAAGCCTCGTATCATTCATCACTACCATCACTTTCAATTTCAATTAAATGCAATTCAATGTATTCTTGTATCGCCCTAAATCACAACATTAGAGGACTTTACAAAACTGTTGAATTCACCAACACAGATCATAGAATCAAACAGTTCAAACACAAGAAATTAGATAGAAAACCCTTTGGTATTGGTCCATGGACAGATGACCAATGTCCATGATTTTTGATAAATGTCCAAAAATGTTTTTTGATGTTGAGTGTCCTGGATCATCACCACAGTGCTGTTTGTTAGACCCTTGTTAGACTTTGTCTGTCATCTTAAAAGAATCCTGCTTATTAGTGGTGGGGGAAAAAATCGATTCCTTTCATTATTGTGATATTTTGCGAATGCTATTAAAACAAATGTTAAGTAATGCAATAATTAATTAAATTTTTATCTGTTTCACTTTTATGTTTTCTCTAAGTTTACTGTAATTTACATCTGAAATGTATGTTACTTTATAATTTCTGCTTTGTGTGTCTCTAGTTCAGAGGTGTCAAGCTCATTTTTGTTGGGGGCCAAGTTTAAAAACATAAGAGTTGGTTGGTGCGAAAAGTATAGCAGTGGTTTGATATTTTTGACGTGGGTTTGGATAATATTTTTTTGTAGGTTTGGATTCAATCATAACTGGGCCTAATACATAAATGATATTGAATTGTGGCCCAAATATCCTGATACTATTGAATCGCCACATTTTTGCCGGTTCCCATCCCTACTGCTTATCCTTCCCAGGTTGTCTCTATAACGCTGCAGTCCTGAGTAACGGTCAGACCATTCCAGACCGAGATAATCCCTGCTCCCAGTGCACTTGTCAGGTAAATGTGTTTTAACTTTTCATTTGTGTTTTAAGTGGGTCTATTTAAGAACCTATTTTGTCATGCTGCCTACAGAGCGGGTCAGTGCGATGTGAGAGGAAAAGTTGCCCTCCTGCATATTGTCGTCATCCTGCTCCAGATCCATGTGGATGTCCCGTGTGCCATGGTAAAACACAAACAAAAGAAAGTTAATTCGTTTTTTTCAAAAATTGTGTTTAATAAATGAACGGATTTGACGCATGTGCCGAATGACCTGTCCATGCATCCCATAATAACACTCAGAGTGTGAGAATGCGACGATTAATTACAATTAATTAATTATTAAGCTGTAATTAACTCGATTAAAAAATGTAATCGTTTGACAGCCCTAATATATATATACAGTATATATATCAATTTCTAGGTAGTCAGAATGTCATTGAGTACATTTTCGCAGCACAGGTGAAAACTGGATTGTCAAATTTTCTTTGCTTGAACAAGACACATGTAAACTTGGGCGTGCAGAAGTGTGAGAAGTCCATTTGGAGACGAACAGAATCAAATAATTTATTCTCAGTTTTTTTCCACCATGTTAGAACATAAATTGGATACTACTGAGAAAAAGGCCAGCAGATGCATTGAAGAGCACAGGGGGAAGACATGCTTATATTTTAACTATAGGCTGTGTTTGTTCAGTTTTTTTGTTTGTTTTTGTTTTTAATTTAATTATTCTACAGAAATTCACTGGTGAGCATGTAGGAATGTAAAATTCTCAAAGTAAACAAAATGTCTGATTAAGTTTGTAAAAACTTGCTATTTATGTAAAATCAAATCAGGTTTTTGTTGTACAGCCTAAAATCCCAGCTATCATCTCAATGGAGTTTACAATTTTCTTCCCAATACCAGAAAATCAAACTATTAAAACAATTTAACCCAGTGGGGGTCTAGAGATCTGTAGGCTATGCAGGGCTGGGCCTGGTTAGTACTGTGATGGGAGACCTCTAGGAACAGCAGGTGCCACAGTGGGACGGCTGCGGCTGTAAAATGCCAAACTGTTATGTCCTTAGGCAAAACTCTTCACCCGCATTAGAATGAGTCTGGTGTGTGTTTGAATGGATAGTGGTGGTATGGGCCATGGTTGCCTCGCTTCTGTCAGTTTGTCCCAGGGCAGCTGTGGCTACAGTAGAAGTTCTTTCACCACTGTGTATGGAGTGAAATAATAATGACATCTAAAGCACCTTTGAGTGTCCCGAAAAGCGCTATATAAAACCGATGCATTAGCATTATTATTATACAGACAGAGATGGAACAATATATTTTCCCTAAAATAAATTCTGCCAAGGTCAATAAAAACAAAGGAAGGGTATGCAGGTATTTTTCAGATCATGAAGTCATTATCTGCTGGTGCTACCTGCTCGCCTCCAAGGAGAAAGGAAAGATTCATTAATTAAAGATGATGTAGTGCGCATGTAAACAGTGGGCGCTGTAGAGAACAGCAGGTTGTTTGCTTTATCCAGATTTCCTTCTTTGATCACAGTGTGTGGTGAGCTGCAACATCCATCATAACAAAACAGATTAGAATACATTGCTCAACATACTCGTAATTGGAATATTGATTGATGACATTACATGAACCAGACTATTTCCTGTCTCTGTTTCTCAGGATGCATGTACCAAGGGGTGCCCTATGTAGAAGGCCAGACTGTGACAGGGGGTAACGAAGGTTGCCAGGAGTGCACCTGCAGGGTAAGAGTGATTCTTCTCCAAGTTCACTCCCCCATCTTATCCTGTGTTTGTGCTGCCCGCAGAGGGGGACTGTAGAGTGTGTCGAGAGGAGGTGTCCTGCCGTGTCCTGCCCTCACCCTGCTCTGGACTCCTGTGGCTGTGGGGAGTGTGAGGGTTGTAACTACTTTGGACGTGACTGCTACAGCGGAGAGAGGTTTCCACATCCTACAGACCACTGCCAGCTCTGCTCCTGTCTGGTATCATGACTTTTGTTTGTTTTTGTACTTTTTGTTCTTGAAACATTCACCTCGTCCACCTAAACCCTTTAATGGTTTCCTCAACCATTTGGTAGATCACTTTTTGATTCACTATATCTACCTTAAGCTTGCTTTGAACCGAAGTCTTTGTCTTTGGAGCATCTCACTTGGTTTTTAGGCACTTTTTTCCATCAAACTGCATCTGAGCCATTTGGTAAAGGCCAATAATAAAAAAAAAAAAAATAGGGTAAAAAAACAACATAATTTTTTTGTGTTTTAGTGTCCTACAACTTAGAAAATATGTTGCTTTCTTCAAGGAGTGAACATTAAAGCGTTCAGTTAAATTGAATCCGGCCATTAGTTGTAGTTGCCCTCTTGTGGTGTGCCAGAATGTATATACGGTGGCTCTGTATAACCCTCTGTATTCACCTTTTTTAGATAATTTACCTTTGAGATTGTTCTATATTTTGTTTTCAGGCATGAATTTAGGGCTGGGCAATAAATCGAATTTAGGCAATTAATCGGCTTTTGAAAAAATCGAATTTGTGAAAAATATGAAAATTGTGAAATCGAATGAAGGATATTGTGAGAGTTCCAGCAGCACATGAATTATAATTGTAATATCAGCACAGTCTGTACAAGACTTTTATAATATGTATTGGGGGAAAGAAATTAAAAACATATTTTAAACTTGAATATTGAGCGGAAAGATCAAAACATATTTTTAAGGGAAAAGTCTGTCTTTGGTGACTTTAATGAAAATCGATTTAAAATCGAAATTGTCCAAAGCAGGAAATAAAATTGAGATTTAACTTTTTTGCCATTTCGCCCAGCCCTACGTTCATTTCTTTCTGTTGAATTAATGATTGTGTAGGACCCTGAGGAGCATTTGTCTCTCTTTCTCTCTTAAATTTGGGAATATTTACTAATTTAATCTACATTGCATTCTGCTACTTTAGTTAACATAAAAAAACTAAGAAGGCCTAAAAATGCTTAAAGAATTGTCATAGTTTGAGCTCAAAGGGCCAGATGGACAAAGGGCCAGCTCTGACCACGCTGGGCCTTTCTGTGTGGAGTTTCCTTGTTCTCTCCTTGTCTACATTGGTTGTCAAGGGTACTTGGTTTCCTCTGGTTTCCCTGACCACTAATACTGTATACAATGGTACTACAGATAAAATATAGCTTTAAGCTAATTATGGTATTTACAGCAGTAGGTGTTCATTTCAGAATCAGAATCAGAATCATTTTTATTTCCACGTAAGTAACAAAGTTACCACTTGGAAATAGTTTTGGCAGGCGTGCTATTATATAACGCTGTCCCATTCAACTAAATGAATAAATACAAATTTGATTTGAGACAGTTCCTGATATTAGTGTGGATGGAGGTACAATTAACTAATTAAAAATCTAACTGTACATGCGCTTAGAGTCTTGCTTAGGTGGTCAGTTGGGATAAAATAGAAGTCTAATTGAGAAATGAACATAAATATAACTCACCCGTTTTCTCCACAGAGTGGTGCAGTGGCTTGTGCCCATGTGCCCTGTCCCACTGTGACCTGTAGACACCCGGTGACCTCGCCTGGAGAGTGCTGTCCCATCTGCACAGGGGGCTGCCTCCATGAGGCCAGAGAACACCTGCATGGCTCCAAGTTCACCCCACAGTCTGACTCATGCTCCATCTGCTCCTGTTCAGTCAGTCACACTCTCACTCTACGGCTTTGTCAATGTCATTAACAGTATTAACATTGCAATTATGGGTATTCAACATCAAATCCTTTGCTACATTGAACTTGCTATTCTCAAGTACAAGCACCTTATTGTTATTGATTGGTATTTGCTTTTAATTTATATTGTTGGCTTGAAACAACTAAGGCTGCTTGTTCTTTGGGGATTTGTTCATTTAAGACGTCACTTTAAGATCTTGTTGATTTTTAACCTTTCAGAATGAAGTGGTGAGCTGTGAGAAGAGGCCCTGTCCCGTGCAGTGTTCCCACCCGGTGCCCTCTGACAACTGCTGTCCTGTGTGCGACTCGTGTCTGTACGAAGGCTCGCTCCGTCCTCAAGGCTCCACGTTCACCCCCTCTGAGCCCTGCCAGCGCTGCACCTGCGTCCAAGGCTCCGTCACATGCACTGCCCTGGTCTGCCCCAAAGTGCACTGCTCCAGACCTCACATCAAGCCCGGACACTGCTGCCCAGAGTGCCCAAGTAAAGACCTGCTCTTGTACTTACTAATAATAGAACCAAATAGGCAGGAAAATCTTGTAGGCAGAAAGTCTGGTTGCAGGTTCAAATTCAATTATTACCTGCTTTATATTGTTTTTAGGGAAATCGAGATATGATTAATAATAACTGAGTGCAGGCGTCTAATTTTAGAAGGAAAGTACGGCCCTCACTTTTGATTGCTTGTGAGGCAAATGGATTTAAAAAATGGTGGTATTTACTATGTCTGCTCCTTTCTACAGTGTGTTGTGGGCAGTGATGGGAATAACGGCGTTACTAGTAACGGCGTTACTAACGCCGTTACTTTTTTCAGTAACGAGTAATCTAACTAATTACTTTGACAGTAACTATAACGCCGTTATCATTTCCGACATCCCGTTACTGCGCGTTACTCAAGACGCACAATGAACGTGTTGTCATGAGAGAAGGGAGGATGAGAAAACCTCTCAGCAATTATTGGCTGATGTAAAACATATTTCCTTTACAATCCACATGTCTACAGTTGAGAGGATGGCTCATAAATTGTGTTTTTGAAACAAATTTGGGTCTTAATCGCGCTCAACCACGGCTTGTATCACCGTGAGGTCAGCCACAGAGTAACGCATGTGAGCGCAGAAGTCGGCTGCATACAATTCCATCGATAAGCTCCTTGCTCTTCCTGGTTTATCTGCTAAGGACAGCAGCAGGTTTGGCTAACATACATATAACACATTTTTACATAATCTAAAATGCACATAGGGTAATTTTTCAATTACTATAGGAATGATAAGAAAGAGGTGAAGTGTAAGACGGTTGATTTTAGAAATTGGATGCACTCGGCTGCCGCTAGCAAAACACAGGAGTTTATGGAGGAGACACGCGTTTTGTTTTACTTTTTAAAACTCATTGGACTCATTTCCAAATGGAGGATTACATATCTACGCTCAAACCATTAACTGGATTTAAACAAGGAACTGGTCTGAACCGAAGTGGACTGTGCAGGTCATCTATAAGGTAAGACCCATAACTCATAGTTTTGCGTTTTGTATGAACAAATAATGCGGGCATAAAACATCTTTTGCTGTAGCCAAACAAACTGTCCACTTGATTTATATGATATATATGTTCATCTGATTGGGCTGAAGTCAGTGCTTCACCAGCCTCACCGCTCGTCACCGGTGTTTCCACATTCACAGTGGAGCGTGTTGGTGTTTAGTGCTTACAGCACAGTGAGAGATGAAGAGTGAACAGGACTTCAGCAGCAAAACAGCCTTTTCTAGATGGAAATATTGGCACTGTTAAAGGTAAAAATGCGCACGTCGGGTGCACATTATGTTCCAGAACAAAACAAAAAAGTAACGCAATAGTTACTTTTACTGGTAACTAGTTACTTTTATAGTGGAGTAACTCCGTTAGTAACTCAGTTACTTTTTGGGAGAAGTAACTAGTAACCATAACTAATTACTTTTTCAAAGTAACGTGCCCAACACTGGTTGTGGGAATGCTTATCATTCAAAAGTAGTTAATTATAATGGCAAGCTGAATGTTTGTACAAATTACTAGTGTAATTTTCTTGTTTTCCTTTTAGTCTGTGTGTCAGAGCAGAAGAAGTACAGAGAAGGACAGACGTGGACGCCCTTCTCAAACCCCTGCTCCAGCTGCACATGCAAGGTCTGAGTAATATCACTTCTTCAAAACAGCAAAGTTACTGCTAATATTATTGTAAAAACTGAAGGTAGGTCAGTGTTATAGGCTGTCATAACATCTTGTACTATTTATCATCTGCAGGCAGGTGAAGTCCAGTGTGTGTCTCCCGATTGCCCCAAACTGCCCTGTCAGAACCAAGTGACTGACCCTGGAGAATGCTGCCCCCGCTGCAGAGGTAAATCTGGCATCAATGTTTCTACAGCAAACAAAGTCTCTTAAAAACCAAACATACAAAGCGTGTAAAATCACAGTTTTTACCATGGTTGGTTTTTGTCTCATTTATACACTCAAGCCATAAGGGGAAACATACACATCTACATGAAGTTTATTCTATCAAACTCCAGAGGACTGTACAAAGTCACACTTTTACATCTGGAGATGACCAACATGCATGTCCCAGTGAGTGTTGTTGCATCACGCTTGACCTTGGTAAGGTCTCCTAAATACACATATGGTCTCTTTCTTGGAGGAACAGTATACAATGCTGTATGTATCCAATTACAATAAAAAGCTTCAAGAGTGTGGTGTACAGAAAAGCAAAGACACAGAATATTATCAAATTGAAATCATGAAAACAAATATATCATGGCGTTGTGGACCACAAACACTGCAGTGGCCACACCCGCCCCCCTGAAAACCCTGCCTACAGTCACGTCTCGCCCGGACTGTACTGACTGTACGCAAATTATACAGTCTCTCCTCAATTAAGTTAAATTAAATTAAATTAATTTTTGTATTGCTCTAAATCACAACAGCAGTCACCTAGGAGGACTTTACAAAGTTGTTTATTTGCCAACAAGAGATCAGAGAATCTTATAGCTTACAGCAGTCTCCTGAACTCGAAGCATGTTAGATGCAGATAAGATTTTATCTAAGTCCTAGCAAGGTGTTTTTATCAACTAAGGCTCTGTTTATATATATATATATATATATATATATATATTAGTGCTGTCCAACGATTAAAATATTTAATCGCGATTAATCGCATGAATTTCATAGTTAACTCGCGATTAATCGCAAATTAGTCACACATTTGTGTGGGTGTGTGTGTGTGTGGGTGTGTGTGTGTGTATGTGTGGGTATAGACCATAGACCAGGGGTGCTCACACTTTTTCAGCATGCGAGCTACATATAAAAGGATCAAGTCAAAATGATCTACCTACTAGAAAAATGCAAATCATATATTTCAAAAAATATTCTTTATATCTACAATGTATGTTTATGTACATGCAAAACCGCATGAGCCAATATAGCACAACACAACACAATTACCTATGTACATTTTTTGTCATTACCCGAGTTTACTCTTATGACTTGCACTGAATTGAATCGGCCAGGGATGCATAGTCCGGAAAATTGGTGGTAACTCGCTGACAAGTTTGTCGTGGTTTAGCTTTCCTGCACTGAGCGCGGTTGTTTGCGCATGTGCAGTCACCTAAGTGTCAGTAAAACATTACTGAGTAAAACACAGATGTCATTTGACTGTGGTGCCATGTCCATGTGCCATGCCTGTTTTTTTAAAATCCAAATATTTCCCCTCCTCCGTTTATAAAATAATTTGCATCCACACATCTGCGTTATCAATCACATTCGTAACATTCCAAACAAGTGCGTCTCTTACGTCCTGTCCTGCGTTGGGGAAAAACACAGAAGTGGGCGGAGTTCTGATGCCTGGTTTGGTCCTGGTTTGGTTGTTTTCGAGCGTGAGTCCCCGTGATCACTTTGCTGCTCTCTGATGTGGAGCGAGGATGTTTGCTGCTGCGAGCATCTCACAGCGAACAGTTTTTAAGGTAGTATGATCCATGCTTCAGTGATCAGAGGAATTTAGGGGGGTACTGTGTCGTGCGAGAACGCAAAACTCTGGTTATCTCTGTCTACACACAAATGCATTAACGGAGTTTTCAAAAATCTCCACTTTGCCCGGAGTTTTTTGTATATATTTGTTTAGAATGTGTAATTTTTTATTTATTTAATGCGATCTACCAATACTACCTTTGCGATCGACTGGTAGATCGCGATCGACGTATTGAGCACCCCTGCCATAGACTGTATAGAAACATAACATTTGATAATGACACCATGATGTGTATAGAAACATCATGGTGTCATTATGATGATGATAAACAATCTGTAAATATTTTGTACATTTGTTCATGTAAATACTCTATGCTGTTTCTCTGTTTACTTTCGGTATATCTATGACTGTATACTGTTTGCTTGTATTGCCTTTTTTATTAACCCCTACCCCCCATCTCCCACTTCATGTCGCCCCCCCCCTCCTATGTGCCCTTCTGGGTTTCTTTTTTGGCCCCCTGTATCTCCAACTACATATTGTTTGTAATCTCTGTCTACAATGTATCTGAACTAGTCCTTTTCTTTGTTTCTATTTTTTTTTCTGTATATGTGTTTGTCTGCAATAAAAAGTAAAAAAAAAAAAGAAATTATCGCGTGATAAATAAAATGACGCCGTTAATATTGATTTGCGTTAACGCGTTAATAACGCGATATTTTGGACAGCACTAATATATATATATATCTACCTACTATAGATATATATATATATATATATATATATATATATATATATATATATATATATATATATATATACAGTATATATATATATATAGACCCTCCACCAGAGCCTCGGTGAGTGGGGACTGTGTTCTCCCAAAATTTACAAAATCTTTTGGACAGTCCAGTTTCTCTTTTAATGGATCCAGACTGTGGAACTCTCTGCCCACTGATTTAAAACTGCAGACTGACATGAACAGTTTTTACAGAGGTCTGAAATAATGGCTGAAGTCAAGTCAAAACTGCTCACATGGTAACACTGTATGAAATGTATACTGATGATGTGTAATTGTGTATTGTTTACCTTTTTAAATATTGTACTGTATTGTATTGTGTTTTTTGAAATGTGTAGCCTCCTATGGACAGGTGTTGCAAATTAGCAGTTTTGCTATAACACTGGAAACAATGTATCTGGTTTGTCCATATCATCCATCCATCCATCCATTTTCTTCCGCTTCATCCGTTGCCGGGTCGCGGGGGCAGCAGTCTAAGCAGAGACGCCCAGACTTCCCTATCCACACACACCTCCTCCAGCTCGTCCGGGGGGACTCCAAGGCGTTCCCAGGCCAGCTGAGAGACATGGTCCCTCCAGCGTGTCCTGGGTCTTCCCCGGGGCCTCCTCCCGGTGGGACATGCCCGGAACACCTCCCCAGGGAGGCGTCCAGGAGGCATCCGGAACAGATGCCCGAGCCACCTCAACTGGTTCCTCTCGACGTGGAGTAGCAGCGGTTCTACTCCGAGCTCCTCCCGTGTGACTGAGCTCCTCACCCTATCTCTAAGGGAGCGCCCAGCCACTCTGCGGAGGAAGCTCATTTCGACCGCTTGTATCCGCGATCTTGTTCTTTCGGTCATTACCCAAAGCTCATGACCATAGGTGAGGGAGGGGACGAAGATTGACCGGTAAATTGAGAGCTTTGCCTTTCGGCTCAGCTCCCTCTTTACCACAACGGTCCGATACAGCGACCGCATCACTGCGCACGCTGCACCGATCCGCCTGTCAATCTCACGCTCCATCCTTCCCTCACTCGTGAACAAGACCCCGAGATACTTGAACTCCTCCACTTGAGGAAGGGCCTCTCCACCCACCCGGAGAGGGCAAGGCACCTTTTTCCGGTCGAGCACCATGGCCTCAGATTTGGAGGTGCTGATTCTCATCCCAGCCGCTTCACACTCGGCTGCAAACCGTCCCAGTGCATGTTGTAGGTCCTGGTTCGTTGGAGCCAACAGGACAACATCGTCTGCAAACAGCAGAGATGAAATCCTGTGGTCCCCGAACCGGACCCCCTCCGACCCTTGGCTGCGCCTAGAAATTCTGTCCATGAATACAGTGAACAGAACCGGTGACAAAGGGCAGCCCTGGTGGAGGCCAACATGCACCGGGAACAGGTCTGACTTACTGCCGGCAATGCGCACGCAGCTCTGGCTCCGGTCATACAGGGACCGGACGGCCCTCAGCAGAGGACCCCGGACCCCGTACTCACGGAGGACCCCCCAAAGGACACCCCGGGGAACACGGTCGAACGCCTTCTCCAAATCCACAAAGCACATGTGGACAGGTTGGGCGAACTCCCATGAACCCTCGAGTATCCGATGGAGAGTGTAGAGCTGGTCCAGTGTTCCACGGCCGGGACGAAAACCACACTGCTCCTCCTGAATCCGAGATTCGACCATCGGCCGTAACCTCCTCTCCAGTACCTTGGAGTAAACCTTATCAGGGAGGCTGAGGAGTGTGATCCCACGATAATTGGAACACACCCTCCGGTCCCCCTTCTTGTAGAGAGGGACCACCACCCCGGTCTGCCACTCCATTGGCACCGCCCCCGATCGCCACGCGATGTTGCAGAGACGTGTCAGCCAAGACAGTCCTACAACATCCAGAGACTTTAGATAGTCAGGACGGATCTCATCCACTCCCGGCGCCTTGCCACCAAGGAGGCTGCCAACCACCTTGGTGACCTCTGCCAGGGTGACAGAAGTATCCGCCCCAACATCCTCAGCCTCTGCCTCCGGAGCGGAGAACGTGACGGGGGGATTGAGGAGAACCTCAAAGTATTCCTTCCACCGTCCGACAATATCCCCGGTCGAGGTCAGCAGCTCACCCCCCGCACCGTACACGGTGTTGGCAAAGAACTGCTTCCCCCTCCTGAGGCGCCGGACAGTTTGCCAGAATCTCTTCGAGGCCGACCGATAGTCATGCTCCATGGACTCTCCGAATTCCTCCCAGTCCCGGGTTTTTGCCTCTGCAACAGCCCGGGCCGCGGCACGCTTGGCCTGCCGGTACTGGACAGCTGCCTCAGGAGTCCCCCGAACCATCATGGCTCGATAGGACTCCTTCTTCAGCCTGACGGCATCCCTTACTGCCGGTGTCCACCACCGGGTTCGGGGGTTGCCGCCGGGACCAGCACCAGAGACCTTGCGACCACAGCTACGAGCCGCCGCATCGGCGATAGAGGAAGAGAACATGGTCCACTCAGGCTCGATATCCCCCTCCTTCGCCGGGACCTGGGAGAAGCTCTCCCGGAGGTGTGAGTTGAAAGTCCGTCTGACAGGGGTCTCAGCGAGACGTTCCCAGCAGACCCTCACTACACGCTTGGGTCTGCCAGGTCTGACCGGCTTCTTCCCCTGCCAGCGGATCCAACTCACGACCAGGTGGTGATCGGTTGACAGCTCCGCCCCTCTCTTCACCCGAGTGTCCGAGACACGCGGCCGAAGGTCAGATGATACGACAACAAAGTCGATCATTGACCTCCGGCCTAGGGTGTCCTGGTGCCACGTGCACTGGTGGACACCCTTGTGCTCAAACATGGTGTTCGTGATGGACAAACCGTGACTAGCACAGAAGTCCAACAACTGAACACCACTCGGGTTCAGATCAGGGGGGCCATTCTTCCCGATCACCCCTCTCCAAGTGTCACTGGCGCTTCCCACATGGGCGTTAAAGTCCCCCAGGAGAATGACGGAGTCCCCGGGCGGTGCACCGTCCAGTACCCCTCCCAAGGACTCCAAGAAGGCCGAGTACTCTGCACTGCTGTTAGGCCCGTAGGCCGTCACAACAGTGAGAGACTTGTCCCTCTTGTCCCTCTCATTCACCGGGGAGAACTCCAACACGTGGCGGCTGAGATGGGGGGCAATGAGTATGGCCACCCCAGCTCGCCGCCTCTCCCCGCGAGAAACACCAGAAAAGTGGAGCGTCCAACCCCTCTCAAGGAGTTGGGTTCCAGAGCCCAAGCTGTGTGTGGAGGTGAGGCCGACTATCTCTAGTCGGTACCTCTCGACCTCCCCCACAAGCTCGGGCTCCTTCCCCCCCAGCGAGGTAACGTTCCACGTCCCAAGAGCCAGATGTTGGGTGTGCGGACTGGGTCGCCAAGGTCTCCGCCTTCGACTGCTGCCCAGTCCTCTTTGCACCGAGCCGCCACGGACCCCTCTGCGGGTGGTGGGCCCACAGGAGGGATGTCCATATCAAATAAACTAATAATAATAATAATAATATATACACAGAGGCGCTGCGCAGACCTTGCCAAGCTATTAACAGAAACGACCAGGCTCCTTACACAAATTTCACAGCGTTCTAACGAGGATCAAAAACAATCTAGTTCTAGCGCCCTGCCAGGAACTTTACAACACGACACACACGAGCCGGCCAGTCCCCACCCCAGCAGTATACTCACTTCCTCTGGAAGACGTGAAAGAATGTACCAACGTCATTCTGCATTAAACAGCAGGTGCGAAAATGGAAACTGAAACTGGAGCTTCACGTTGTTTCGTTTGGACGAACAAAGGAGTAGAATCCTCCTCAGTGTAGCACTCGAAGCACACGTAGCTAGTTAGTGTACCCGCCGCCATTGCTGTTTATAATTGTTCTCGGCTACTGCAGCGGGGAGGTGGGGGTCAGATTAGGCAGAGAATTAACACCTTTTCCTTCAGGCGGGTGTGAAATAGTGCCCCGCTGAGCAACGCAAGGATCACCACAAGACCCTTACCTAGCCTGCATCTTCGAAAATGTCTAATTACGCAGCCGGCTCCGCAGACAAAGCTCCGCTGTGATTGGTCCGTGTGTGATTACTTTCTGGGAAGCATGGAGCGGCTGCAGGGAACATGAACGAGGCACTTTGGAGCAGACTGCTTCGTGCTTGGAAGGAACCGTAGGAAAAGCAGTTTGGGCTCATGGCAGAGCCTGATATATGCGGAGCCCGTGGTCTAGAGTTCTGTTGCATATCCAACATAGATATAACTTAAACTGTGCAGTCATTACTTTTGCACTGTTCCTGTCTTTGTTTGAATCTGCGCTTATCGCGTCTGTTGCATTCACCCTGCGCTTGTAAATAGTTAATGTTTGTCTCAGATATTTACCACTTATTGTTTTGCTATTTGCGCACAAATACACTTTATTAATAACTATGTTTTCAACTAGAACTGAGTATTTATTCAAACCATCACAGTTAAATGAGTTATAAAACAATGAGTCCATAGAACTATCACATAAACCTACAGTAGAAACACATGTAATGATCTCAAACAGCTTGGTTTGCTATTGTTTTTGTTCTGAAGAGGAAAAAGTAGCTAGCGTAAATGGGACCGCTTAGGTTTCCCAGGCATCTCCTGTGAGATCACCATCTCTTCAAAACTGCAGGGGGAACGTGCGAGTGGACAAACCACTGTGGCTGCGTAGGTCCAACGCAACCACAACCGTAACCAGCGCCACGCGAGTGTACACTAGGCTTTGCGTTTTCACCCCCCTGGAACATAGTCTCCGTATGAACGGGGGGTAGCAACCGACATCCATATAGCGTTTTAATGCCGCATTGTCTCTGTATAAACGGGGCCTAAGAATATAATTTAACAGAATCTTGACCAGAACTAAAACTCTAATGATAGATTAAACCCACTGGTTACAGGCGCTGACAGTATGTGTCTTTGCAGGCTGTATGTACGAGGGCCAGGAGCACCCTGACGGCAGCAGCTGGTTTGCAGACTCCACTCCCTGTGTGAGCTGCATTTGTGTGGCTGGGGTGACCACCTGCTCTGAGGTGCGCTGCCTGTCCCCCTGTCAGAACGTCATGAGTGTGCCTGGAGAGTGCTGCCCTGTCTGTGCTGGTAATCCACTGTTTATCCACATGGTGCTTGGACTGACCCTATACAGACTTGACTTATTAGACCAGACCTCTGGTGTGTACTATCTGCTCTGCTGCAGTTTTTCCAATAATATTCAGTTTATCTGCAAATGACAAATAAACTGAATATTACTCTGACTTCTCTATAATAACTCAATGTTTAAGTTATTTATAAAATACCTTCCCACAGATTTTACTCCGAACTCTTTTGTCTTTAAAGTGAAAGATTTTATGTTTGATAAATAATGAATACTAGGAGAGTCTTGTAAAAGTAAAATAGGGTAAAAAAGTCTTTAGTGTACTTGTAAGAAAGAGCCCTGTGAGTAAGTAAGTAAGTAATCTTTATTTATGTAGCGCATCTTACAGACCAAGGTCGCCCAAAGTACTTTACAGATTTCAGATGGTGTTGACAGAAGCGAGATGCCTGGTGCATCAAAGCCCACAATCAACACCATCCATTCACTCACTCATTACATTCAGACCAATTATACATGTTTTTAGTGGTAGGGGAGACTGGAAATCTAAGCAGACACGGGGAGAACATGAAAACTCCATAGAAAGGCCTGGAGGTGGAGTCGAACTAAGGATTTTCTCGCTGTGAAACTCCAGCTCTAACCACTATTTGACGCTTTTGGGTGGTCCTCTCTTTCACTTTTGCAACATACATGCATGTAAAAGCTGATGGTTGAGCCAAGCTATATTAGAGTCAAAAACTTGTGACATGGATTTTATTACATCATTTTCAAAAAAAAGAAAATCAATAAACTAAGTACCCAGCTTTAAAACATCTTTCAACTATTAGCAAGACATTCTTTTATTTATTGGGCTGCAACTGAACAACAAATATTGACTTAAATATTCATTCATTAAAAGAAGATCACTCTTGTAATTATAATCTAATTACGATGTCTTCAAGCTGCTCAGTTTCATCAGAGTCCAACAAAAATGGATTTGTGTTCTAAATAACTGACATAATTCATACTGTAATAATTATGAAAATAATGGTGAGCCAGATTTTAAGTGACTGGTCCAACATCAAAGTAAGTAAGTAAGTAAGTAATCTTTACTTATATACTGCCTTTCACAGACCAGAGTCACAAAGCGGTTTACAATTGTTATTTTTGGGCATTTGTCTCTCCCTCCACACAGATATGGGAGCGAGGTCACCAGTACAGGAGGCGCATGCCAGACCTATTGTACATGTTTTTAGTGGTAGGGGAAACCGGAGTACCCGGAGGAAACCTACGCAAAGCATTAGCTGACTTTGTCAGGACAGCCAGGAACATTTTCATTGACAAAGAAATACAGGATATAGTAACATGCTTTGTAAGACAGGCTTCTCCTCTTGCAATGTTTAAAGGTAAAGGTGCCCTTTATCTATCCCCATAGTGTAGTGATGGGCAAACAAATCTGATGCTCCAGAGCGCGTGTCTCAAACAGTCTGTGCTCAAAACGTGGCAAGCGTGTCAGTGTGTCGGACTCTGCAGCCAATGCTTCAATTTGCGTATCAGCTCTGTTGGTGTTTCGAAGCGTTTCATTGGCTCCCAGATTCGCATTAGTTCAGAGGTTTAGGGGAGGTCACACCGGACCATGCATTGCATCTAGTTTCAATGTAAAGTCAAGGACAGTCTATGGTTTGACAGCTTTTAGTGGATAGCAGAGACTATAGTGGATAGGCGCTAACTAGTTATAGTATAAACTATGCGTAAATATTTCTTCACAATGTTGGGTAGTGAGGAGATAAAGTGTTGTTGGTTACTTTGGAAAAAAATTATGAAATCTGCAAGTGGACGGAGATCCAAGGTTGCCACTAGGGTGTCTTATCAGGAGCAGCGGTCGTCGTTGTACATCGTCCGGGAACCAATCTCCAGATGTTGACCGCCCGTCTCTGTAATGTTTAGATAACTGTTAGAGTAGCATTGAAGGACACAGATTGACTGGCTTTCACAAATTACAGTGCTTTGCGAAAGTAACCTTTCAACATTTCGCCACATTTCAGACTTCAAACATAAAGATATAACATTTTAATTTTTTGTCATGAATCAACACCAAGTGGGACACAATCGTGAAGTGGAACAAAATGTATTGGATAATTTAAACTTTTTTAACAAATAAAAAACTGAAAAGTGGGGCGTGCAATATTATTCGGCCCCTTTACTTTCAGTGCAGCAAACTCACTCCAGAAGTTCAGTGAGAATCTTTGAATGATCCAATGTTGTCCTAAATGACTGATGATGATAAATAGAATGCACCTGTGTGTAATCAAGTGTCCGTATAAATGCACCTGCTCTTTGATAGTCTCAGGGTTCTGTTTAAAGCGCAGAGAGAACCATGAAGACAAAGGAACACACCAGGCAGGTCCGAGATACTGTTGTGGAGAAGTTTAAAGCCGGATTTGGATACAAAAAGATTTCCCAAGCTTTAAACATCTCAAGGAGCACTGTGCAAGCAATTATATTGAAATGGAAGGAGTATCAGACCACTGCAAATCTACCAAGACCCGGCCGTCCCTCCAAACTTTCATCTCAAACAAGGAGAAGACTGATCAGAGATGCAGCCAAGAGGCCCATGATCACTCTGGATGAACTGCAGATAACTACAACTGAGGTGGGAGAGTCTGCCCATAGGACAACAATCGGTCGTGCACTGCACAAATCTGGCCTTTATGGAAGAGTGGCAAGAAGAAAGCCATTTCTCAAAGATATCCATAAAAAGGCTCGTTTAAAGTTTGCCACAAGCCACCTGGGAGACACACCAAATAAGTGGAAGAAGGTGCTCTGGTCAGATGAAACCAAAATCGAACTTTTTGGCCACAATGCAAAACGATATGTTTGGCGTGAAAGCAACACAGCTCATCACCCTGAACACACCATCCCCACTGTCAAACATGGTGGTGGCAGCATCATGGTTTGGGCCTGCTTTTCTTCAGCAGGGACAGGGAAGATGGCTAAAATTGATGGGAAGATGGATGGAGCCAAATACAGGACCATTCTGGAAGAAAACCTGTTGGAGTCTGCAAAAGACCTGAGACTGAGACTGATTTATTTGTTAAAAAAGTTTAAATTATCCAATAAATGTCGTTCCACTTCACGATTGTGTCCCACTTGTTGTTGATTCTTGACAAAAAATTTAATTTTTATATCTTTATGTTTGAAGCCTGAAATGTGGCGAAATGTTGAAAGGTTCAAGGGGGCCGAATACTTTCGCAAGGCACTGTATTTTCACTGAACTAAATCTGAAGAAAGACAATTAGAGGAAACAATTTCCCTGTCATTCTCTCTTCTAAACCTTTAAAACAGCAATTATATCTCCATGTAGCAAAATCAACTGCAAAATAAGTCATTATTATGATTATGATACATCTTTTATTAATTTTATCAACCTGGTCCTCAAAGGGCCAATGTGGCTGCAAGAGCGGACCAGAATCCACCCAGTTCATCAGCGAAAGACTGGACTTACTTTAGAAAATGCGTGGTGCTCCTGCTTGGTTGGAATTAAAACTTGCAGCCATTTCTGAGGATCGGTTTGAAGAGCACTGCTCTAGTTTGTAGTTGTAGTTTATTGTTTATTTAGTTGGGACAGTACATGTTAAGGAACACATCAATCCGGGTTGTAGCTTTGGGCTAAACCACCAAAACTAGGCTCTAACTTTGCTCTCAAAGTGACTAACGTGAGTAAAACGCTTTCTTTTTGAGCAGATTGTATATTGGATGGAAGAGTGTATGGTCCTGGGGAGAGCTTCCACCCAGCGGATGACCCGTGTCAGATCTGCACCTGTGAGGTATGACTCAGACCACAGGACACAGCCGTTTGTCCTTTGTCCTCACACGCTGCTGTTCCAGGTGATGCCAGACGGAGAGCAGCATCTTAAGTGTTACCGAAAGCAGTGTCCTAGTCTGGTGGACTGTCCCAAGAGCAACATCCACGTTTCCGGCCCGGACTCCTGCTGCCCCGTCTGTGCACGTCGGGACCTCACTTTAACCCACTTTCCAGTGTGTTCTAAAATGACAGAATTTTTGACATGTGTTTTTCACTGCAGAGCCTCTGAGTAACTGCACTTCAGCTCTGATCGGGAATGAAGTGTTGGCCACAGATGATCCCTGCTTTACCTGCCAGTGCCAGGTGACCCAAACGGAGATTACATATTTCTGAACTGAAGTGTACTTTATGCAAAATAGTCCACGCTTAATCCGGCACAAACCAGCACAACCTCTGTAAAACTCCACTAGTTATGTTTATGACAAATATGATGACAGCATCATTTTCTGCCTAAACCTAAAGCTACAAAAATGTTATCAAATCCATCCAACTATTTTCGTCACTCAAACTAGTTTGGTTATTTCATTAGTTTTCACATCACTTATGTTTGGCCTCTGTCACGTCTTCAAAGGTATATAGGAGGATTTTCTACTTCCGGGTGGATCATCTAGACCCCATGTGTCAAAGTCAAGGCCCACGGGCCAAATCCGGCCCACAAATGAATTTTACATGGCCTGTTGCCTGCCATTGACGCACTATTACGTCAATTGCGTTTTCCGCTATTTTCATGTTCCCAGATGTCTATTATATTTATTTATTTTTATTTACTCATTTGAGAGGATAAACCCCTTGAGATGCATCATCTCGTTTACAAGAGGGTCCTCAAAAGAATTACAAGAAGCAAAGACACAAGACAGAAAACAGCAGTACAGACTCAGAACCAAACAACAAAACACACACACACCGCGACAACAAACACACACACACCGACACTCACACAGCTCTATAGTAAACAAAAACAGATAAGAATAGAACATTGTGGAAGACACATTTCAAAAACAATTACAAGGCGTCTGTAGATAAGACCGAAGGGCATTTTTATACATATTATAGGAGGTTATAGATCGGATAGAGGCAGGGAGATTATTCCAGTCAAGAGGTGCTTTATGGTGAAATGAAAATTTACCTATTACTTTTCGAATTCGAGGAACAACAAAAAATAATTGATTTGCATGTCTTAAGTCGTAAAAAGAACTAAATTGTGTAAAATATTGTTTCAAATAATCAGGATAACTGAGATTAATACATTTAAAAATAAATAATAGCCAGTGAAATTGTCGTCTGGAGGATGGAGTGAGCCAAGAGAGATGTTCGTACAGATGACAGTGGTGAGTTCTGAAGGGACAGCGGAGAATAAACCTACAAAGACTATTATAAATAACATTAAGTGGCTGAAGATTTGTAACAGAGGTGTTTTGATAAACAATATCACAATAATCAAGAATGGGAAGTAAAAGTTGCGTGACAATCCTCTTTCTCACTGAGAAACTAAAGCAATTAATAGATTGATAAAGTAATTTCAAACGATATGTGATTTTATTGGCAACAGAATGTATGTGAGAATTAAAAGAAAGGTTGGAGTCAAGCCATACACCCAAATATTTGAATGTCTCGACAGGTACGATTGGCAAACCATCCAAAGATACAATATTAAGTGCACCAACTGTTGTACGTTGGTTTTTATCATGAAATAACATTGAATGGGATTTGGTTTTATTGAGAAGTAGCTTGTTTTCTTGAAGCCAATGCTGTACGTTATCGAAGTCATGTTGGAGAAAGTTTTGTATATCAATGATGTTAGGTTTTGAACTGTAAATAATAGTATCGTCTGCATAAAGTTGAATATTGCAATCTCTGCAAGCAAGGGGAAGATCATTGATAAAAATAGAGAATAAGAGTGGTCCAAGTGATGAACCCTGCGGCACGCCTCTATCAATGGTTTTAAAATCAGAGTGATTACCTTCAAATGAAACGCATTGTTGGCGAAAATGAAGATAAGAGTTAAACCATAAAAGAGAGTGCCTATCAAGACCGATTGAATGTAGTTTATCTAACAGAAGATAATGATCAACCATATCAAATGCTTTTGAAAGGTCGATGCACCAGTGAGAGAATTATTGTCAAAACCAGTAAAAATGTCATTTGTGAACTTGAGTAATGCAGAAGTTGTTGAAAAAAATGGTCTAAAACCAGACTGAAAACAAGATAAAATATTGTTGCAGGACAAGTAATCAGATAATTGATTAAAAATTATTTTTTCAAAAACTTTGACAATGCAATTAATAATTGATATGGGCCGATAATTATTCACATTGCAGGGGTCACCACCTTTGTGAAGGGGAATTACTCTTACACGTTTCCAGTCAGAAGGCACTTCGCAGGTAGAAAAAGATAAGTTAAAAAGATCTGCTAAGGGAAAAGAAAGAACATGAGATGCAAGCTTGATAAATTTGGCTTCGATACCATCAGGGCCAGCACTTGGATTAGATGATAGTCCATTAATGGCCTGCTGAACATCAGTTGGACTTATTTGTCTGAAAGAAAAGGAACTACTGTATACCATTGAATCAGGAGACAAGGTAGGTTGAGAGGGAGGCTGCATCTTCGGTAAAGAAGAAAAGTGCTGACTAAATGCATTTCTAATATGTTTGGGGATAAGCTTGAGAGCATATTGAATCAAGCCAGCAGGTGGCAGCAGCGCTCTCTGAATGGTTTGAAAACGGCTAGATGCACTTGTTGTGCCTCTTTTTTCTCAGCTTTTTGGTGATTTCAGTAAAACTTCCCTCTACTCAACTGGGGATTACAAGCTAGAAACAAAATTCTTTTTGCTGATGAAAGTAGACAGTCTATTCTTTCAGAATCTGGTTTCGGATTTCAGATCAGTCATAGTCCACAATATTCTGTGGGTCTTGAAAAATCTATAAAAATCATCAGAAACTGCTGGCAATATGGGAGTACCTGTTCTGAAATAGGCTGGCAGGCAATGAGTTAATAAACATTGAACCAGTCCGGCCCTCGGCTCGCAGAAAATTTGTTTTTTTGGCCCTCTGATGTATTTGACTTTGACATGCCTGATCTAGACTATTGGTCCTCTCAATTGTCAATAATTCTGGTGATACATGCTCGTCATATAAGACCAGAGAGTTTTGTTAAAAATGTGGAGAGAGTGGTTCTTTCAAAAGATTTGGTGAAATCGTCATACATATACTTTTACAATAGCTTTTTCATACAGAAACGTGAAACCCTCACTCAGCCAATCAGCTCTCAGCCCAAAGCATTTGACGCTTTGGGCTGAGAGCATAGGGCCTTTGCCTACATGTATGAAAATAATAACATTTTCTAAGATGAAGACAGTATGTTGAAGTCTGATTTGTTTATTTTTTTAACCAACAATAACATTTTTGTAAAAGTAAAACTTTATAGTTTGGTAAAATAGTTTGATAATCCAGTTTTTTCTTAGAATTCATTTTGGGAATTCAAATAACATTAAAATTATGGTCTTCACTACTGTGGGCCTTCAATAGACTTCACCATGTTACATTTTCCGCTAGTCAAGACTTAGGATTTTTCTTAAATTGAAAAATATGAAATGCCAAAGTAAATATTCTCATGACTCTTTCCCGAGTACACCCGCCTAAAGCTTGTGTTGCAGGACCTGACATGGACTTGCCTGCACCAGTTCTGCCCTTCCCTCAGCTGTCCCCCCTCTGAGCAGGTGATCCCTCCTGACTCCTGCTGTCCTGTGTGCAAAGGTATCGTGATATAAAACCCTTCTATGGCCTCATGTACAAGTGCTCAGGGTGCTTAGGCTGTTGTGTCGCACGCAGACTGTGTGATCGAGGGCCAGGACCGGAAAGTGGACAACGGCAGCAGCTGGACAGACAGCGATGACCACTGTGTCACCTGCACCTGCAATGTGAGCATCAATGTTACTTGTATTCAGAAAAGTACACTTGAAATCAAGGTATTATATATACTTAATGAATTGATTGGGAAAATATCAAAATGCGTCATTTAAGTCTCAATTAATAAATTGAGACTTGAATGGATGTCTTGTATTTATCAAGTCATTTACATCTATAATAGTCATTTACATCTTTGATAATATAATAATAATAATGTATTGGTTTTATATAGCGCTTTTTTGGACACTCTAAGATGCTTCACATGTCATTATTAATTCACTCCAAACATGGTGGTTCTACTGTAGCCACAGCTGGCCTGGGGCACACTGACAGAAGCAAGGCAACCAGTATGTGTCATCGGCCCCTCTGACCACCACCAACCATTCACACACACCAGACTCATCGTTGCCTAAGGAGATAACAACTGTATGGCACTTTACAGCCGCCCACTGTTGCACCTGGTGTTCCCAGGTATCACATTAGATGAAGATATATGAATATTTTGCCATTAAAGAAGGTGTCTAATTAGGTTAATGACAAAGGCATGGTGAGTAGCTAGCATGGCCTCTTTGCATGTGTTTTTCTCCATGCACATTTTATTTCAGCATTAGGCAAATAAAGATGGTCATTACTTGATCATGAATCACACAATGCATCAAACCAATGTTTTTGTTCTGAATCATTCACCCCCACATATGAGTTAGATCAAGGGTCAGTGACATTTTTGGGCGGCAGACTTCCATGATCTGCCAAAAATAAACAGTATTAGTTTCTTTACACACAAAAGGAAGACAAATTTTAAACTGTATATAAATTGTTGTTTGTTCCTTAGCTAGGGTTCATTGAATGCAGCATTGAAGAGTGTGTCTCTGTGGTCTGTCCGGGAGGTCAGAAACTAGTGAAACGTCCAGGGAAATGCTGCCACGTGTGTGAAGGTGAGTGGATCAGCAGACAGGAGGCCACACATGTGCTGCAGTGTGACATGACTTGGTTCTTGCAGGCTCCGCTATGACCTGTGTGTACCAGGGGGTGGAGTACCACTGGAGCGAGCGCTGGTCTGTTGATGTGTGCACCAGCTGCAGCTGTGGTTTCGGAGAGGTGCACTGCTACACGGAGCGCTGTGAGCCTCTCACCTGTAACACTGTCAGTACCTCCACTGCTCATTCCTGTACATGTATTTAATCACAATATTAGATTCAGATTTATTTTATTTGCTGTTTGCAGTACAACCTAATTAATTTGTGTGTATTGATTTATTTAATCGGGACAAGTGTACACTATCAACAAGTGAAACACTACAACATTTATTGCCAAGGCTAATTTGTAATGTCCATCCCTAGAGGGGTTTTTAACACAATTAAATATGTTCTCACCCATCATCTGTACTTCTTAGCAGGTTTTCCTGTTGTTTCGTCCTTAATCCAAAGAACTTTTTCAAGTGAATGACATCTCAGACCGAATTAAATTTCAGACTGTGCGTTTATAACCCATGGGTGTGATTAACCACACCCTTGGGTTATAAATCTCCCAACGCACGGTCTGAGATTTCATTCCCTTGATGAAACGTCGGGAAAACCTGCTAAGAAGTACAGATGGTGGGTGAGAAACCTTCCTTTGCTTTGACTAATCCCGGACTGAGAGCATACACAAACAATTAAAAATTGTTACATTGTTACATTCACATTAGTCAAAAGGTAGATGTCCTCCAACACTCATGCTCACACAACAAAAATCGCTTCAGTTCATGTTTGTGTAGCCAGCCAGCCCAAGTTCAGTTTGCATACTTTTCTCCACATTGACATTAAAAAAAAAAGTCAAATAAAGTCAAAGCTGGGGTACCAACATGTCAATCAAAACAAAAAAGTTGAAAAATATAATAAACTAAATGATTCAGTTGTACTTTGCTGAATTTCATAACTCATGTTAAGATTGAATTACATTTACATGAGGCTCCTTGCTTTTCCCCTGTATGTACTGTACTTAAATGTCTAACATGAGTGTGTGACTGTGGCCAGGATGAGTTGCCTGCGGTGGTGCCTGGCCTCTGTTGTCCTCGCTGCCTCCCCAGGCCCGCCACATGCATCGCCTTCGGAGACCCACACTATCGCACCTTTGACGGACGAATGCTGCACTTTCAGGGAGCATGCACATATGTATTGGCACAGGACTGTGACGGAGGAGACTTTAGGTCATTTTTTTATTTCCTCTACACTATATTGTACCCCTGTCAGGGCTACGTACTTGTATAATAGCCGACTTCATGCAAACGCAACTGAGTAAATATCATTACAATAAATGCTTCTATGGCCGGGTCTTTCCATATGTAACTATTGTCATACAGTGTATAAATCTATACAGTATTTCTTTATTAGGCTAAAGTAAGAGATTTTATACTTAATTCTTGCTTCTTTATTATGCTAAAGTTGGACATTTTTCATATATTTGTATATATATTATTGTAGTATAGAGTTATTGTTCATTTATCTTGTGCTGTGTTTCTCATTCCTACTGTTCTGTATCTGGTGATGCAACACTGAAATTTCCCCACTGTGGGACGTATATAAAGGAACTCTTGATCTTAACATATTAACCTAGCATTAAAAGTCCTGACTGTTGTTAAATTCATACAGAAACTGGGAATCTTAAGGAATTCTAAAGCTGCGCTCCTTCTACTGTAGCATCCATGCCACTAACGACGAGCGAGGCCGTAAAGGGGTGTCTTGGACCAAAGAAGTGACAGTGTTCATCGGGACCGTGTCCGTGCAGCTGCTGCAGGACTGGGCCGTCAAGGTCTCTCTCATCAAACTGGATTTGCAGCTTTTTGATTATACAGATGAATTATCTGTAGTTATATTCGCTCCTCTGCAGGTGAACGATGAGCTTGTGAGCCTGCCCTTCCTTCTGGAGCCTTTCATCTACATAGAACGCCAGACCAACACCATCTTACTCAACACAAACATTGGTCTAAAGGTGCATCTCTCTGTCGTCTGAAATCCAAACTGTAGTTCTGTGAAGCTCATGTTTTTGTCCTGCAGGTGTTGTGGAGTGGACGCTCACATTTGGAAGTGAGTGTTCCAGGGACGTACAAGGGTCAGACGTGTGGCCTTTGTGGAAACTTTAATAATTATTACCAAGACGACCTGAAGATGCCCAGTGGGAAAATAAGCCTCTCAGAGTCAGAATTTGGAAACAGCTGGAGGGTATGTTCCACAGCTACATCCGCAATCACAAAATTTCAAGCATCCAGATTTTAGAAAGTATTATGCAAAATATAAATATTATGCATTTGTTTTGGTCATTACATGTTTTAGAAAGTGAACTAGTATCTCAAAGGACAACTAAACCCCAAATTAACTATTTTTAACTCATAAACTACATAGATGTGTTTCTTGTAGTGCTCTCTACACACCCGGTCATTTTTGTGACATTTTTGTGCAAATTAGATGAAATCTCACTTTTGAGCCTACAACTGTCTGTGTGGTGCCCTCTCTACCGTTTTTGGTGGCACTACATTTGAATTTTGTGCCTGGCCTCTCCATTAGCTCTGGAGTGATGTGTGACGTCAGTTGGTGTGTGTGACGTCAGTTGGTATGTGTGTCTCTCTGCGCCAGTGGTATTAATCCATCCAAGTCTCACACACCCCAGTAGCGAGTTTGAGATTTTTGTGTCATCAGATTTTGAATTTGTTTTAGCTTGAATTTTTCCGTTTGAAATTTTTAACCCTGAAAAAGCATGTTTGAATATTTTATCTTTATATTTCAGTCACTAAAAATTCAGTTTACAAATTTCAATGTGATTAAAATTTCAAAATGACATATTCACCTTCAAAATATTCAATATATTTTTTTTCAATGAAAAAAAAAAAAGACGGATTTTTTGTTCCATCAGAAATTGAATTTTAAATGGACCTGAATTCATCTATTTGAATGTTTTTAACATCTTGAATATTTTTTTCTGTGAATTTCAGTCACTGATTGTCAATTTCATAATGTTAAATTCAACAGTCAAAATTCAACGAGAAAAAATTAAATGGTGAAAAACACATTCACATGACACATCCGGTGTTCTGACGAGTTGTGGGCTCTGTCAGTTGGTCTGCGCATAATGAACTCTGTTTTCTCTTCACTGAGGTTGGAATCTCTTGTTATCTACATTAGACCCTTTAGAACTAATGGAGATTTTGTTAACTTAGAATATAGATAATAATAATAATAATAGAGAGAGAAAAAAGAGAGAGAGAGAGAGAGAGGTTTTTCTTTGTTTACGGAGCGAGTGGAGCCGAAAGAGCACGTAACTTTTCACAGCTCAAGAAATAAGGAGCCCTGTGGAAACTGCTACACGGGAAACTAGACCCAAATACTGTGTAATGTTACCAACAACACTGTCCTTTGTTGCTATAAATGTTCAAATGTGATGGTTTTCATGAACACAAACAAACACACGCAGCCTAAATAAATAAACAGGAATATACAGCTATAATGATTTGAAACGAGCACATTTACCCAAAATGTTCAAAAGACTAACTCATCAAATGAATGTAGTTTCATCTTGTTATTCGCCTTGGTTTCATTACAATCCATTCATTAGAAATCCCATATCAACCTGTTAGATTCATGTTATCAATCGATAGACCTGCTGAAAGCTAGCGCCAGTCTTTACCTCAGTAAAATGACGCATGCGCAGACCAACTGACAGAGCACACAACTCGTCAGAACACCGGACGTGTCATGTGCATTTTTCACCATTGAATTTTTTCTCGTTGAATTTTGACTGTTGAATTTAACATTATGAAATTGACAATCAGTGACTGAAATTCACAGAAAAAAATATTCAAGATGTAAAAAACATTCAAATAGATGAAATCAGGTCCATTCAAAATTCAATTTCGAATTTCGATTTGTATCATATGTTTTAAATTCCGAATCCCCACTATTTGAATAAGCAAGCATGCTTCATACATTTTTTTCTGAGCATTGATGATCAGTGTACTAGCCAATCAGTTGAAATGCTGTCTCCCAGGTGACTAAAGGAGCACATGCTGTGGAGTCCTGCCGACCAGGCGAAGACGTAGACCCATGCAAAGACGCAGGCTTCCAGGCAAAGAAGTCGGCCAACACTCGCTGTAAGGTGCTGAAGTCATCTGTGTTCAAGGCGTGTCACCGCGTGGTCCCTCCGGAGCCCTGGTACGGGGCCTGTGTGTACGACCTGTGTGCATGCGGGGCCAATGCTGATGAGTGTCTTTGTGATACGCTGGAGGCCTATGCCCGCCGGTGCAGAGAGGCCGGGGTGGTGCTACAGTGGAGGAGCCCCTCCCTTTGTGGTCAGTGCTGACTCTGGACTATGCTGTTGTTACTCTCTAAATTTGGTCAAATCAATGATGTAGCTGTCAAATCTGAGTAAATGGGTGATCTTGGACAGAATGATATAGGTACTGATAAACTAAATATTAGCCACACAAATAGATCTTCACAAAAAGACCTTTGTTGACCAACATTTTTTGACTCAAGGCAGTCTTCCTCAGGGCGTTGAACAAAAACGTACCAGGACCTTTCTAACTTCATCTTAAATGTATTGTCTAAAATATTAAGTGTTTAGTGGTTTCCAAGGGTTGTTAGTAATTAGTAATTGTATCAATAACTAATATTAATTAGTATTAAATAAAATGAGTCGTTTGCATAATACACAGCACTACTTGCCCTTGCAAAAATTGTGAACTTAAGTTTCATCATGAAACAAATAGACTCCTATAAATGAAATGACAATGGAAGTAATTACTCTATCTTGTCTGAGCGGCTCTGTGTCATTACAAACTTGAATTTGAACCATCACCGAGATGTTGAGCAAGGTACTTTTGGCCAACCCTAGTAGTAGTAGTTCATGAACTCACATTCTCACATATTTTGTAACGTAAAAAACGTTAATGTTAACTCACTATTGCTGGGATTGTGTCATCAGGCTAAATACAGTACATTGTATTCTATGAAGGGCTGTAGACTTTCTATGTGTTATAAGCTCACGCAATTCTCTTAGAAAAGGACTTGTCCGGGCCCTGTTTGATCCCAAGACTGGAGCACACAGCTGTCGGTGAAGTAAACCCTGATGAAATTTTTCTCTTGTTTGTCACTTCAGCTGTGGGCTGTCCTGTGGAGCGAGGCTTTGTGTTTGACGAATGCGGCCCTCTCTGTCCGGTCACCTGCTTTAACAAAGACGTGCCTCTGGGGGTGATAGAGAGCCGCTGCTTCAAACCTTGTGTGCCGGGATGCCAGTGTCCTGCGGGGCTGCTCCTCCACAACAACCACTGCATCCAACCAGACAAGTGCCCCAAGGTGGTCCATGACAAGGAACCAGAGCAGCAGGAGGAGCCTTGTTAACCAGAAACAAACCTGGAGTAATTATCTCCTCTCACCCTGATATCACAAACGTGTCCTCCCACCTCTTCAGTTTGAATTTTCCTCGTGGTGCATTATGATTTATCCCTACACTGTTACATCATGTTAAAAGCCGTTTTGTGCCTTTTAAGACAAACGTTTTGCCTCTTTTTGTGAATTTCTAGTTATACATTCTTTACAACCGAATGCACTCAATGTTTGATGATGACACAATATAGCACAATGTAATTTTACAATTTTTCCACAGATGAAGATGTTTTATTTCATTGAGATGCTTTCCTTATTTATTACACATGTTTACATAGTTTCTACTTACCGTATTTCACGTTCTGAAACATGAAACGTCAATAGTAAATGGTTGATGTAAGGGACACAGCAAATCAAGATTGTCTTTTGTCCTGTGGTGTTTTTTTTGTTTTGTTATTTAGTACAACAGTTATTTTTCCTCCTTTGCATCACTGCTGTGGACATTAACCAACACAGACATATTTTTCTCACATTAAATCTCTGAAATTTCCCCACTGTTGGAGGAATAAAGGATCGCTTAAGTTTAAACATTAGTCATCCACTCACGCACACTTATGCATATTGAAAATGTATTCTAAAACTACGGTAATAGAAAAACAGGACAAGAACACATCGTTCCTGTGTACTTTGGAAAGACTTCTTTAAGCTGTATGAATGTAATGTATGTAAAAACTAGCAAAAACAAGCAGCATTGAGTTATCAATATTGGTATCATTGCGTTGGAATCAAGTTTGTATTTTCAGTATTGTCACAATCTGTGGCTAAAAACCCCGTCTCTGTCATAGAGTGACTATCACAAACTCCCATCTGACCAAAATTTATGAAAATCAGCATGAACAATAGTTACCTTTTAAAGCAAATTCTTACTTATGGGTGGCTTTCGGCCTGGCTCCATCCGACCTTCTGCCCCGGGGCTAGGTGACATTCATTCTAAGTATGAAAATGATCTACAGTGCCTTGGAAAAGTGTTAATATAGCTTGAATGTTTGCACATATTGTCATGTCATGACCACATACTATACATACAGATTTTACTCAGCACTTTAAAAAAAAAACAACAACTTGAGAGTGGGATTTGACTATACAGCATGGGGTAAAGTCTTTTACAAGCTCTACACATCCAGAGAGTAGACGTTTTGCCCACAGAAAACCACTTCACCTCTGTCTGATTTGAGGCAGACCTACATTATGATGCTGCCTCATCTTAGATTGTCAGGGCAATATGTGAGCATTCTGCATCATTTGGACATTGTTACATTTTTTAATGCACAAGAAAAGGCTTTGTTGTTACTTATACAAAACCCACTTTTTATATCATTTTACTTTCACTTATATGTTACTTTGATATATTCTTTTGTGAAAAATAGTCTAAAATAAATTCTTTTGTTGTACTGTACTAAAATTCAAGCTGTATTAACACATTAACATTTGCCTTGTGTTAAGGTGTATACTATGGATCTGTATTTCGTATTTTGTCTTTGTATACAAATGTATTTCCTCTTTATTTTACATGTAATTTATGCTAATCTCAGGTTTGACATTACCACTCTGGGGCTCACAAGGCATTGCATTTGGGAGATAGTGGCCTTATATTTGTCCCCTCCCAGATCCAATTGAACTAATAATAATATTTTTGAATTGTAAGTCATTTTGTAAAAGGCCTTACAATTACTTCACTCCCTCTGTTTATCCCTTCCCTTTATTTAAATGTAAACAGAAAATGGGAATGTGTGGATACGATTTAAAGGCTATGTCTGAATTCTCCCCACGGTGGGACAAATAAAGAATCTCTTGAAGTCACGGATGACCTGGAAATGTCATGGAAAATAAATAATCATATTTTGAGGCGTTGTAAAAGTTGAGATATTCTTTGGGTGAAATAAAAAATGTGTTATTACTATGATCTTTGGGTGGCATTAAATGAATAGTATGTATTTTTATAATTAAATGTTCTACAAGTTTCTGCTTAGACCTTCCTATGGTTATGTCTAACTTTCACCAGTCGTTAAAATCCACTCCACACCGCTGTAACTTGTCCGCTAGCGTGTCTTGAATTTCACTGTCACTTTTGTAACCCGGTAATCCTCCCAAAGGCTTGCCGTTGCCACAGTGAGGTGTGCATAAATCATGAGCAGACAGGTGGAAACATGGAGGTGCAGGTGAGTGGATGTGAGGCTGCTATCGGGGCTATATTAGTAAGTTTTATGCTGTGCTCTTCGCAGGACTGTGTGGTTGGCTTGTACCAGACCGTGGGGAGACCTTTGGGGGACCCCTTCTCTACTCAAGATGTGAGCCAACTGTTTGGGAAAGTCTTTCATGAGCCGTCTAATGCTGAGGAGGTGCATGCGGCTATCACAAAGGTACACTGGCTTAATCTGTAGCAATATGGTGACAAAAAGGACAGCGGTCCAGGACACTCAACATATACACTAATCAAATATCATCCCAGGGGCCAATATAATCAATTTGCAGGCCGGTTCTGGCCTCGGGCCTTGACTTTGACACCCATGATCTAGACTTTTGGTTCTCCTAATGTCTCCTGTATCATTCTGATGATACATTTTAGAAGGTTTTGCCTCTGTAGAGGAAGGTTCTTTCCTAACATTTGGTAACATCCTCCTATATACCTTTAAATTATTGTTGTTAATTATTAGTTTGGTTCAGTGAGGGGAGGATGGAGCGTCATAGTTACAGTCCAAAGGCAAAGCATGGGAATATATGGCTCAGTCTACTTTCCCATTCTTACTTATGGTCAAGAGTAATGACCACAAGACCCCAGGATTGTGATTACAACCTAACCAAATGAGGTTCCTCTGGCGAGTCGCTGAGCACTCCCTTTTAGAGGTCAGAGTAGAGCTGAATGCCAGTTGTTCCAGGCACACCTGCAGGAGGCCCTGGGGAAGACCCAGGACACCAAATCAAAGGCCTCCAAGAAGCAAATGTTTCCAAAAGAATTCTCTCAGATTTACACATTTCAACACTGGATCCTGAATCATTCTGAATAATGATAAGCAGGTAGCAGTTCTTATAAAGTGCAACCAAAAGTCCCTCCTGTTTTAAAAGATATTCGTAGAGGTCTAAACTAAAACATCTTGATGAACTATTGTGGTATGGTAGGATTTTTATTTTTTGTAGGGACAGTGTCCAATAAACATTAGCCGAAAGGAGAGGCGCATTGTACCCATGGCAGTGGCACTATAATAATATCTGGATTGGGTATTACTATAGCTTATAGCTGTCCCACCCACGGGCACAGGAGGTGCCCGTGGTACTGCAGACTAAATTCACGCGGGCCACCCAGTTTAAAGTGATATTCTGTAACTCTAAATTAATTACATATTTTAGGAAATGTGTTAAATTGACCTCCTGGCCTTAAATGTTGATATAAAATAAGTCATTTTATTAATTCTAATAGTCCCAGCAAGTCCCGCCTTCCCTTCTCTTAGCTATAGTTCAGAATCCACGATGCCATCCACGTTAACCAATCAACGTGAATCAAGTGAACCTCCGAATCAAGCCTCCATTAGGCTCTGGAACTACATGAAAACTGAACAAAGAATTCTGAACATCTGCGCTGAGGTACCCATTTATATACCGAACCTATATCCATAATCAGATCCTCTGCAGATGTGTCCTATAATGTGCAATTCATGATAATAGCTTGTTCCGGGTTTGCCGCGATCGCTTTTTGTGTGCATAAAAACATTCTTTTTTTCATTAAAACGTTAGCCAATAATTCTGAAAACCTCCGTGCATATGTATTAATAACGTATATGTATAATGTGTTCTGTGATTAACATTTAAAAGATTATCGATATATTGGTCAGAAATATACAATATGCCAATTTATGGCATAAATAAAAGAAAAAATACACTTTATTTCATGATAAATGGAATGGAGATGCGTAATGTAGCCATATATTGAGTACTGATACCAATTAAAAAAATAATGTGTAACAAAAAAAAGGAAGTCACAGACTTGGAAATTGCTTTGGCTCTGTGCAACAGTCAGATAGAGATAATAAAAATAAAGAATAAAAAACACTTCTAAAGAATACATTTTAATTTAAAATAGAGTTACAGTTACTATTTACAATATACAAGTTCACATGGTGCACACAATGTAAGGTGACAGCAGATTGTACAATTGTACAGCTCTGACTTTCCTTTTTCTTCCTTTTTGTGAAAGAAAATAGTTATAATATCTTCATTTAAACATTATCCTTTGATAAAAAACAGGAGCATAAAACGACAAAAACAAAACAAAATGTAAATGAAATAAACTACAGTGGCTACATCAGATATTTAGATTAAATCAGATCTGTGTGGAGCAACTAACAACTTCCACGCTTCCCAATGTTTTATCAAATCTCATTGAATATGTGAACTTTTCCTTTCTATAAATAGTATGAATGATCCACATAATCTCTGCATCTTTTTCCCCTTTTCAGATTTCCAACGGTGACAGCGGTTGGACGTGCGCTGGTCAGAATGTCTTGGATGTTCTCAGAGAAATGGAATATCAGAGAGTCCAAAATGAAAAGGTAGATATAGTTTTAAGATTCTTTGAGTGTATTGAGTGTATTTGTCCGTCTCCCATCTGTCCTGTCTGCAGCTGTACTGGGAGTGCCAGCTGTTAAACGCAGTGAGCAACCACCAAACTCAACATGTGAGGAACACACGGCTCACATCCGATCCATTCTCCCTGCACCACAGTTATCAGAAAACTAGCATGAGGAAACTGAGGAAAGCCCATAGACAGAGCTGGGCCAGGTAAGTACCAGTTACTTCATGTATGTGGAGGAGTTCAGAATTAGATTAAGAGATCCTTTGTTTGTTCCAGTGGGGAAATTTCAGTGTTGCATCGCAAGTTCCAGACAATAGGAATGATGAGCACACAACACAAGATAAATGAATAATAACTCTACGCTAAATTACAATAAACTAAAATATCACAATATAACTCAAACAGAGGAAGAAGCAGTTTAGAATCTCTATCTTTATTATTATAAGGAAAGAAGTCTAAAATCTCCAACTTTAACATGAGCAAGACTTAAGTACAAAATATTGAGTCGAGACGGATGACTGACAAGAGGGATCTTCTCTTCACAAATCACCACTTGTTTGATGTAAAACTGGGTGAAACTTGGAAAAATAGAATATTGTACAGAACATTGTGAAATAAATACATAACCGCCTCGATGCCATAGACCAGGGCTGGGCAAGTGTTTTCTTCAGGGGGCCACATTCGGATACCGCCCAATATCGCTCTTGTGATGCAACACTGAAATTTCCCCACTAAGATAAGATAAGATAAACTGTATTGATCTCACGATGGATACATTTACATGTCACATTTGGCATAGATAGGATCATGCAGATTGTGCAAAAGATGGAAAGTGTGCAAACATGTAAAAGGTTAAAAATATAGTGTGTGCAGGATATAATATGTACCATAAAAAGTGACACTATGGGACGACTAAAGGATCTCTTAATCTTAATACACTGAAAATATCACCAGAGGTTTTACAAAGAACGTCCAAACTATTATATATGAAAAGTAATACAAGGTTTTAGTAAATGTGCCCCTGCAGGGACTGTAACAGTTTTCACTTTGGGCAGGCTGGTGGAAGAGGGCCTGGCCAGTCTACTGCCCGCTCGTTCACCAGGTTGTCCCGTGAGGAGCCTTTCCTGGGGCTTGGTCAGCTTATCAGAGCTTCTTCTCTTGGTGGAAGTCAAATACGACGTTGTAAACAGCCTGCTTTACACCGAGATGCTGAAAGAAGACTACTGTAAGGGTTACACTATCCATGTTCTTCACGGCTTTAGTTGCTGAAAATATGGAAATAAATTTAAAATAGCAAAGATTACAATTATTATTATTATTATTACAACATGATGTAGGCATGAAAAAGGCATGTCACTATTGGTCATCATTTATCACTCTGGTGAGTCCACAGGAGGATGACTGCTCTATGGCATAGCCTTGATCTTTCAGCGGGGGCTTCGGGCAAAGTCCTGTGGGAGTCGGTGGAGAAGGTCTTATGGTGGGCTCGAACTCACAACCTTCAGGCTCAAAGGCCAATGCTGTACCAAGCCACTGTCGCAAATTAACTCATCTAATTGAAAATGTTATTTAAGCACTTTAGCCAGTTGTTTTCACCTTAGACTGATTCTTTAACCGCTGTTCACATGATGCTAACATTTAAAAAAATATATATATACAAATGAATAGACTTAATTTATTAATATCATCATGCATGTATATATGAACTGATTTTTAAAATTGATTTCAGATATATATACTAAAAAAGGGCCTCTGCAAACCACACATGTTCCTTTTATCATTTTGAGTACTTTTTATTCCTGTAGTTCTGGCCTGAGGAGGAAAGCAAGTTCTGTCAGATCCGCTCTTATACAGAGCACTTCTACAACTATTGAAAACTAACCCCATCTTTGAATTTTGACATGATGTTAAGGGAATTCCCATTTGATCTGACAGCTGCAGATGTGTGGGAGAGTCTGTCGCCATGGGAACAGCGGGAGGCGGAGGAGGGGCTGGCGGAGAGAGCAGAGCAGGCTTTGGAGTCACATGACCCTCTTCACCTGGCCCAGCTGCCCGGGGCCCTCCGCACATACAGGTGACAAATACCAAATACAAGCTCTGAGGTCCACCCTGGTTCCACAAGGCACATTTAGTTTAAAGTCACAATGGTTGTCAACAAACTCAAACTTGTATTAAATCCTATTACCTTTCCCAGTAGGAAATGTACTGAGCGGCACAGGCTGGTGTGTCAGAACAAGGTGTACGTGTACTGAACAACAGTGTTCAGTCCAAACACTCAACACTAGAAAACTTATTGCCATGCTTGCGAAAGCTTGATACCGTCAGGCCTTTCACACTCTGCAGAGTAGAACCTGGTTAGTACTGTGATGGAGACCTCTGGGCACACCAGGAGTCTCTGTGGGTTGTGTGTGGCTGTAAAGTCAAAATCACAAGATCATCTATTGCAGTGATGACAGACAATTCTCACAAAATCCAAGAATTGCTTTGAAAAGAAAATAATGCAAAACATTTAGAGCAGGACTGTAAAATGGTGAATGGTTTGATTTTATTTTATTGAATTGTTTTATTATTATTATGAATAATATTAGTATTATTATTATATTAATACATTTTTGATAATATATTATTATTCATTCTGAATATTACAAGGCACTTTGGGTGACCTTGGTCTGTAAAATGCGCTATATAAATAAACATGACTTAAGTTTGTGTAAACCCTCAGTCGTATGGGATTAGTCAAAGCAAAGGAAGGTTTCTCAGCCATCATCTGTACTTCTTAGCAGGTTTTCCCGACGTTTTGTCCTTAATCCAAAGAGCTTTTTCAAGGGAATGAAATCTCAGACCACGCGTTGGAGATTTATAACCTATGAACCACACCCTGATACTGAGGCTAACTCATAAACTAACGCCCCTGCTCTAGGGTTAACGATCCTAACTCGTTAGTATGTTACAGACTTATTGCTCGAGTGGAGTGCAGGTCTCACCACTCCAAACTCATTAGCACGTCACTGACCTTAACTATAGTTAGGCAAGGCAAGGCAAGGCAAGTTTATTTATATAGCACAATTCATACACAAGGCAATTCAAAGTGCTGAACAAAACAAGAAAGCATTAAAATCATAAATAATCACAGAACATTAAAAAGAAAGATACAAATATAAAATCCCTCAGTTGTATGCACAGTTAAACAGAACTGTCTTTAACCTGGTTTTAAACATTGTCAGAGAGGAGGCCTGTCTCACATCTTCAGGAAGACTGTTCCAGATTTTAGCAGCATGAATCTGAAAAGCAGCCTCCCCATGTTTAGTTCTGACTCTGGGCACTAACAGGAGTCCAGTCCCTGTGCTCCTCAGAGTCCGGGCTGGTTCATATGGGACTAACATGTCACTGATATATTTTGGTGCGAGGCCATGGAGAGACTTGTACACAAGCAGAGCTGTTTTAAAGTCTATTCTCTGAGCCACAGGAAGCCAGTGCAGAGACCTGAGAACTGGACTAATGTGGTCGTACTTCCTGGTTCTAGTCAGGACTCGAGCTGCTGCATTTTGAATGTACTGCAGCTGTTTTACAGCCTGTTTGGACAGACCTGTGAGCAGGCCATTGCAGTAGTCTAACCTACTGGAGACAAATGCATGGATAAGAATCTCCAGGTCTGCTTTAGACACTATGTTTTTGATCCTGGCAATGTTTTTTAGATGGTAAAAAGCTGCTGATGTTACTGATTTGATGTGGCTATTAAAATTTAAGTCTGAGTCCAGTATTACCCCTAGATTTCTGACCTTGTTTGAAGGTTTTAGGGAGAGAGACTGTAGGTGACAGATGACGCTCTCTCTTTGTTTCTGGGGACCAAAGACAATCATTTCAGTTTTGTCTGCGTTTAGCTGAAGGAAGTTGTTTTGCATCCACTCACTGATCTGTTGGATACAGTGAAGGAGTGAGTCCACTGGTCCATGTTCTCCTGCAGTCAGTGAGACATAGATCTGAGTGTCGTCTGCATAGTTATGATAGGAAACTTCGTTTCTGCGTATTAACTGACCTAACGGCAGCATGTAGAGATTGAACAGAAGAGGTCCCAGGATCGACCCCTGTGGTACTCCACAGGTCAGGTCCATATGATCTGAGACACAGTTTCCAATCTCCACAAAGTACTTCCTGTCCTCAAGGTAAGACCTAAACCAACTTAGGGCGGTGCCAGCGACTCCAACCCAGTCCTCTAATCTCTGTAAGAGGATCTCATGGTCGACAGTGTCAAAGGCAGCACTCAGATCTAACAAGATTAAGATTGAGACTTTGCCTGCGTCAGTGTTCAGCCGGATATCGTTTTTAACCTTAACGAGAGTAGTCTCAGTGCTGTGGTGGGGTCTAAAGCCGGACTGAAACATATCAAATGAGTTGTTGATTATAAGAAATCTAGTAAGCTGTAGGTAGACAACTTTCTCAAGGACTTTCCCCATAAATGGCAGATTTGAGATGGGACGATAGTTGTTAAGTACCGTAGCATCGAGACTGCTCTTTTTTAGCAGGGGCCTGATGACTGCAGTTTTCAGGGCCTTTGGGAATATTCCAGAATGAAGGGACATGTTTACTATCTGTGTGAGTGAAGGTAACAAACTGCTCAGAACAGACTTCAGAAATCTAGTGGGTAGTACATCCAAGCTGCATGTGGAGGAGCTCAAACTGGAGATTATCTCTTGGACAGTTTTATCATTTACAGGTGCAAAGTGAGTTAGCTCAGAGAGCCTTTCTGGCTGTTGGATGGTTATCTGTGGATTGGAGACAATGGCGTTTTTGATGCCTTGAACCTTGTCATTGAAAAAATTAGCAAACTCATTGCATTTACGTTTGGAAGTAAGCTCTAATGGCATTTGAACAGGGGGGTTTGTTAACTGTTGAGAACAGAACACGGAGATTGTTGCTGCAGCCTTCAATCATTTCAGAAAAATACCTTTCTCTCGTACTACGTAGTACCCGGTTAAACTCGCACAACTTATCTTTGAAGATCTCGTAATCAACCTGGAGGTTGGACTTGCGCCACTTCCGCTCGGCCCTCCGGCACTTTCTCTTTTGTGCCCTGACCGAGTCTGCTTTAGCCCACGGCGCCTTCTGCTTATTTTTCACTATTTTAACCTTCACAGGGGCAACGGTATCCAGAACATTCAAAACACTAGAGGTGACAGAGTTAAACAGTTCATGTACAGTAGAATACGATGCATTCTCAAAGTTTATCATTCCCATAAATAGTTCACTCGTATTTTCATTTATGCGCCTTCTTCGAACAGTTGCAGAGTCCACTGGTGGTTTGTTAGTGAAACACATGTCAAAAAAAAACACCGAAATGATCCAAAAGAGCAACATCGACCACGTTTACATTTGAAATATTCACCCCCTTAGTAACTAACAGATCTAGAGTGTGCCCTCTGCTGTGGGTGGGGCCATTTACGTGCTGAGTGAGATCAAAGGATTCAAGTACAGAACTCGGCTCATTTGCATTTCTGTCATCAACATTATCCACATGAATATTAAAATCACCTGTAATAACCAAACTATCAAAATCTGTGCATACAACTGAAAGCAACTCGGTAAAATCATCAATAAAACTGTGACATGACTGTGGTGGCTTGTATAGGACAATGAAGAGTATTGGAGGAGATTGTTTTTATAGTATTTTAAAAGACACATATTCAAATGACAAATGAAAACTTCCCAAGAGACATTCTATGGGAGACAAAGTGGTCTCTAAAAATGGCAGCTAAGCCTCCTCCTTTTTTGTTTTCCCGTATTTCAGATTCAAACTTGAAATTTGGTGGTGATGCTTTTATTAAAACTGCATTTCCTGAATTTTGGTCAAGCCAAGTTTCAGCCATGAACATAAGATCAAGATTATGAGAACAAATAAAATTAAAGCCGCAAGCGGCAATGAAAGGCCTCGCCACTCTCGCGACCGCCTCCCGGGCGCCAGTCCCACAAGCGTCACGCGGCGTACTTGCCGACGAATTGGCAGCCCGATCTGACCAGGGTTACGTACATAAAAGTTCATTAATATGAAAAAGTGCGTCCCTAGTGGTCACCTCCGGGACATGCACCCTCTACGTAGAGTAGTATTTTGCTCGTACAGATGTCAAGATTTGATTTCGCAACTTTGGTGAAGATCGGAAAAGTTTAGGTCAGAAGCCTTCCATAGGTGGCGCTGTAGAGTCATATTAGGTGTGTGTTTTCACACCATGTGAAAGGTGTAGGACTTTGAAACGTGTTTGAAATGATGCTTCATGAACTATGAACTATTTGAGTCTTTCAGTCAATTGTGTTGATACAACAAACACATCCAAAGTAATACAGTTCTACAGAAAGTGATTAATTGAGGAAAAACTACCAAGAGGTAGATTATTTAAACACAACAAACCATTTATTCCCAATAAATAAATACATTTACTTTGCAACACAAAAGTTATTATGGGTAAGCACTTTGACAGTCCTGTCTGTTTTTTAAAATATGCTATATAAATAAACTTGACCTTGATCAGTTAATGAATGCAAAATAACTTTCTTCAGCTAAAAGCAAAACTTAAATGATAGTCTTTTGTCCAAACAAAGAGAGAGAGTTATCTTTTTTCTCTCCCTAAAACCTTCAAATCAGGTCAGAAATGTAGGAGTGACAATAGACAAACACTTAAACAGCCACATCAAATAAGTAACATTAGCAGTTTTTGACCATCTGAAGAGCCTAAAGCATTTGTCTGCAGTAGGTCGGACTGCTGTAATGGCCTGCAGGTGGAAATTAGCTTTGCTATAACCTGGTACATGCATCTCTCCTTTGTGTTAATGTTTAACTGTACACTGTCCCTGTTCAAATAAAGTACATACAATACAATACAATACAATCAGTAGGAAGACTCAGCAGCCTGTTTCACTATAATTTGTATTAAGGCAAAAGGTGCCCCCCTGGTGGTCAGGTCGGGTATTGTAGCTCTGAGTGTAATATTACTATATAAAATAAACTGCTTACTTGCACGAAAACGGTGAAGATTTTCTAACTTTTTTGCGATGATTATATAACTTCAATCCATCCAGATTAGGAAATGACATGGTAGAACTCTGTGTGATGAAAATCCAGGGACTAGTACGAAGCCAAAAATGCGACACCTTGAACTGCCTGTAGGTGGCGCTGTTGCACTCACAGTTGTGTGTTGTATATTGTTGTGTTCAGGGTCATACGCTGTATTTCTGAATTCATTTTTAGCCTCATCGGACAAACATTTTGCCCCAAAAAGCTCATTTATTCACTTTACGGCGCCCCCGGTGGTCAGGTGTGGGACGTACAACTTTTGCGTAATGTAATGTTTTGCTCGTCTCGGTCCAGAGAATACACTCAGCGATTTTCGGGCCGATCCGAGCACTAGTGCCCTATTACTTTCCGACAGGTGGCGCTAAAGAGCTCAAATTGGGCGAATGATTTTAGTGTCATTGCGTTCAAGCCATAACCTAATATTACTGATGTGAGTCTCAGCTCTGTAGGTCTGAGCCTGTGGCCCTCAGGGCTCAGCGAAAATGGCCAAAACTAAGGCCTTATTCGCCATGGCGAGGGACGAAAACTGTGAAGATTTTCTAACATTTTTTTGATGATTATATAACTTCAATCCGTCCAGATTAGGAAATGACGTGGTAGAACTCTGTGTGATGAAAAACCAGGGACTAGTTCGAATTTCTAAATGAAAAGTCAAATTAGTGGCGAAACTTCGGCCCATCATGGCCGACTTCCTGTTGGTCCCAGACATGTGCTTAGACCGGCTTTTATGCTCGTCTCATAGAGATCTATCACTCATCCGAATTTCGTGTACCTTCTCCAAAATATGCAATCCTGCCTCCAATAGAAATGGAAAAATTTGAATTTTCAAGGGGGCGCTATTGATTCACCTTTTGTCGGACAATCTGGAAACGTCCGTTTTATCAAATTTTTCGCCGGACCGGTCGTTTTAGACCCCCCATGTGCAGACTTTCGTGCATGTCTTCAGGGTCAAAAAATTGAAGATGCGGAAAAAGAATAATAATATGAAACCGGTGAATAACAATATGCCTCCCCAATACTTCGTATTGGCTCGGCCTAATTATTGATTAAAAAAGACTTGTTACAAAGAGATCTGACATTAAGCGTAGCGAGTTTCAAAGTTTCAGTATCAGCGGTTGCGGTCGGCTAATTCTTACACGGAACAAGAATTAGATTTTCCAGATTAGACTGATTAACTCCAGATGTTTTTCTGTAATGTATTCTTTGTGTTATCACTAAGGGAATGGCACAGGTGGCTTCATGACAGGGCCCCAGCCGGGTCTCTCTTCTAACTAGACTGCCAGTAGCTGCGAAGCAGAGACCCTGTGCATCCTAGTGTTTAGAGAAAAGAGGGGGAGGGGAAGGCGGGGGAGGAGGATGGAGAGGTGGGTGGCTTTTGGGTGTTGAACGAGGGGGGCAGGGAGGTGGAGGGGTTTTTAGTGATGGGTTAGGGCCGGGGTGGGCTGAGGCAGAGGTTTTGGGTGTTGAGCAAGGGGGAAGTGGGGGTGGAATGGTCATGAGGTTAGGGGAGGGACTGGCTGAGGTGGTTTTTGTAGGTGAATTGGAAACCCTAGGTGGTTTTGGAGGTACATATGGGGAGTGGTTTAGAATGTTGGACAGGACTCTAGATCTAGCTAATATGGGTGTGAGAGGAATAGTCTTCATCGCCGATTGTATTAGCCCTGCAGAGTGTTCAGGTAGGTCTAACAGTGAAGGCGGGGATGAAAAACAAAGGGAGGTGTCCCCATTCTCTCTTGATGGAGTGGACGTGGCAGGGGGGACCCAAGACAGGTCCATGGGAGGTGGCGAGTTAGGGCGTTGTTTTTAGGATGTCGTCATAGATGCGAGGCAAAACAAATCTTAACCTGCCTCCTCTGTTAAGAAAAGGTTTGTGTTTCCTTGAAAAAGTTCTTTGGATTAAGGACGAAACATCGGGAAAACCTGCTAAGACGTACAGATGATGGGTGAGAAACCTTCCTTTGCTTAAACATGACTTACTTACTATTATTACTGCCTTTTATTTTTTACTATTATTATATATTTTTTGTATTTCTTTTATTTCTTTTTATATACAGTATAATGTATTTACTGATATTTTGTTTTGTTGATTTCACTGAAACTAAAACCAAAACAAGGATTGTAAAATGGGTTGACATTAAAATTGTTTACATTATTTACCACTGAACATGTGCAGGTTCCAGGATCAATGCTGGTCGGCTGTTTCCTTTCTGTGCAATTTAGACAAACTTTGTCAAGAAGAAAAGAGTGAGCTGGAAGGAATGGCTCACAGGTAACTGTTCATATGCGAAGGTTTTGAATGATTATTATAAATTTGAATATGTTTTCCATTTTCAGATTAAGTGCTGAGGGTCTGAGGCGCGCCTGTCTCCACATTCGACTGGCCACAGAGCGAGCGCAGAGAGAAAGGCAGTCGTACGGAGCTGTGCTGGCCGCTCGGCAGTCCTGGGATTCCTGGTGAGATCTGTGTGTGTGTGTGTGTGTGTGTGTGTACCATTCCTTTCATCAATTTAGTGAATTTCTTATTGAGGGCACATAATCAGATTTCTGACTGTCGCTGCATTAAATCGACAGTTTAATGCAGCTGAGCTGATTTAATTTCTAATCGTATTTATTCAAAGCATTCTATGAGCAGTTTATACAGAATATTTATTTGTATTACAAGACCTACAGTTTTCCACACACACTTCGTCCAGCTCATCCGAGGGGACCCCAGGATGAGCTGGAGAGTTGCCTAAGGACTCAACAACAATTTGGCACTTTACAGCCTCCCCACTGTGGCACCTAGTGTTCCCAGAGGTCTCCCATCACAGTACTAACCCGGCCTTGCCCCGCTTAGTTTCAGAGGTCTGACAGGATCTTCTTTGGCCACTGGGTCACCACTCTGCTGGCTGAAGAGAGTAATGCTGTTTTTAGCTGATGAGAAAGGGCATTACGTTGCTTGGTGTGTGGAAGCTCAGTTTGAAATTAGTTAATTAATTATTATGTTGCCAGCCATAGAGCCATAATACGTTGTCTTTATTTACCCAGGCCAGATGTGTGCACCCCAGAGAGAGCTGAACAAGCCTCTTTACTGCTCCAGTCTGAGGACCACGAGCACAAAGTGGAGGCGCTGTCGCAAACACCGCAGCAGGTACAGCAGCTATGGGGGCTCAAACTAGAACAAAAGGATCTCATATTTCTGTCCACACAGGCTTTACTGCAGCTGCTGGTGCTGACGCAGGAGCAGGAGAGAAGACAGCTGATGGCACTGCTACACACACTCCGCCAAGAGGAAATACAAGGGCCCTCATGCACTCAGCAGGGCCCCAAAGAAGGCACGTCAACTGCGGAAGAAGGAGTCATCACCAAAGTCCAGCCATTTATTTGTAGGGAATAATCAGTTTGCGTTGTTATTCAAAATGCTTTATAGAAGTGTGGAGTGCTTGTCGTCAAATTTAAAGCTCAAATATGGGCTGTCTAACATTCATATGAAGACAGTTCTAGATTTACATGAAACTGAATGGCCAAAATCTCTAGTTTAGCTTTTTAAAATTAATAATAATAATAAAAATAATGTTTTTGTTTTGTATTGCGCTTCTCTGAACTCTCTTAGACGCTTCACAATGCTTTAATCCTATATAAACCTTGAATAACATTTATTCTGGTCGGCCTAAGCAGTAGGCTTAGTAGGCTTAGTAGGCCTTATTCTGTAAGTGGACTTAGCAGTTGCATAGGGCCCCTTATATGTATTTAGGGGTGTCAAACTCATTTTGGTTGGGGCCAAATTTAAAAACATAATCAGAATCAGAATCAGAATAATTTTTATTGCCACGTAGGTAAAAGGAAGTCACAGACTTGGAAATTGCTTTGGCTCAGTGCAACAGTCAGAGAGATAATAAAAAATAAAGCTGGTTGGAGCCAAATTTGACATGAGTTTGGATATTATTTTTTGGTAGTTTTGGATTCAAACACAACTGGGGCAAATATTCATAAGAGAAGTATTGGACAACTATAATGAATATAGTAAATAATATAAATAAGTAATTTTATGTAATTTATATTGTTTAGTGCATTTTACAGACCAAGGTCACCCAAAGCGCTTTACAATTGTTCAGAGTTCAGATAAAGCAACTATAACTTCTAATCACATTTTAGAACAGATACAATTATTTGGATAATAGGCTTTAAAATGAAGTTTAACATTTTGAATTAGCTTTTGTGACTCTCCAAAATGTTCTGTACCAGTAAACAGTAAAACAAACAAAAAAAGTTTATAGAGCTATAAACTTCTCAAAAAAAAAAAGGAATTCAAATAACAATTGTCAGTATTTCCGGGCTATAACCATCAAACATAATCCAACTTTGACTGTCTGTCACATCAAATCAACACTGAAAAATAAGGATAATACACAGAATTGAAGAGCACTTTTGATGTATCTATTCAGCTGATAGTTGACTGTCTGATGCTCCAGGGGTGGGAGGAGGCCGTGATCTGAGGGCGGACTGTGTGCGGAAACTCCAACTCATCCACTCACACCTGAAGAGCCAGGGTCAGAGCCAGCCCAGGACACAGGACTGTGGACAAGTGCTCCTCATGGATCTGCTGAGACTGCAGGACGTCCAGGCCTCTGTGCTGCTGTCTGTGCTGTTAGACATGGTCAGGAAATACTTATCATGAACACAGGCTTATGATGTTTTACTCTGTTTTATTATGGATGCCAAATATGGATGAAGGATCAAAATGAATCAAACAATCGCTCAAGAAACATCTTTAACATGGAATTCATCAAATATATTTAATATAATCCCAATATTATTTGGAATTCCAAATACAAACACCAAACCAATTGCCACTACAAAGGTAAACTTTATAATAATAGTGTATGTTTCTATGGTGTGGATAATACATAAGTGAAAAACAGCTGGATCAACCTGAGCTTTGGTAAAAAATGAATTAGTTATAGTAATGTATTAGTTATAGAATGATATCACCGCTCAGGAGAATTATTTTTGCATTTCAGAGTCCGGACGCTCTGCCATCTCTCCTGGAGGACTGGAGGTGTTCTCTACAGGCGCAGTGTGAGTCCAACCTGCACCAGCTGCTGTCCTCAGCCCAGCCAGAGACAGCAGCGGAGCAGAGCAGCAGTGTGACATCAGCAGGGCAGTGGTGCAGCAGTGTGACATCAGAAGAGGAGCAGAGGAGCAGTGTGGGTGCACCGGCTGCAGAAGCTTCAGCACAACATGATCTCTGTGCAGGTGATGAATGCCTCACCAACATTCAGAGCATTAGGCTTCTTCTGATTTATGAAAGACAGCCGAAACCCACATCCCAACTTGCAGCCCTCCGAGGTCAATTTCAAATCTTTAAAAGTTTCGCCATATATTTTAGTAATGAATGTTTATTTTTATAGCGCATTTTACAGACCAAGATCACCCAAAGCATTTTACAATGTTCAGATATTTTTCCATTCTCTCAACACAGTGATGACGGAAGTGAGATGCCGAACACACTGGCGCATCAAAGCCCCCAACCAACACAATCCATTCACTCACTCATTACATTCAGACCTATTGTACATGTTAACCGGAGCAGGAAAACTCCACACAGAAAGTCCTGGAGGTGGAATCAAACCCATGTATTGTATCTAGAAAAGTTTCTTGTAACGTTTTTATGACTATTTATGAGTGAGTTGGGTAGTGAGTGTGTGTGCTCCGCTGTGGTCTACTCCAGTCTCCTGGTGATTGAAAGTGCCCACCTCTGAGAACCCACAAAAGCACACAGTTTGAGATGATGCCTGATGCACACTGGGATATTCTTGCACAGTTATTCATAAGTGGATTTATAGCAAAAAGCGTACAAACTGAATCTGAATCTGTCTGTTTTGTGTTGCAGACTGTGGGGCAACCATTGTCGCTCTGCCCTACTTGGAGGTTCTGGGCGCGTCTGACATCAGCGTCGATCCAAACACAGCTGAAGAAGAACCAGAGGAGCCCCAAGCCTCTCTGATCACTATGGCCTGGAGCAAACCATATGGGCTGGACTATCCTGACCAAGGAGAGGAAGGACAAAAAGAGTCAAATGAGAGCGAGCAACAGCAGACACAGTGTGGAACCGACACAGGAGATGAGTTACAAGATCACCACACACAACTGGTGAGTCTGTTTGGAGTGTGAGTGACCAGTATCTCAGTGTATTAAATACATGTAGAAGTGCCAAGCAGCCATGCTCTGACCAGAATCGGACCTACATACTTTGTACTGTAACACTGCTAAAGATTATTATCTGAAGAATTTAACGTATTTTTTCTGACCCACATTGTTACTACGAGTATCTACACACATCTTAAGCATGTGTCATTAATACATCCAGTGATGATTCTCTGTTCCTATGCACATTGATACCAATCATCAATCACCAAAGCTTTGTCTCCCTTTGTTCGATCTGGAAGGATTCGAAAACAAACCGGGTTACAGGTGCTATCGCTGCTGCCTCTGTTTTAATTTCTCGACAACCTGTCAACTGCTCTACGAAAAAACAAGACCAAAAATCTCTTTCTGTCTTAGAATGTTAACCAATTATATCAGTAATGAATGAAATGAGACGTTATGATTGTTTGAGTATTTGATATTCCATACACTACATTTGACTATTTGGTTTCATTATATGCTGAAATACTGATCCGAAAGAAGCAACCTGTAAAATCTGTGTATTTGTTGTATTGTTTAGAAAGTCACCAAATGTGAAGAGAACACAGTGCAGGTGTTGGTACCTGATGACCTTCTGACATCATCCCCAAACTCCTCCTGCTCTGACGACGTGGCAGTGAGAGTGGAGGATGAGGAGGCAGAGGGGAAGGACCCCCTGACCACTGCAGCTCCACTGTTACAGGTACACTTCACACGCTGTGAAGACTTTACATACACTACATTTCTCAAGTGACATTGACCATGATGATATATATTTTATTATATCATATAGATTTAGTAAGTAAGTAGTTTATTTATAAAGCAAATTTTTTATAGACCAAGGTCACCCAAAGCACTTTACAATGTTCAGAGTTCAGATATTTTTCTAATCATTCCACACACGGTGAGGATGGAAGCAAGACGCCGAACACTGGCGCATCAAAGCCCCCGAGCAACACCATCCATTCACTCTCTCATTTACATCCATACCAATTGTGCATGTTTTTAGTGATAGAGGAAACCGGAGCACCCAGGGGAAACCTACGCAGACATGGGGAGAACATTCAAACTCCACACCCTGTTCCGACCGGGATTTGAACCCAGGACCTTCTTGCTAAGAAGCGAGAGTGCTATCCACTCAGCCAACGTGCCATGCTATTGAACATGTAAATAGTGAAACAAAGACACAGTGCTAATTGACTATGTTGATAAACATTTCTTGATTTCACTGAGAAAATACAAAAAAATAAACAACACTATCATATGTGCTTTAAGTAAGACACTAACAGTGACTCATCCAGTGGGTTCCTTGTGTTCATAAAAAAGGTGCTCTTCAAGGACTAGGGTCTAGATTCTCCAACATGACGGTGGAGTATGGAGGACCGTGGCTGCCAAAACAATAAATATATACAGAAATAAATAAATCAATTAATTAATTTTAAAAAGATAACATTTGCAAAGAAATGCACGCAATTATGAGAATAAGTGCATTTATTTCTGTATTTATTTATTTATTTATTTCTGTATTTATTTATTTATTTTTTGTATTTACTCATACATTTATTTCTCTATTTCTGTATATATTTTTGTATTTATTTCTCTATTTATTTATTTATTTTTCTATTTATTTATTTATTTCTCTATTTATTTATTTTTTTTCTCTATTTTTTTCTGTATTATTATTATTATTTTTTTTTTTTTCTCTCTCTATTTATTTCTGTATTTATTTCCCTATTTCTCTTAATGATATGCAAGTCATGGGGTGGGCCGGGATGCCTCTGCTGTAAGCTCATTGGTTAATCTTTTTCCTTGCTCCATAGCTTGTTGAGATCACTGTGTTCTTTTCAGACTATTAACATGAAAAGAAGTGAGAGAACAGGTCAAATTCCAAAAATATTAGGGCGCTTTGGGGTGCTCACAAACACCACTGCTCTACAATCAGTGGTGTAGCCTACGCAATACGCAGGTATACGCCGTATAACCACGAGAAGCCACTACAAATTGGGCAAAGATAGGCTACGTATCACTCATTTGCGCAGTGTTACTTTTGCGCTTTCTGCCTGATTAAAGACCAGCCCAAACTCCACAACAATTAACAATTGTCTGGGCACAAAATAAAACATAGCTGAAATGATAGAGGAGTATTAACGATCATCCTCCGCTCTGAGAGTCCACGATGTCGGCCTCTTTATGCTCATTTCCCTGTCCGGCTCGTGAGAGGCTTTTGGCAAAGGCAGTGACAGGTGCTCGTGTGTATTTTACTACAAAGCGCTGAAGTCCGCCGAAAAACCCCGCGTTCGAAGTGTGTGTTTTACACTCAGACACTGGAGCTTTCAGTGAAGGCTGAGAGAGACTGAAAAGTGGACGCGGCCATACAGCACTGACCGAGCCATATTCATGGTACAAACGGTGGCGCGAGTGTGGAGGGGAGTGTATGCTGGACAAGCTATGGAGCAAGGAAAAAGATTAACCAATGAGCTTACAGCAGAGGCATCCCGGCCCACCCAAATAAATAAATAAATAAATACAGAAATAAATAGAGAAAAAAATAAATAAATAGAAATAAAAATAAAAAAAATAGAGAAAAAAAAAAATAGAGACAAAAATAAATAAATTGAGAAATAAATAAATAAATGCAAATATAAATAAATAAATAGAGAAATAAATAAATAAATGCAAAAATAAATAAATAAATATAGAAATAAATAAATAAATAGAAAAATAAATAAATAAATACAAAAATAAATACAGAAAAATAGAGAAATAAATGTATAAATGCAGAAATAAATGTATGAATAAATACAAAAATAAATAAATGAATATATAAATAAATAAACAAATACAGAAATAAATGCACTTATTCTCTTAATTGCATGCATTTCTTTGCAAATTTTATCTTTTTTAAATTTATTTATTTATTTCTGTATATATTTATTGTTTTGGCAGCCACGGTCCTCCATAGTGGAGAGGGACAATGCTGCAGTATAAACTTATAAGGAGAACACGTCAAGGCAGGGCATCATGAGTGAACCTGTTGGCTTGCCCAATGTGAAACATAAAAGGAATTTTATTGTATGTACTAACAGAGTGCCTTGGACCTCTCTTTTGACGGCTTTTACACACATTTATAGTGGAGCATTATCACTCTCCACTGTCTTTTTTGAGAATTACTACATGATTTAGCAATGGGGATCATGACCTTGATTTCCCATTTATTTTGGCATTCCGTGGGTGAAAGTCCCCAGGAAATGCCATAACAAAAATTTATTGTATGCACTTATTTATTGTTTTAGGAATAGAAACTTGGCCTGGAAATGTAACAGAAAATGTACAAAATAAAATAATCAAGATTAGTAGATTTTTAAATGCGGCACATGGCTAAGTGGATAGCACTCTCGCTTCTCAGCAAGAAGGTCCCGATTTTGAATCCCGGTCGGAACAGGGTCTTTCTGTGTGGAGTTGCATGTTCTCCGTGTGCCTACTCCGGTTTCCTCCGGGTGCTCCAGATTCCTCTACCACAAAAAAACATGCATGATAGGTAAAAATCCTCCAGCTCCGGTAGTCCTGACCAAGCTGAGCATCAACTAGGCCCTAGCGGCATTTGCAGGATGGGTCAAATGCAGAGGACAAATTTCCCTAAGGGGACAATAAAGTGCACATTTCAATTTCATTTATTTTAGGCCCTGAGCATCAATGGGCCAATAAAAACGGAATAGAGAGAAGACTCACTTTACAATGAAAAAGGAAACTGTAATGTAATATAATCATTATTGCAACAAATATAGTGGGACTAGTCAGTAAAACGCATTGTAAAAATAGGACTTCAGGCCTCAGATTCAGTCACAGTTTAAGAACCATCGATGCAAGCAGAAAACACACATCTAGTTAGTGGCACAGCTAGTCTTTAGCTTTATCAAAACTCCTATGGGGAAAATTAAAGAGAATTTTTTTCTTTCTGAACCAAAGCAGACTGCCAAGTATTTTGAAAGTATTCTAACAACATCTAAAATGAATCAAGAGGCTTAACCCTATAACGCCATTTGAATCATATTTGATACCTGAATTTATGAGATCCCTCCATAATCAGTGTGATTTTTTTTTTTCCAAAAACCTTTTGTATACAATTAGACACTTAAAGCACATTTCCATCCACCAGAGGTTAGTAATTTGGGCTCTAAAGGGATGTGAGTGAGACGTCAACACACACTCATTGAACTCTTTGACCCACGTGTTTTTTTTAATCTAACATAATTTCAAATTGAAACTTTATAATATGAGAAAAACTTTAAAATTGTTACTGATACTTCAAGGGCAATGTTTAGAGGATTCATGCAATGTAAAACTTTAAAATATTTTACAACTTAATTTATAGTAAAGCCATGTTGAAATTGTCTGTATCAAATTCTATACAGCGGGTATTTGCGGTAATTTATTTTCCACTATATTTTTCATTTTTTCATTATTTTTCAAGACTTATGCATCAAATAAAGCATCACCCAGTTTGTTATCTTACATCATTTTTGTTTAAATTAGCTTTAACTATATAATCCAGGTTTATTTGGGGTAGATATTTTTTAGTCATGACCTTTGATGTACATCAGTCGTCATAAATAATCACTACAATACAACAAAATGCTTATGGGAGGATTAGTTGATAAAAGTAGAATATGGGTAGGTAGTTTTTTTGTTTAAAAAATAATAGATAAAGATTCCCCGAAATAAAATATTATGTATTTTTTTCAAATGGAAAAAAAAAAAGAAAGCATTGAGGATGTTGTGACGATGATTATCAATAGGCATTCGGGTGATATGAAGGAAAACATTTTTATAAAAATATAAATACTTTTTTTCTGATAGAAAACACTAATATTGTATGTGGACGGCTCTGTTCATACTGGCGAACAAATACCCAATGTATCAAAAGTGAAACAAATCAATAGTCACATTTGCAGATTGAAATTTTATTTTTTGATTTATATTTCTGTTACAGGGATCAGTTATCACACCAGTCTCCAAATATGAGAATTTTCTGGCAATTATCTGACAGTGGGGCGGCTGCGGCTGTAAAGTGACAAACTGCCGTTGTGTCCTTAGGCAAGACACTTTACCCCCATTGCCTAGAATGAGTCTGGTGTGTGTGTGAATGGTTGCTGGTGGTCGGAGGGGCCGATGGCACATACTGGTTGCCTCGCTTCTGTCAGTGTGCCCCAGGGCAGCTGTTGCTACAGTAGTAGTTTATCACCACTGTGTATGGAATGAAAGAATAATGACATGTAAAGAGTTTTTGAGTGTCCAAAAATGCGCTATATAAAACCGATGCATTATTATTATTATTTCATGCACGGGTGGTAGTCCAATACACTTAATACAATTTTTCCAGGAGACGAGGCCGGAGATGGTTTGTTTTGGGGACAGGGAGCAGGCCATGAGCGTCGCAGACAGGGAGCAGGCCGTGCGCAGTCTTGTGGACCTGCAAAGGAGAGTAGAGCAAAGGCAGCAGAGGGACCGGCAGAGACAGCTCCTGAAGGTGAGTGGAAAAACACTCATAACACTCTCTTAAGTTATCTTCACCGCTTTGTAAAACTTTACAAATAACATTTCTATGATAACCACTGAGATAGGATTTGCAATTTAGTAACATATATTGCTCCACAATACTTAAATCCGATGTGTCCAAACTTTTTAGTAAGAGTTTCACTTTTGTTAAACAGGCTTGTCCAGGGCCCAACGAACCGGATTGTATAACTGTTTTGACTGGATTGGGGCTGTTCTGAGCTTCATAATTAGCTATGATGGAGCTGAAGTTGACAAATGACTATCTCACCACATACTTGTAGGGAAGTAATCATATTTCTTTCTTTTTTACTTTACTGTAACTTGCACGCAAACCAAAACCAATTCAAAATAAGTTTATTGTCCTCTTTAATAACCATTGTGTTATAAAAATGTCTATAGACTTCAAACACACACACACACCCCTGCACACATTCTTTGCTCTTGCACCCCGCGTGTTTGTTTGTGTGTGTGTCTGCATGAGTCCGTTATATTCCCAATATACAGTAGACAACATCATTATTTAACAGATACTAAAAAATAGTTTCCACAAGGGGGCAGTTAGCTGGTTTTCCCCATGTGCCAGGTCCAGGAGCGCCTCTCCATCATCCAGAGCAGAAAGGCAGAGGAGGAGCAGCTGGGCCTGAAGGATCGCCTCAAACTACTCACACATGACCTCGCACAGGTACTCTCACCTTTCAAGGAGGACACTGCAAGATATTTTTAATTGTACATTTGCCTTTGAGATGAACGGTCTATTTTTTGGTTACATGCCAATGGACTGGAGAAAAGAGGATGAGAGTCTGTTCAGTGCCTTGCTTATTGGTAGCAAAAAGCTATAACAAAGAAATGGTTATCCCTGGACATACCAACTTTGACCCTATGGTGGGAAATATCTTTAGAAATGTATAAGATGGAAGAGCCGACGACCTATGTGAATGACACTCACGGTTGGTTTGATTCTTTTTGGAATAAGTAGCTGAGACCCAATTGAATAATAACATGTAAATGATTGCTGATTTGGATTACCTTTTAAACTATAAACTATGAAAACGCTTAAATAAAGAATAATAAAAAAGAAAATCAATGTATTAAAGCTTTTAATCATGTCACAACATTGTTTATCATCAAAAACAGATGTGGAGATGCTTTTACATCCACCCACAATGAAACATGTAACTGCTCCTGTCTTATGCCAATGTGTGAAATTAAACGAGTTAATGAGCAAAGCAAATCGGTTGAATTTGTTCAAAACATTTTTTATTTAAAAAAACATGTACTAACACCATCCAGCAAACACAATTGTCCATTCATCTTTATGCTCCATGACATCAACGAATGTCTATACCTCCTGTGATGAAGTGGTCCTGTAGTTTTGGCTTCCCAGAATCCCAGCGATACTCTTTAAAATATCAAAGAATGAATATACTGTATGTCAGGTCAGGCAATCTGAGCTGCCACCCAATCCTCAAAGCACCAGTCCCTCACTGATCCTTCTGCAGGTGGTGGTCCACATGAAGATGGCTGCTCTGTCAAACAAAGACAAGTGCTTGGTGTCAGCGGGGCTTGGGTCAAAGTGGGGTTAAGTGTCTTGCACAGGGACACAATGACAGCAGACTTTAATCGTGTGGGGATCGAACCCACAACCATTAGGTTCAGAGCTCTACCAACTAAGCCAATGTCGCTTTAGAATGAAGGTATCAACATTATAAACATTTAAGTTTTGAAAGACAGTTCTAATACTAAATGATACCGAATTGAAATATGTATAAAGTATGATAAATCAGTGTTGCAGTATCTACGCAGTCTTCAGGGAGTCCATGAGTGCACAATGACATATATCACTTATCGTTTGAGTATTAAACTGATGTTAACTAATATATAACTGATGTTCCCTGTATCTGTTGTTGCAGGAGGACCTCCAGCAGCAGAAGGCTTTAGTGAAGGAGAGACTGGATCAGCTGAGACGAGAGCGCTCGTGCATCTTGATGTCCAAGAGAGACAAGTGGGTCCTTCACAATGCCCCTCAAACAATACCATTGTTTACCTTTGACTTTACCTATGTTCTCTAGGAACACAGCTGGGTTTAAGGAGCTCTTGGGCCCAGCAGGACTGCACCACATCAAGATCAAGGAAGATGCAGACTGAGAGGACTTTGTATAGACAGCCTGTATATTTTCTGTGGACAAGCACGATGTTTAACCCTTTAAGGATTACCTAATTTCGCCTGCTCCTTCTCGAATTATGATACCCAAATGGAAATGCTTATTGTGTGGACATCTTGTGTCTGATTTTGTGTTATGATGCCTCATTTGAAAGGTAACACCTTCTAGTTTCTGAAAATGTATGTTACAGTTTGTTAGGAAGGACACAGTCTGCACTACACCTTCTCAAACATGAGTCAAAGTTAGTTTTTTTGTCTCGAAAAAAAAAAGGCAATTTCAAAAGGTTCTTCTGAAGACATACTTTATGGTATGTTGTTCAAACTCACCAGAGCAGATGTTTGTGGTGTTGGAAACACCTGTATGAAATTTTAGACCTTTAGGTGGAACTATTTGGAGGTTGGGGGCTTTTTTGTAACTAATGGGCACATTCGGCACAAGTGGTCCATTTTTGTGCCAACTGTGCAAAAGTGTTTTACATGCAAATTATCAATGTTTTTACACCAAAAATCCATTTATATAATTTTTTGGCTATTACTCTTGCTATAAATAGCATTTTTTCCAGATATTGAAATGTTTGCAGAAAAGCTATTATTTATATAGTTATAGCGCGTGTTCTCCGTGAAAAAAGCTCCGTCTTCCTCTTTACGCATTCAAATATGACGGGAACAGTGGGAGGAAGCTAGAAGTCCGACACATCGCCTGAAACCTGAGATTATTGGCTACAAGATGATTTGATTGACATCCAAATCGGCCAATGGTAGTCAAGACAATGCTGTCATGACGCACAGATATCTATATGACTGGAGCGCTAAAGCTAGGTGCGCTTGTTTTACTCAACTTACTCTACCTTCCAAACTATAGCACTGAAAAGTCCGGGAATGGGCTTGTTTTGAAGGGAAGACTGAGAGGAAGACGAACATACCCAGTGACGCTAGCTAAACAGTAAAATGTCCTCTTCATACAGTGCGCAAAGAACAGGTTTTGTTTTTGTTTGTGCAACTTTCAATACTCAAATATGTTGTTGCAAGTGGATATCTACTATAAGGATGACTTTGAAGAAAAAACAACTGGATATAATTATTCTCTAGACCGAAACGAACAAAACAAATGCACACATGTGTGGATTAGACGTGATTTGCCCCAGAATATTAGCATGACAAGGTAAGAAACGACAATATATATTTTAAACATATATACAGTTTGACTACTTATTCTTACTTTTGGTTATATTTAATGTTTATTTGAACATAATACGTGTATAGAGGTGGGAATAAGCTTTCAAAAGAGATATAGCTTGACTATATTGACACAAGTGAATTCTAATACTGATGCTGTTAAATGAAAAATAACTGAATCCTCCCTGTACAGGGAGGGTGATCCTTAAGAGGTTAAGTCTTCCTCTTACTATATATATATCGATACATTTTGCTTGACTAATTCCAGTCTAATTTGTATGTGGCATTTTGATGAAATGATTGTGAAAATGCATGGATTATTAATACATTCCATCCTTTTTCCTACACTTTAAAAACAACTGAGGTAATAATTGCTAGAATCAAGTAGTTCTTATCCTAATACGAGTACATTGTCTCAAAACAAGATTTGCCAATGGCATAGTCTTATTTCAAGTACTATTCCTTTATTTTCTCATTCACATGAAGACATTTAACAAGATAATTTGTCTTGTCCCATTGCCAAATCTTTTTTAAGGCAGTCAGAATGTGCTCATATTATCCAATTTGCCAAATTTGAGCATTTGACTTTTTTCTCCATCACTATTTGCAGTGTGGTCCATTTTTGAACCTGAACTGCAGGCTGATGACTTCAAACCTGTATTACTGATCTTAGGCAGTAGTAGAGAATGAAGAGCATGGCACCCGGCTGGTTTATTATACATTTTAATCATTTGGACAAACATAGGCATTAACATTAATTAATCACTGATCCCCTCAGCTGTGTACACATCAAACCCCTGTGGACTAAATTACAGACACGATGAGTCCTGATAGTGCGGCTCAACCAGCCACATAGCGCCCATTTACTTGAATATAACGTTACTTTAATTTGGATTTCTGCTTGTTGCTTAGATAACATGATGGACGCTGCTGTGGAGGCCTACTGCACTTAAAGATGTATTTACATGTTTATGGGGATTGAATGAACATGTCCAATGACATTTGGCAAATGACGGAACAAATCTTATTGTACAGAAATATTGAGAGTCCAGAGGTGCTCCTGCGAGATAAGGGAGTGTCTAAAGTGAAGCAAATGACCATTCAAATGACTGTATAATATGTACAAGCGCACTGCAATCCAACACAAAGCTGAAACACTAAACAAACATTCAAGAGTGGCTCCTGTATCACACATACAAAGTACAAGTGTCCTCATCTCACATGAGGAGTCTACAACAGAAAGACTTCTGCAGGCCCACATGAACATTCAGACTATCAAGAGGAGAATAAAGCTGGAATTACAAACTAAGGGGACATTGTGCAGCCGACTGGTGTGTGTGGAACAGAACCCATTCTCAAGTATTTCACACGCAGGACGCCTGGGAGACTTGTCCAATGTGCGCTGTTACTGCTTCATAAACAAAAGGCAGGGCAGATAGATTTTCGGAACTGAACTGTTGAACTGAAGTCATCACAACTACTTCCAATACTTCAACTTGTATGTGCAAGATCTGTGCAGAAAGCAGCATGGATTGATAAATAGCTTTTACACCTCATCTGCAGGCGCATGTTTATGTGAAGATTTACAGACCAATGTGAAAGTGAACCCCTTTTGAAAAAGAAGTCAGACCAAGTTCAGCTAGTGCATCTAAGATGATGCAACCATCTGCAGCCGCCAACTTCAGTTAGAAGCGCGCTCCTGTCCAGAAACAAAAGAATGATCTATCCAGCATTTTACATGTCGTGGACACCATGAGAGGAGGTGTGAGGGTATGTTTCATTGCCTCTGTCAGAGGGAAGAGGACATGTCAGTCCGTATGTTATATCAGTCAGCTCAGAGTTTGTGTATATGTTAACAAGTGTGTGTGTGCGTTTCTATGAGGAGTCTCTACTGGTGTGCACACTGCACTCCTGGACCATGGTGGCCACCTTCCTCATCGGAACTATCATTATAAGCCTCCCTCCTGGCTCCTCCCCCAGCTTGACTCTTATCAAATTCTGTGAGATCTACTTCCTCTGCATCTGGAGCGATGACGGGCGTCTCAGAGCGGGCAGGTAGCAAACACTCCAGCTCCTGTAACACAAAATTCAACTGAAAATTCAACATCACCTTCGGAAAAATAAATGTGCCTTGTTTAAACTCACATTGAGTTTTTCAGGGCTGATCCAGTTGTTGTCAGGAAATTGGACATCAAACTTAATGTAAAGGTCTCCCTTCTCAAAGGGGTTTCTATACTGAGGCATTCCCTCCCCTTTCACGACTCGTATAGAACCTACAAAAATGAGACATGGAAGTTTAATAAAACAAGAGAAATGTAATAAATGCTGCATGACAGACCATTACCTGGCTCAATAACTTTTCCAGTGGGATATTTGACAAGCAGCTGTCTTGCATCTAGATGTGTGATGGTTATTTGGAAACCACACAGAGCCTCTACCAGTCCAATGCGCTGCACCATGTGTAGGTCGCTTCCCTCGCGTTTAAAATCCTGTTTAAAAAAAGAAAAGGAACATGGCAACATTCAGATGGGTTTAATGCTTTATTTGAAAAGAATATATAGAAACATCTGCACAGCTATGTATCTCAAAGTATGTGAATCAAAGACACTTGGGAGCAACATAGTTGGGCTGATTTGTCTCTATTTTTTCATATATTGCATCTTTTATGAATCTAGCACGCTAGTTCAGGCTACTGGGATGTGCGTCCTTATTTGAAACCTTTACGGCTTTATTAAAACACATACATTTATTGTCCAACTTCCAGTCTTTCTTAGTTAGGACTAGGAGTAGTGAGGATGAGGACTAGAGGTAGACTTCCAGGTCTGAATTTCCCTCAAAAGGCTTTTTTTGATCAATCCATTCAGTATATTCATGTAGCAAAGCTGTAGCTATTTCAACCAAGGCAAACGCTTGAGCACACACTAGGTGTAGCTGGTTTTAGGCAGAGCAGGTGGTACCTCATGTTCCTTCTCTTGTAGCACTAGGACGATGTCTCCAGGCTCTACCCCTGGAGCTTGGTCAGCTTCTCCAGTAAACGTGATCTTCTGACCGTGCTTCATGCCTTTGTCCACATGCACCTCCAGGAGCTTGGTCTCCTTACTGACCTTGTGGCCCTCACACTTCTTACAGCGGTCCTTCTCATTGATCACCTCGCCTGCACACAGGACAACTTGCTTTACTCACAGCTCTGAGTGGTGAATAAGAACACAGAAGCCGTTACCTTCTCCGTTACAGTCTGTACAGACGGACTGCATCTGTTGGACCATCCCAGGAGCCAGCTGTCTGATCATGACCCTCATGCCTCTCCCCCGGCAGGGTGTGCACTTCTGAACGGCCCCAGCCTTTCCTCCCTGACTGAAAGAGGCAGACTTACAAGTCAGACACCTTCAAATCAAAAGGGTTATAAAAACGAGCATAACGACTTACCCATTGCACGCCCCACACAGCACATTCTTACTGAGCTGTAGTTTTGTAGTTTTCCCATTATAGAGATCCTCCAGGGAAACTCTGCAGCACACAGAGTAGCAGTCACTTACAAAGCCTTTTGCCAATTTGGTTTTCCATGTCATTCATAAATAATTGTATAGCTCATTAAAAATACACAGTTGAACAAATACTATATTTTTATCAATTACAATAATTATTTATTGATAAGAATTTCTTTATGTTATGAAGACACAGCGTTTTTATTTTAAGTGAATGTCAGTTTCTTTTTCAGTCAAAGTTTTAAATTCTCAAAAAAGAACAAGAGCTTTCACATCCCTCAAAGTACCAGTTAGACCCACCTATGCTACCTGACTTCTACGCAAATTAACAAATTAAATTCACATCCTTGGACTGACAGACCCTTCTATGGTTACCATGCATTACAGTACAGGGTCCGTCAGTAAAAAAGAAGACAGACATCCTGCAGTGTTTTGAGGAGTATTTTTTGGTTAAAAATATATTTAAAGCTAGGGTACCCAAATTTCAAGCCACGATAAATCGTTTATTTTTATTCTATTTATTTATTTATTGTTTATTTGGTTGGGACAGTACACGTGTGCCATTAGCCATGGGCTAATTTCCATCCGTTGTGCCACATTCGCACTCACAAACACACACATTCATCCTGAACTATTGCAAATGGGTTTAGTGGTAGGGGAAACCGAAGTACCCGGAGGAAACCTACGCAGACACGGGAGAACATGCAAACTCCACTCAGAAAGGCCCTGTTCTGACCGGGATTCGAACCCAAAACCTTCTTGCTGAGAGGCGAGAATGCTATCCACTCAGCCACTGTGCCGCCCGCACAACAAATTGAATATGTAATACGTATAACTAGCTACTGGCTCTAAACCTGTATGATTCTAATTACTAGTCTTCACATGCATGTGTTATTGGCCCCCCATATAGATCATCTTTTTCTGACAAAAACGTGGAAAAAAAGGGGGCCACCCTCACTCACAGCCCAGAGTGTCAAAGAGTGACTCACAGGGCCATTTCTTGTAAAAGATCAGAATCATAATTAAGCTATTGCCATTGTAAGATTCAGATTTATGCAGATAAAATCTGGAACAGTCTCCCTGAAAATGTGAGAGAGGTGTCTACTCTGACAATGTTCAAATCCAGGTTTTAAAACGGTTCTGTTTGCCTGTGCATACAACTGAAAGATTCTATCTCTATTTTTAATGCACTGTGGTTATTTATTATTTTAATTACTTGTGGGATTTTAATGGTGATTTTGGTCTAATTTATAAGTGAGGATGTGTGCCTAGTGTGATGTGGACTGTGAAGCACTTTGTGTTGCCCTGTGTAGGAAAGGTGCTCTACAAATAAAGATTGATAAGTAACAGGAAGCCACAAAATTCCTAGAATTTTCTTTGGCTCAGATAACATGTTTTCTAAAATAAATTTCTTATTTGTTCACCAATTTTAACAAGAATATTCCTGTTGGAACAAAATGTATGTAATATCTAAAAAAAAAAAGTTAGGTATCTGTTGGGAAAAAATACAGGTAATATAGTGAAAAAAATAGGTATCCCAGCTATAAAAGTGTCTTAGAATATTTTAAGTATAAACCCCATTACTTGAGCGGGTGCACCATGTCCTCGCCTCTCCTGCGTCCGCCGTTACGCCTCCGGCCTCCATCCATGAACCCAAACAGCCCTCCTCCAAAAATATGGGAGAAGATGTCATCCATGCCAGGCCCTGGACCTCCGCCCTCTCGGAGCCCCTGCTCTCCATAGCGGTCATACAGCTCCTTCTTCTCCGGGTTGGACAGCACTTCATACGCAAAACTGATTTCTTTAAACTGAAAATGCCAGCACACAAAGTTGAGATGAATAATCTATCAAATATACACCTCATATTGGTCCTACTCAATGTTACCTTATCTCCAGCATCAGGATTTTTGTCTGGATGGTATTCTTTTGCTAGTTTCCGGTAGGACTGGAGAAAACACAACACATTCAAAGGTTAGTTGCAGACCCTGGTGAAACTATTTATAATCCTAAATCCAGCCATGGCGTGTGCTGCCTGTCATAAACAGCAGTGACTCTGAACAACTGACTGTGGTTGACATCTCCCCTCTCAGCGTGTTCAGCGATCCATAGAACAACATGTATTACACCAATACTGATATCGGAACATAAACACATAGTTTGAAATTATAATGAAAGATTTGGCTATAATATTAAAATCAAACAAATAGTATTCTCACATTTTCGAACACAGGCAGAGATGTGATATTAAGTTTTTGGAAACATGATGCCGCAAGAGGAAATCCACCTGATATTATCATACATTATCTTAGCCATTGAGCTGCCGCTTTTGTAATATTAACGGAGATAGTTATTAAAATGTATACTGCTGACACATCGGTCTATTGCCCATGACATTATTTTTGTACTGCGTAGCTTTACACAGGCCTAATCCAATTTAAGTATGGAGGAATATCACAGTAGGTTTTTTAACTTGTTTTTTGACGTATAGCCTGTATGCTAGCTCCGAGTTTGAAGCTCGCTTCTGATTATTGTACAACTTCGTCGACGTATCCACTATAGAAATAAATATAAACAGTACGTTAACATTAGCTGCAACGTGACTGTTAAAGGCCCAGTTCTGGAGATGATTACACATTTAGCCAGGCTAACCCAACGCTCTACGGCACAGCGAGCGCACTGCCGACTGCTTTTAGCATTACAGCTAACGCCGTAGCTCACGTTGACAACTGCAGGAATACACAGGTTAATGCCCTCTCCGCGTGGCTTTTTAAATTTGGAATTGTTCATCTCTGTCTACACATTGACATAGTTCTGGACACGAACCTTTTTCAGTTCATTTTCCGACACTGAGGGGGAAACTCCGAGGATATCGTAGAGCCTGGTGTCCGCGACATTCGCCATGATGCTAACAGGCTAAAGCTAACTGTGAGGCTCTGCAGAGGGAGTCAGCTGAGCGCAGTCAAGGACAGGCCCGTAGCGACAGGGCAAGTGAATGGGGCATTACCAGGCCCCCAGCGGCCAAAGTACAGAAACAGATTAATCTGATCTTCATCTATATCACACATTTCACAGCCAGAGTCACACAATGCGCTTAACAATTTTGTGCTACAGTACTTCCCTAGAACTAGGGGCATCCCAGGGGGCCCTACGACACACACATAGATGTTGGAATAGATTTCTGGGGTCCATAGCATCCCGGTCACTAGCGTGTCCTTGGGCTGGACCAACAAAAATGTGTCCACTGATGGACATATAAAGAATCTCTTATACAGTGGCTTATTTGATAATTTGAAATTGTTAAAGAAGATTTAATAGTGGATGAAAAGTGGAATCATCTGTGATACTTTTAGAAGTGAGTGTTTTAGAAGATTGTTAATATTATGTTAATTTGTTTCATGTTTGGGTTGCTCTCTGCATGATTTTCAAGTCAACTTCTCCAAGAAGATAGAGTTCTGGCAACGTCACTGCGCTACCTCAATGGAATGTTTTTCGAATGTGGCTTTAATTTGCAAATAGCAATGTACTAAATACAATAAACTGAATCTGAAACAAGATCATTAAATAGTATTTTGGTCATCCAGATTTGTATTGTATGTATTCATAGTTATGCTCTTATTTTGGGGTGAGATATTCCCTAAGGTTCCTCTCTCCCCACTGCCGCAGCCCTGGCCCCCACCAGAGCTCACACCGGCCCTGTCAGTACAGCGCAGAGATGGGCCTGCCGGTGACCTAGCGTTTACAGCCAAAGTCGGCGAGCTTTCCCCTCACATATCTGCTGGCCCGCTGCAAACAGATGCCGGACAATAGGTAAGCCTCGTAGAGAGTGCTATGCGGATGTTTGTGTGAATATTGTCACAGTGAAATGTTGTTGTTATTCTGTGTAGAGGGATGAGGAGAGCGCTGCTAGGTCTGTGTAAGGGCAGCGCTGTTTCCAATGAAGCTGCTATTAGCTGTTTACTCTAATGTTGCGTACTTGATTGTGGCTTTCTTTACCATGCACATCGATTCAACACATGAACAAAATCAATAACGGGACACAATTCTGAATGGATGTAAGTGCGTGTCGCGTAGTATGCAGTAGCGGGGATTGGAGGAGGATTGCGGAGATGGATGTACACATAGTGCGCGGTTTAGTCCACAGATAAACGCATTAGACACAGACTGACGCTTGTGCAGTGCTCTGTTATTTCACTATTAGCACTGATCATCTCTTTCGACAAGATGCAGGAGGCCCGCGTTAAAGGGATCGTTTGTCAGACCTTTTACTTTACAAAAGTATATATGTAGTGTTTAAAGGTAAAATAATCTAAAGTTCCCATTTTGTTATACCACGCAAATCTTTCTTAGAAAAATATTCTCTAATGTGATGGTTTCCCCAAAGTTTGGCCTTAAGTCAGTCCATTATGTGACCATGTTTGTTTGATTATTCTAAAAAATGAAATAAAAATGCACACTATTTATGTATAAGTGAGTTGGAAAATATAAAAAAAAAAAATTCTGTAAAATTAAATGCAGGAAAGTCACAGCAAGTCCCTTCAAAACATATTCTGATATTTGTGTTGCCTCCAGTAGAAAATAATCTTAATGGTGTGGGGACGAAAGGCCTGTGGAGCAGACTCACAGCTTCAGTGTCTTTGCCCATGGGCAGCTTTGGCTACAGCTCTGAGTGCTCTTATTTCTTCTTCTATTCTGCTGTCTAATTTCAACAATGAAATTCCCCCACTGAGGGACAAATAAAGGTTTATTATCTTATCTTATCCAAGCACTAAGTCTTGGATAAGACTTAGTGCTTGGTAATTAATGAATAATAACTACAGTGCAGCACTTTGAGAGCTTAATTTATTTTGACAATGGAGTTTGTCAGTTCTTAATTATTTTTAAATTTATTTGGCCGCTGTGTTTACCCTGTACACGGCTTGGGAAAAAGACAAGATCGAAAGGTGAGTTGAAAGCCGAAATGACACATCAGCGTGGAGTGGTCAGTGTGAATGGAACAGATTTAATCCCATCACAAAAAATCCCAGTGGAAAGTATTTAATCTTGCAGTACATTGAAACTCGTCTGCAGCTATGTGAGATGTTATTAAATCAAACCAAAAATAGAATGTTGTCAAATAAATAATGAAAACACATTCAAACAAATCATACATAAAGTTGCATGTTAAAAATTGGCTTTTCCAATTTTGTGTGATTTGGAGGATTCAAAAGCAGCATCATGTGAGAGTTATGAAGAGAGCAGACAAACAGGACAGAAGTCAGCTTTATTTCCCCATGCACCTGTCTGATCTGTCAGTGTTGTTTTCCAGTTAAGTGTGAGGACTCGGCAGCATGTTCTGGAAGTTTGAGCTGCACCCGGCCTCTCACCTGGAGGCTCTGCTGGACCAGGAGGATGTGAGCCTGAGCCAGCTGCTGGAGGAGGACGATGTGCTGCAGGAGTGCAAGGCCCAGAACAGGAGGTGCACACAGCTCACACACAGGGCATCTTTTTATTGATGTTTGAAAGACTTTGAGTGCCCTTCTAATGGAGTCGCTCAGAGTTAGAGTAAAATTTAACAAACCAGTAAACATTGATGCCATCAAGAATTGCGGTTATCTATAGCTTCACTTTTTCGTGTTCGTACTTTTCCTGTTTGCCAACTTTCTGTCTTTTGGACTCCCTGAGTGATCCTATTTATGCCAAATGTGAGATTTGCAACATTCTGGTAAGACAAGGAAAGTGTATTTGTATAGCACAGTTCATACACGAGGCAACTCAATGTGCTTAGATAGATAAGGCATTCAAATCATAAACAATCACAGTATATTAAAAGGGTGAATATACAATCCTTCCCGTTCTTTGCACAGCTCAACAGAACTGTTTTTAATCTGGATTTAAGTGAACTGAAGATGTACTTCATTGTCCCTGTATGGAAATTTGTCCTCTGCATTTGACCCATCCTGCAATGACACTAGGGCCTCAATCAGGAGTAGTGGTCCCTGCAGTGCAGGGCCCGACGAGTAAACCATACAATGTTCAAATTCAATTCAAACTTTATTAAGAGTCTTCTAGTTTTATTTGATAGTTTTACAATCTGTCAGGGTGATATGGCAAAAAAGTAAAATCTCAATTTTATTTCCTGCTTTGGGCGATTTAGATTTTAAATCAGACTTTGCCCTTAAAAATACTTTTTGATCTTTCCACGCAATAATCAAGTTTCAAAACTATTTGTTTAATTTGTTTCCCCAATACACTTTATAAAAGTCTTGTACAGACTGTGCTGATATTGCAAGTATAATTCATGTGCTGAATTATACTTGCATATATTTTTCACATTTTTCACAAATTCAATTTTTCAAAGCCGATTACCCAACTGTCAGCTAAGAATGATCTAAACAGCTTTGATAGGGCAATTTTGCTATAATTACTGCTATGTTGTACTGTGACATCATTGTTTTCTCGTAACATGTGTTTGTGTTCCTCTTCAAGACTGCTGCTGTTCCTCTGCAAGGACCAGTCCATGCAGGAGCTGGTGCGGCTGATCACCACAGAGCCGCCAGCCAGTGAGGAGGAGACCAAACGCTTCAAGTATGTTCTTCACCATTTATATTTACTAGGGCTGTCATGATTACGCTCGATAACTACATTTTTCCTTAATCACCATGTATCCCATAATATCACTCAGAATGCCGCGGATACATGCAGTTGTGTGAGAAGGCAACAGAGAATGTAGGCCCTCTGGGAATTCAAGTTTAAAAGAATACACGCGTGACTGCGCTGTTGTTTGCTATGAACTGAAGTCCGCCTCCTCCGTGGCTGTAGTGTTCTGACCCGGGGCAGCTGCGGCCGCTCTGGAGAGAGGTTCCCACCTGTGAGCCGCTAAAAACAACACAGCGAATGGCGCCGCGGTAACATGATCCAAGACCAGGTCTTTGCGTAACCTGTGCGTAACCTGTGCGTAACCTATCACGCAAATACACAGCTGAAGCTGAACTATGGAGCCTCAGGAAGTGTCCGTGTCTCCTCCTGAAATGCAATTAAACTCGCTAAATTAAAGCTGGGGTACGTACATTGCTTTGCGAAAGTATTCGCCCCCTTGAACCTTTCGACATTTCGCCACATTTCAGGCTTCAAACATAAAGATATAAAAATATAAAAAAATGTCAAGATCTCAACAACAAGTGGGACACCATCGTGAAGCAGAACAAAATTTATTGGATGATTTAAAAAAAAAATTATAAATAAAAAACTGAAAAGTGGGGCGTGCAATATTATTCGGCCCCCTTGCGCTAATACTTTGTAGCGCCACCTTTTGCTGCAATTACAGCTGCAAGTCGCTTGGGGTATGTTTCACTCTCTCGATGTTTGCACATCGAGAGAGTGAAATTCTTTCCCATTCTTCCTTGCAAAACAGCTCGAGCTCAGTGAGGTTGGATGGAGAGCGTTTGTGAACAGCAGTCTTCAGCTCTTTCCACAGATTCTCGATTGGATTCAGGTCTGGACTTTGACTTGGCCATTCTAACACCTGGATACGTCTATTTGTGAACCATTCCATTGTAGATTTGGCTTCATGTTTTGGGTCATTGTCCTGTTGGAAGATAAATCTTCGTCCCAGTCTCAAGTCTTTTGCAGACTCCAACAGGTTTTCTTCCAGAATGGTCCTGTATTTGGCTCCATCCATCTTCCCATCAATTTTAGCCATATTCCCTGTCCCTGCTGAAGAAAAGCAGGCCCAAACCATGATGCTGCCACCACCATCTTTGACAGTGGGGATGGTGTGTTCAGGGTGATGAGCTGTGTTGCTTTTACGCCAAACATATCGTTTTGCATTGTGGCCAAAAAGATCGATTTTGGTTTCATCTGACCAGAGCACCTTCTTCCACATGTTTGGTGTGTCTCCCAGGTGGCTTGTGGCAAACTTTAAACAAGACTTTTTATGGATATCTTTGAGAAATGGCTTTCTTCTTGCCACTCTTCCATAAAGGCCAGATTTGTGCAGTGCACGACAGATTGTTGTCCTATGGACAGACTCTCCCACCTCAGCTGTAGTTATCTGTAGTTCATCCAGAGTGATCATGGGCCTCTTGTCTGCATCTCTGATCAGTCTTCTCCTTGTTTGAGATGAAAATTTGGAGGGACGGCCGGGTCTTGGTAGATTTGCAGTGGTCTGATACTCCTTCCATTTCAATATAATTGCTTGCACAGTGCTCCTTGAGATGTTTAAAGCTTGGGAAATCTTTTTGTATCCAAATCCGGCTTTAAACTTCTCCACAACAGTATCTCGGACCTGTCTGGTGTGTTCCTTTGTCTTCATGGTTCTCTCTGCGCTTTAAACAGAACCCTGAGACTATCAAAGAGCAGGTGCATTTATACGGAGACTTGATTACACACAGGTGTATTCTATTTATCATCATCAGTCATTTAGGACAACATTGGATCATTCAAAGATCCTCACTGAACTTCTGGAGTGAGTTTGCTGCACTGAAAGTAAAGGGGCCGAATAATATTGCACGCCCCACTTTTCAGTTTTTTGTTAAAAAAGTTTAAATTATCCAATAAATTTTGTTCCACTTCACGATTGTGTCCCACTTGTTGTTGATTCATGACAAAAAATTTAAATGTTATATCTTTATGTTTGAAGCCTGAAATGTGGCGAAATGTCGAAAGGTTCAAGGGGGCCGAATACTTTCGCAAGGAACTGTAAATGTTCCCTTTCATTAACAGCTCATATTGGTTGTGCCCAAAAGTAAAAGGTTGTGAGAAAATCAAACAGATTCAAGTGTGGATGGGGCTTAACAATTTGGTTCTTAAACATGATTTCAACCTCACTAAAACGCAGTTATCATGGTGTGTGTGCTGGGAACAGAAGGAAATCTTTTATTACATTCCAGTTGTCATTCCTTCACAGAGAAAGAGACAAGTGTGGATAATGTGAGGTGATTGTACTGCTTATACTGGACAGACATACTGGACAGAAGCCACTTACACAGAGGATCTATATAGCTTAAGTTACCATACTTCTCACAGCAAGGTGTCTCCATATTGAGTCCTGGATCTATAGCCCGTCCGTCAGTGGGTGCAGATCCCTCTCTCAATGTGGGCCTCCCCGAATTCTCTCACCTTTTCCCACTGGGTTTTAGAGGTGTTCCTAACCCTAACCTGATGCAGGAGGGTCTGTTGGACCCTTGCGAGGGTCTAACAACAAGGACAGTTTTGATGATCCAGGACACTCAACATTCAACTCCATTAATGGACATTTATCAAAATGTATGGACATTGGTCTTCTGGGCCTTATGGACCAGTGTTTTTATCATTTCTTGAATTTCTTGTGTTTGAACTATTTGATTCTCTGTGTTGGCAAATTCAATGGTTTTGTTAAGTCCTCCAAGCTAACTACTGTTGTAATATACAATACAATACAATACAATTCATTCTTGTATAACCCTAAATCACAACAGAAGTAATCTTAGAGGACTTAACAAAACTATTGAAATCACCAACACAGATAAGAAAATCAACAGTTAAAACATGTTGAAAAATGTCCATACATTAATGTGTCCTGGATCATCACCACAGTCCTTCTAGTTGGACACTAACTGCCCAACAGACCCTCCTGCATCGGCAAGGAAAAACTCACAAAAACCCAGGGGGAAAAAAGGGAGAAACCTCGGAGACCCACAATTAAGAAAGGGATCCGCTCCACACGGACGGACGGGCTGTAGATCCAGGACCTAAGCTACAGAACGCGGACCAGTGGCCGTTGAACGTGGACCGGTCCGGTGATATAGGGCTATACAAGAATACATTGAATTTATTTGAATATGCAGCATGACTGGCCATCTTCTTTTAAAGGATCTCCACTGGGTCCAGTTCAAGCCCGAATCAACTTCCTAATTGTTTTCAACGCTCTCAAGAGCCTGGCACTTTCACACACCTCTGACCTTTAGATTTTAAAGGTCACACCTTAATTATTTTTTTTAAATACTTCAATAATAATAACATGAATGAAATCAAGCTTTGTACCTCTACTTAACACATGAGTAGAGGTACAAAGTGAACGCCTGCTCGTGACTTTTCATCAAAACAAGCACTAACCACTGCGCCACCGTGCCGCCGTACTAATAAGTGAATCGAATGAACAATAAGCCAACTAATCGTTCATCAATAAAATCATTAAATAACACCCCTTGTTTGAACATGATTTCACTCGTGTCATTCAATGTGGTTTCCCATTGTGGCCATACCTGCAGGTAAAATCCAGATCCCGTCAGACCTCTGAAACTATACAGGGCAGGGCCTGCTTATTACTGTGATGGGAGACCTCTTAGAACCCTGGGTGCCACGGTGGGGCGGCTGTAAAGGGCCACACTGTTGTTCTGTCCTTAGGCAAGACACTTCACATTTGAATGAGTCTGGTGTATGTACAGTAGTAGTTTATCTTCACATGTAAAGCGCCTTTGAGTGTCCAAAAAGCGTTATATAAAACCATATTATTGTTATAACTATTAGTTTTATTAATATAGTACTTACGTGGCTGTTGTGTTTGCAGGTATTCAAACATTGCGTGCGAGCTGCTGACCTGTGACGCGGGGCTGATCAATGATAAGCTGGGGAATGAAGAGGCGCTGCTTGAGAGTCTATACTCATTCCTGGAGCAGCCCCCTCCCCTTAACCCCCTCCTTGCCTCCTTCTTCAGCAAGACCATTGGCAATCTTATCGCACGCAAAACCGAACAGGTGACACTGCCTATTTGTGTTTATTTTGCAGTAATTGTCGTTTATTTATAACATTCTTACATAAGACGGAAAAAAACAAACATACACACCCACACACACACCCACACACGCAAACACACACACACACACACACACACACACACACACACACACACACACACACACACACACACACACTCACACAGAGAGACAAGGTATAAAAACTGATCCTCCCTTACCTCACCTACTGCAATTTGGTTTGGGGAAACACCTGTAGTTGTCATCTGGAATTGTTGTTCCAGCGTCAAGGACTCTGGTCCTAAGAACGTTCACTCCACACAAGTTTGAATGTTACCAATGATGCCAATTTTTTTTCTTCCTCAGTACTTTGTTTTTCAACGTATGAATGTTTTCAATGTATCCATTAGTTTGTTCCAAAGAGTGACTCTGAGATACAAATTGATTGAAGTAAACAATCTAGGCACATTGTCTAGTCTACAAATGTAGAGAACATCTCTATCATGGAATTTGTTTTGCTAAACATTATTTTAGCAGTTTTAAAGTTAACCAAGTCCTGTAGTTCAAGTTAGTTTTATTGATTGACCAGTAGATTATAAGGAACTATAGGCTGTAGGTGAGTCTTAACAGTTCCCCCACACACAACACAATAATACAATGTTTTTTTTTTTTCTATCTAGGGATTTTTGTTAATAGTAAATTGTTTATTTCCACAGTTACTGTGATTAAAGGTTTCTCCAGGCGCTACCAGCACATATGTTTGTGTCATGAGTCGAGTGTTCATCAGCTGATTGTTTTCATAGGTGATCCACTTCTTGCGTGGCAAAGAAGGGTTTGTGTCCCTGGTGCTGAAGCACATAGACACGTCGGCCATGATGGACGTGCTGCTCAGACTGATCAGTTGCGTGGAGCCTCCTGCGCTGCGGCTGCAAACCCTCACTGTGAGTCTGACCCTCTCTCTTTCTGGTACTGATTTACTTTGTATTTATGATTTGAGCAAAACATTAAGTGTTGCGTGTGTAACACTGACTGAGATGAATGTGCATCTGGTGTGTAATATGTTGGAAGAAACAGAACTGTTTGTTATTAACATCCGCCCAATTCCTTTTGTGTGCGCTCATCTTCATACTGGCATAGAATAAATACATAAAACAAGGAGCAGCAGAATGCACGCAGTTCTTCTATACTAAACTTAGAATCATGCTAACCACTTCACACCTGTATTCATTAACTTAGAGCCATGGTTACTCCCTTCAGACCTGCATGGATGAACTTAGAAGCATTGTTACCCCCGCTTGAGATCTATATGAATGAATTGAGAGGCACAGCCTACATCAAAGAACGGACTGATAGCCTGTTTGTGTCCACAGTGGCTGAACGAGGAGAAGCTGGCACAGCGGTTGATTGAGCTGATTCACCCGGAGAGAGACGAGGAGGTACACTTACATTATTAAACCGCAATTTAGATGTTTATGATGTCACACATGTGTGTGTGTGTATGTGTCCACAGAGGCAGTCCAACGCCTCCCAGACTCTGTGCGACATCATCCGTCTAAGCAGAGACCAGGCCAATCAGCTGCAGGAGCTGTCCCAGGCCGACCCGCTGCTCATCGTGCTAGAGTCGTAAGGCCACCACTCTTAGGCACTTATCTAAAGCAGACAGGACTTGTTTGAATCTTATTCTTGGCACATAAGTATAAAAAAATCATACATTCAATCATATCATATTTTTTTCTTCATCTTTTTACATTCTCTCTTCTGCATAAAGCTGTAGAGAGACAGTTTTAGTCCTCCATAATTAAACAAACAATGACTCTGTTTGATTTTCATTTCACATTTATGATGCATTCCACATTACATCAATCAATCAATCTTTATTTAAAGAGCGCTTTCCCTACACAGGGCAACACAAGCGCTTCACAGTCCACACCACACAAGGCACAAATCATCACATAAAACAAACATCAAAATCACCATTAAAAACACAATTAAAATCACAAAGATAATTAAAAGCATTGAAAAATTAAATTGGAATGTAAAAATGGATTACAATGATAAATAACTACCGTGCGCTTTACAAAAAGAGAAAAGAGGAAATTCTTCAGTTGTATGCCCAGGCAAAAAGAACCGTCTTTAACCTGGATTTGAACATAGTCAGAGAGGAAGCCAGTCTCACATCCTCAGGAAGACTGTTGCCTCCCCATGTCATGTTGAATTATTTTCCTTGCTGGTTGTTCCCATGATCTGCTCTCATGTCAGAACTTTGTTGTAATAATGTTTAGGGCAAGGGTGTCAAAAATGTGTTAATATTAGCATGAACTTACAGCATTGATGTAAGAGGTTGCTAGGGGCTCTCGTGGCATTACACTTCATTTGAATGCATGATGCATTATTTTCTCAGGAAAACAATCACATCATGCATCATATTCTAAACATTAAAGCCAGTGCAATTAGAATGGGTTTAAATAAAAGATAAATTATTTGGCCAAAACAATCCTTTTTTACCTCAGGTCCAGTTTTGGTTCAATCTAAACAGAATAATCCTATAAAACTATAAATAGCAACAAACCATAGATTACTTCTCAACCAAGTCTCCACTAAGAAAAGGATGAAGGCCTTGGAATATTTTAGTGTGAAACATTAGACCCCTGGTTTAGGGTAATAATGAAGTCATGAAGAAGACAGAAGTAATTGGGCTAATTTATTTTTTTCTATGTTATTCTATTTTTTTGTGTTTGTATGTGATTGATTGTAACGCACACTAGACAATTTGGTGAAGTGTGTTGCCTGAACACATGCATAGTTAGCACTTTAGAGGCCCTCTGTCCCAATGTAGTATTACAACATTCTCCCATCCCGGTATGGACCAGGCCCTGCCCTGCTTAGCTCTGCGTAGATGGAGGCAGGCTGAGTGTCCTCAGGCTGTGAATGTTGTGTGTGCAGACAGAGCTCAGTGGAACAGCTGCTGCAAAACCAGTTTTCCGGAGAGAGGACCGAGAGCTGCATCGTCAACGGGATCCAAGTGCTGCTGACCCTGCTGGAGATAAGGAGGCCAGTGTGAGTATCCAGTCAGGAGCTGGGGTCAAACAGAAGAAAAGAAAACTTAAATCATTAATGTGCAATGCATCATTATTGTATGGCTTCATGTTTTTTTGTTCCCCCCCCCCTGTGTTAGTTGTTTACTTACTGACTATATTTGATCTATGCCTTATCTGTATCTAATGGCAACACATTAATGTATTGTTTTATTTTATTTATTATTTATTACATTTGTCTTAACTGGGACCCCAGGAAGATTAGCAATGGCATTGGTGGAAGCTAATGGAGATCCCCAATAAACAATAACAATACAGAACCTCTGGTCTGCTGACCTGGGCTGTCTGGGCTGACCGCTCCTCTGTGTTGACCGCTCCTCTGTGTCCTCTCTGACAGGGTGGATGGGGTCATGGATGCCCAGGGCTTTGAGAGGAGTTACCTGGTGAACAGCAGCATACTGTTGGCCATTCAGCCACATCTAAAACATTTCCATCAGCTGCTTCTAGAACCACCCAAGGTTTGTCCCGGCCGCTCACATGTTTAACCCTGGACTCTCACACGAGTGTTACAACGTGAATCCAGCCAGTTGGAAGATTTTTCATGGTTGCATTCATGTTGCATTATAATTTGCTAATCTACTCCAATTTAAAGATTGAAACAGGCCAAAATTCTATAGGATACACTCAATGCAGTTCAATTAATCTTGTATAGCCCATAGATCTATAAGGCAGATGACCAATGTCCATAAAAGTCTATGAGACGAGGTTCCTAAATATTAAGTATCTTTGAAGTGGCTAAAGGCAGATTTATTTTGACAACTTCCACATACTTATGATAGGTTACTTGTTCTTTTAGTTTTCACATTGTTTAGTTGGATTAAAGCCCGTGGTAAAATTTATTGCACCTATATAAGGCACTTCTTGACTTAGAATTAAGTGAAGTGGTGGCGTTATTGTCTTGTCTACAAAGTGATCAAGTTCTCTGTGTCTGCATTGGTTCTCTCTCTGTGCTCCAGTATCCCATAGTATCCCAGCAGTGACCACAATGGTGGCTTCCCACCCGCGTCAATGAAATGAAAAGAAAGAAATACAACAGCATGTTTGAGATCTGTTAGTGTGGTGGAGTTACTAACTATACTATATTAATATACTCAAGTACACAACTGGTAACCACAGATGCCCTAGGCCTAGGACAAGACTGTTCCAGGAGACTTTCTTCAAAAAAATATATGGACGCACTGCCAACATGGGGTGTAGAATAATAATATTGTGCTGTACATAGAATGATCTCAGATTTGTTGTGACAGAAAAGTGCCATTGTGAGCAGCCTGGGTTTGCTGGAGCCTCTGGGGAACACTCGGCTGCATGTGGCCCGCCTGGTGGCCTCTCTGCTCTACACCAGCTCCTCCAGTCACGCTGTGGTGGCCCAGGAGCTGTGCCGCCTCAACACCATGGACCTGCTCCTGGTGAGACGTAGTATTGTTATCACATTGTTATTCCAATACTTGCGTATTTAGCTCCTTCCACACCACTATCAGGAACATCTTGCATATCTCTCCACCCCTTCTTTTCAAATCGTTTTTTTCAACTTGGTATGCTTTGCCCAATCTATGTCATGTGATTGGTCAGAGGATCAGAACAATTATGTTTTTTTCCTCAATTCTTTTGGAACTTCTATCAATTGACATTTACAATAACACCTGCCTGCCTTCAGCTTGTAGGGATTGAGATACATACCAGCACGGTACAGCCCACTTCTACGACATATCACCTTTTGTCAAGTTATTTGACATCCTAATCCCTGAACTGCCAAAGAACTTTTCTAAAGATTATGTCGAAGGACCAAAATTAACATAACAATTATATTTGTTCTGTAAAGGTGAATTATTATATTCTTTATTTCAGCTAAGCCTTCTGTAAATGCCATTTGACTGGTTTCCATGGCCTCACACCGAAGTACATACATGTTAGTGCCAAATGAACTTACTCTGAATCTGAGGAGCACAGGGACTGGCCTCCTACTGGTGCCCAGAGTCAGGACTAAACACGGGGTGGCAGTATTTCTGATTTATGCAACTGGAACAAACTCCCTGAGCTTGTTAGACAGGCTCGTCCCTGGAAAACTGTGTTATTCAGCTGTGCATACAAGTCATTTTTGCTGAATTTGATTACAATTTGTTTCATATGTGTTTCATGTCTGTTTTTAATTGCTTGTGAAGCACTTTGGGTTATGCTGTATGAATGCGTTTGATTGATTGATTGATTGGTTAGGGTGACATTTACCTCTATTTAGTCAAATTAAAATCAAAACAAACTTCCTCCCACTTCAATTTCGCTTTTCTACTCCCTCCACAGGACCTGTTCTTCAAATACACATGGAACAACTTCCTTCACCTTCAGGTGGAGCTGTGTGTGGCCGCCATTCTGAGGCCCTGTGCTCACGAGATGAGACTGCAGCCAATCCAAGACAAGAGCCAACCGAGCGGTGATGAGGGCCCCCAGGAGCCCACAGCCAGGAGCCCGTTAGAGCAGACTGACACCTCTGCACACAACTTACTCATGAGCCATGTATGGATATGTACAAGTTTATGTTCATTGTTTGTGATTGTAAATACTTATACTGCTCTTTCTTTTAAAGTTGTTCCAGCACTGCCGCCTGGTCCAGCGCATTCTAGAGGCGTGGGGAGAGAATGACAGGCTGCAGTGAGTGCTCAAACGATAGACTGTGAATATTAGCGGACATATTGATGCCTATTTCCCCTGTTGAAATGTATGTGAGATCGCCATGGACCTGTTCAAAATGGCCGTGAGCATCTCCTCCCTGTATCAATTGTGAATGCGTTAACTTGCACGAGCCTGAGACATGTCTGAAAAAACGTGTTCGTTCGAAAGTCCACTACGGCTAAACGAGGCTGGTCCAAAAAATAAAACTCCCCTCAGCATTGACACACATCTGGAACTTAGCGTTGAGCCAAGCTAACCCTAACCCTGTAAAAAGGTGCCATGAGAATTTATGAGATAATTCTGTTTTCGGGTACGCCACCACAGGCAAGGAGTCAGATTGCAAGCATGTCAGCACACATGCTCATGGACCCACTCCCACTGACCCAAACTCAAATGTGAAATACCACATCTAGTCTACTGTACAAAAACTGACCAAAACAAATATTTTATGGACATCTTTATGCTGATGATTTAATAATTAAAGGTGGGGTGCCCAACATTCAAACTACACAATTAGAATACAATTTAACTAGTTTTCCCATTCTCAAAAGTTCAAGTTCTTCTGGCCTTTGTCACATCTGGAGATCAAGGAGATTTGAGTGCAGTCATTTTTACGAGAAAAAAAATCAAAGCTACTGATTGCTAAATGGATATGAGCTGTAATATTGTATGAAGAAACATAGTGGTCTGACTGTACATGGAGCCACAGGTGTCATAGATTATCGCTATACACACATCACAAATGTGGCCCAACCGAATATTCAGCATTTTGTTGTGGTTGTTTTGATTTGACACAGCATAGAGACAAATGCATGGGTTTTGTTTTTTAACAGTAACAGGATTAAGAGCAGGACAATAAGATTAAGAGCTCTATACAATACAATATTAACATTTGAGATGCAAGATTCCTAATCCAATATTTTTGAACTGATCCAATGACCCGATCCATGTTAGATGGTGTACTGGTTGTATATTAGTTAAGCTGATTTCCTGATCTTTCATGTGATGTAAGAAGACTATGAACTCAACCCAGAGCAGTTTTCTAACATACAACATATCTATTTAAACATTCAAATTAACCTGTATTCTGGTTTGAAGTGCTCCTTGTTCCATTGTCCCAGGTCAGAGGGGGGCATGAGGCGAGGGTACATGGGCCATCTGACCAGGATCGCCAACACTGTGGTGCACAACGTGGAGAAGGGCCCGGTGCACACCCAGATCAGCCAGCTCATAGCAGGTCAGTATTCTCCTCTAAATCTAAAGCTAATAAGAAAAGATAAGACAAGATCCTTAAGGGAAATTTCAATGTCATAGTTGCACACAGTACGCTAGAATGGAAGGAGAAATAAGAGCACTCAGATTATGCACTCATCAAAAAGGATCCATTATTTAGCATAATAGATAATCATAATCAAATAATAAGATACCATGATTAACTCTGGAGCAAGTCACTTGTGGAGTATACAGTACACCTGAGGTTTCACATACAGATGGTTTTGTACTTTAGAGTTAGAGAGTGTGACCAGATAAACAATAATAATAGCAGCTGGTAACGTTACTCCATACTGACCTCATGTGTGGATGCAGAGCTGCCCGAAGACACAAGGGGGCGCTGGGACACCTTCGTGGAACACACCCTGACTGAGACCAACAGGAAGAACACTATAGACCTGGTAATGTCAATCACAAATGACTCTACTGTGTGTGCATATCTCAACGTATGAGAACATGTTTGTAACAGTAACTATGCAACAGAATTCTCTCCTCAAAAACTCACCTTGACACAAACTCACCTCACCCAGCGGTTCTCATAGAATCCCTCCAATCTGTGACATCAGACAGCTGTCTTTTGTAGTCCACATATAGTCTCCAACGGAATTTCTGTGCATTTCTGCTCCATATGTTAGTCATGAGAATTGCATGTTCAAAAAGCAGTCCCAGTGTCAAAAAAAATTGTGGACAAACTGAGTGCTAATATTACCTGTAGTATCTGGACTATTTGATTACACATACACACACACACACAGACAGACAGACAGACAGACAGACAGACACACACACACACAGAGGCAGAAATAGCATTGTTTTTGGCCATATTTTCTATAGTATGAATGATGATACAAAAACTTCTATTCAGGATCTGACTCATTATTCTCTCTGATGGTAAAGCTGCCCATAGCAAAAAAGCCTCCTCTTCCTGGGCCGCCTTCCATGAACTGCACATTTGAGATATCCCTAGAGCGGCGGCTCAGTGATGTTAAAATGTGAAGATTTAAAATGTGTTCACTTGAAAATATAAGGCTTCACAAACAGAGAGTGGAAAAAAGTATCTTGTTATCATACATCATTTCAGAAAATTGGCCAAAACAATTCAATCTATGGATTTTCCTTCACAAATGTTTAAACATACAACAGGAAAGTAAGAATTCTCAAGACCATGAATGAAACATTGCATAATATCGTTTCTGGATAAATTGTTGAATGTTCCTTCTTAGGTGGGTAGTGTGAACCCGCGGTCATCTTCAGAGGACGACATGGAGAGTCCTTACCCCAAAGAACTCACTTTACAACAGGTAGAGTCTTCCAGAACCTTCCACAGACCATAAGCACTTGTGCAAACCTGTTTTCTTTTTCCTAGTCCTTCTCCGACTACCAGATCCAGCAGATGACGGCAGACTTTGTGGACCAGTTTGGCTTCAACGACGAGGAGTTCACTGACCATGATGACAACATTGGGTACACTTTGACTCATGGCTATATGTTTATATCATTGTAATTATATTTGTATAAACTATATTAATCACAGGGCTACTTTTGATCGCATCGCTGAAATCAACATTAACATTGATTCAAGTCATGACAATGTAAGTTCATATTGTACTGAATCCTTTTAAAATGCATTATCTGATCTGATCCGTGTTTTCTATCTGTAGAAAAACTCGTCTGTCTTTGAGGCCTGCTCTAAAGACAGAATACAGCCCTTTGATGACGACGAAGAAGATATTTGGGAGGAGAAGGAAATCAACTATGCAACGCAAACCAAATCCCGGAACAGGTGAGAATTTTAGGAAATAAAAGTATTCAGTTTTTTCCAAGAATAAAACCATACAAATGAAGATTCAAAAGGATAAATGCTACTTCTAAAGCACTAATCTAACTAAAGTATACTATATTGGTACATATATATTACTAATATTGTTATAAGTATATATCACAGTTATCCTCAAAATACAATACAACTCAAAGATCCTTAACATTACTAATGATGTTTGTGTTGAAGGTTTGGAGGCTGCCAGTCCACACAGAGTTCAGCAGTGACTGGGCCCACTGCACAGTCCCACAGTCCAGGGAAGAGCTCTGACTCAGAGGAAGAAGGAGGAGAGGGGGTAGGAGGGGAGACCAAGGACCTGGACCCCTTCCTCAGCCACACACACACGAACACCGCCAGTAAGTGCCCCTCATCCTGCACAAACAGGGAGTCATTTCAAATTCATACTGATACAAAAGAGAAGGAATACAAGCTTGGCACATTTCAGACTTTTTTATTTGCAGGACTTATTTTTGTGTGTGAGATTTTACTACAAGCAACATTGTACACTGCATAAAGTGATGAAAAATAAGTCAAAAATTGGCAAAATGCATCTACATTTGAGCACATTTTGACTGCCTTAAAACAAGATTTGCCAATGGGACAAAGTAAAATGATCTTGTTTTAAAAATGCACAACTAATGTCTCCCTTGGAATGAGCAAATTAAGCAATAGTTCTTGAAGTACGACTGAATGGCTTTGCCCATTGGCAAATCTTGTTTTGAAACAGTCAGAATGAACTCAAATTTAGATTAAAAATCACTCAATTCAAGAAAATACTACCTAATATTTTAGTATTTCTTTTGCTGTATATTCTCGTCACTCTGATATTTATCAAATTGTGATGTGTGTGTTTGCAGACAGTGGGTGGGTCGCAGACTTTGAAGAGGTGAACTCCACTGCCCCCAATGTAGGCGAGGGAGGAGGAGGGGGAGGCTTTGGGGCCTGGGACACTGCAGCCTCAGCATCCTCTGAAACCAGCAGTGACTCTGAGAAGGGCTGGGCCAACTTCACCGACTTCCAGCCTTTCTGTTGGTAAGCGAGTTTTAAATTATTGAGGATGTATAAGGGCAGCAACTAATATACAGTGTTTGACACCAAAATAACTTTAAGTGAAGTCACTGGGGGGCATTCTAATACATAATATTTCCAGACAAAACTATTTTATGATGAATTGAGACATTTATAATTTTTATTTTTTGTTTTTGTATTTATGGTTTTGTTAAAGTCAGAAATTCACATACCAGTAGTCACATCTGTTGGGTCTGTAAGGAGAGTAGTTAGAGCATTCATTGATTAGTTGAAGAGTTAATTATAAAAATACATAGCTTAATCAATAATGGTTACAGTTCTATAATATGATATGTGTTCTAATGTCTGAGCTTTTAACCAACATCAAAAACAGATCTACTGTTGTTTTTAGCATTGTTCATGCTGACATCAGGAATAATCTGAGTCTAAAGGCTGTGTTTCCCAAGCACTGGCATTGCAAGGGTCTGCCAAAGGTTGTCCAACTTCCACCCAGTAATTCTATTTAGTGTCTATTTTGAAAAATAAATAATTATCTAATTATAAAAATGATAATCATAATCTAATTACCAGACAATAATAGCTTTTTTATTGATTATTTATTTGGAACATATGTACAGAATCATACATAACAAACCTGCTGATAACATTTTCACATACATCACCAATAACCTAAATCATGTATTATATGTAATTTGATCTCAATTCAAAATGGAAACCATTAAATATTATTCATATTGAGGGGCTTTGAGGAATCTTTCTAAAAGTAAAGAGGGCCCCAGGGCTATGGACTTCTCTAGGACTGCTCTAAGGAGTTGTCATAGTGCAACAAAGGTATTCGTCCCACATTGCGAAATTTTCAGTGTTGCATTACCTGTTACAGAACAGTAGGAATGAGGAGCACACAGCACAAGAAAAATGAACACAGCTCTAATAAAATCTCTTGCTTTAGCACAATGAAGAAGAAAGTATGAACTACTGTATATTCTAATCTAGTGTAAGAAATATATAGTTTGATCATCTTTTATCATCCATTTTTTATTCAAGCAGCTCTGAAACAGGCCCAAGGTGCAGCTCTCCAGTGGACTCCATGAACAGTGGCTCGGACGCTGTCTCAAACCAGAATCGTATGTTTTTCATCCTATACGCACATGCAGTAAACAGAATCTCAGCTTTATTCATGAGTCACGTTCACAAACACTCCAAAAAGAAATAATCAGCCAGGACAATGTTGTTGCTTTGTGACAGTCCAGCAGAGGCCAGATCCAAAGTGCTGTCCATTTCAGGAATGGAGGGGCTCGTATATGGATAGATCAACAATAAAATCATCCAATGGGAAGCCAGGAGATCTAAACTAAACTCTAACATGACAATAAAATCTCCAACTTTAGCATAATGAAGAAGCAAGAATTCAGTACAAATTATCTAACTTTAGCATAACAAAAAAGAAAGTATACGACCCTGTATATTCTAGTGCAAGAAATATATAGTTGTATGTATACATCTGTACATCTTAGCAGTATGAGGTTCTGGGACAAAGTGACAGTGGACAGTGGACACAATACATGTGGTTTTATTTTGCACATTCTGACATTATTAAAATTATTATTGCACAAATGAGTAAATAAAGTGCCAGTGGATTTTTGAATGACGTGTCGTGTCATTATCAGATAACTCTTTAGTGCTGGCTTGATTGACAAATGACAAAGTTACTGATAGTGTAAACTTTTCCAGTTAAAAAGAACTGCTATGACAACAATAACACTTTTATAAAAGAGCAGAAAATAGCCTTGGAGATCATAAAACTATCACTAAAGCTTGAAAAAAAGTTGATAATTGCATGGTGATTATGACAGCTTGAATGTATAACTTGTGTGTGTGTACGTGTATGTGTGCGGCTATATATGTGTGTGTGTGTGTGTGTGCAGCGTGTGTGTGGAGTGTGTGCGTTCCCAGAAAGGCTCCCTTGGTGGCCTCAGACAGCTCCTCCTCTTGCGGCTCAGAAAGTGAAGACGAGGAGGCCAAAGCTGCCGCAGAGAGGGAGGCCGCGCCCTGCCCCAGGTCTGTGTGCATCTGTGCGGGTTCAGCAGAGATTAAAGATTATATCCCAAAATCACATGAAACTTCTGACATAAACACTGTCTAAATACTTAAACCTGCTATGATGACACATCCTGATGATTTCCTATTGTTACTCTGCGAGAATGTGATTGACAGTGTAATTCTCGCTCATCTAGCTATTTTTTGGCAATTTCAATTCAATTCAATTTCAGTTCATGTTTGTATAGCCCTAAATCACAACAGTAGTAATCTCGAAGCAACAAATCTGTGAATAAGTGAACTCATTTACAAAATTGTCTCAATTGCTTTAAAAGATTCTTGTAATTTCAACCAGAAAATAATGTTTGTCAAAAATTATTTAAAAAATCTAGTCGCAAAACTTCTAGATCGATAATAATTCTCTTCATTTGCATACTGACCTGGATGTTTGTTTTGCAGTGAGGCGGTGAAACAGGCAGAAGCCCAAAGCGCTGCAGGAGCAGATGTACCAGTGCCCAGTACAGCACAGTCCCATGCCTCCCTGTGAGTATGAGTCCCACCCTCACACACTCTTTCCTTCTCTATGAGCCTCATCCTCACACACTCTCTCCTTCTCTATGAGCCTCACCCTCACACACTCTCTCCTTCTCTATGAGCCTCACCCTCACACACTCTCTCCTTATCTATGAGCCTCACCCTCACACACTCTCACCTTCTCTATGAGCCTCACCCTCACCCTCACACACTCTCACCTTCTCTATGAGCCTCACCCTCACACACACTCTCACCTTCTCTATGAGCCTCACCCTCACACACTCTCTCCTTCTCTATGAGCCTCACCCTCACACACTCTCACCTTCTCTATGAGCCTCACCCTCACCCTCACACACTCTCACCTTCTCTATGAGCCTCACCCTCACACACTCACCTTCTCTATGAGCCTCACCCTCACACACTCTCTCCTTCTCTATGAGCCTCACCCTCACACACTCTCTCCTTCTCTATGAGCCTCACCCTCACACACTCTCACCTTCTCTATGAGCCTCACCCTCACACACTCTCACCTTCTCTATGAGCCTCACCCTCACACACTCTCACCTTCTCTATGAGCCTCACCCTCACACACTCTCTCCTTCTCTATGAGCCTCACCCTCACACACTCTCACCTTCTCTATGAGCCTCACCCTCACCCTCACACACTCTCACCTTCTCTATGAGCCTCACCCTCACACACTCACCTTCTCTATGAGCCTCACCCCACACACATCTCTCCTTCTCTATGAGCCTCACCCTCACACACTCTCTCCTTCTCTATGAGCCTCACCCTCACACACTCTCACCTTCTCTATGAGCCTCACCCTCACACACTCTCACCTTCTCTATGAGCCTCACCCTCACACACTCTCTCCTTCTCTATGAGCCTCACCCTCACACACTCTCACCTTCTCTATGAGCCTCACCCTCACACACTCTCTCCTTCTCTATGAGCCTCACCCTCACACACTCTCACCTTCTCTATGAGCCTCACCCTCACACTCTCTCTCCTTCTCTATGAGCCTCACCCTCACACACTCTCACCTTCTCTATGAGCCTCACCCTCACACACTCTCACCTTCTCTATGAGCCTCACCCTCACACACTCTCACCTTCTCTATGAGCCTCACCCTCACACACTCTCTCCTTCTCTATGAGCCTCACCCTCACACACTCTCACCTTCTCTATGAGCCTCACCCTCACACTCTCTCTCCTTCTCTATGAGCCTCACCCTCACACTCTCTCTCCTTCTCTATGAGCCTCACCCTCACATACTTTCTCCTTCTCATAATAAAATGTGTGTGTTGTGATGACTTCCAGGGAAACGCAGCCTTCAGCCAACGGCCCGGCTTGACGCTCATACTCCCCTCCTCCAGAGACTGGCCTGGGGCTGCCCACGGTCCACACTAGCTCTATTCTGCCAACAGAAGACAAATGTTTTATCAACTTACACAACGACATCATAACCTTGAAACGTGACCGGCCAAATCCGACCATGACAACTGGTTTGAAAAAGATGGCGTTTTCAGTATTTTCAGTATTTACTATAGATGGAGATACAGAGAGTGGTGGAAAAGTACTTACCAAGTGCACATACCAAAACCCCTATCGCTTTATATCACTAAAGTTCAAGACATTTGAAATTGAATAAGCAACTTTTATCATGGTGGGAAATCACATTCTGCGAGACTAAATGTAACATTGCATTGAAGGCACACAGTTATAAAGTAATTTCGTTGGAGAATATCCCATTATGAAATATAGTTTTGTTTTTAAATGGCAGAACGCTTTCACAGCAAGAAGGTCCTGGGTTTTGTTCCGCCTTCAGTCTGCATAGGTTTCCTTCGGGTTCCCCGGTTCCCCCCACCTCTAAAGCATGTACAGTAGGTCTGAATGTGGTTGGAATGAAAGGGAATTACTGGCACACCAACAGGTTCACTGCAAAAAATGATGAAAAATTAAACAAAAATTACTGAAATTTGGAAACATTTTGCTTAATTTGAGCACATTTTGACTGCCTTAAAACAGCATTTGCCAATGGGACCGGCAAAATTATCTTGTTTTAAAAAGATACACAAAATGTCTCCCTGAAAATGAGAAAACAAAGTTCTTGACTAAAGACTATTTAGGTTTGTCCAAATGTAGTCAGAATGTACTCAACTTAGGAGAAATTCACGCAATTATTACGTCATATTTCATATTTATTTTGCAGTGTTAAAGTGCTTTGTGTGACTTTGGTCTGTGAAATGAGCTATAAGTAAAGTTTACTCAGTTATTAGAAAATTGCTCTGTCCACAAGGATTTGTTATTATGCAAAATTGAGATGAGAGCATTTAGACGGATGGGGACGTGTTTGTGAAGATTTCATTTCATTCAACACTGTCATCAGAATACAATCTCCCACCTTCTACACGCTTTCACTAATCCACAAATGATGGTCTACTTTTACTTTCGCTTTTGCATCTGTACTTTTAACACAGAGTACTTCTTCCACCACTGAACAAGGCGAAACAGCTCCACTACTTGTTGACATGTTGCACCATGTTCTCAAGACAAATTGACCATAGTTATTTATTTGCGGGCACATAACTTCTAGATTCTGTTGGAAGTGGAGTTTTGACCCTTCACCCAAAGTGACGTACTATTGTGAGTGATCTTTTTGACCCTGTATTAGGATATTCTTGGTAATATGTACACGTAATATTCATGTAAACTATATATAAACAGTATATTATCTATTTTTGAAATGATTGTGCGGGGGCCAGAGGTTTGTGTGTTGAAAAGCAGAGGCAATAATCGGGCTCAGCATCAGTTCATGCGCTTACTTCCACTTTGAGCTGTACGGGCTTCCCTATTTTGTCCACTTTCTCCAGTTGAAGTCAAATTTAAAACAACTTTTAACTTCTTCTTCACAACTGCGTTTGACTTTGTTTACAACTGCAGGCAGAAATGCTCAAGCTGCAACCGTGGCAAATGCTCAAGATAGGAATCATTTGGATGGGAAAGATGCTGAGCAAGTGTTCTCAAGGCAAATGTCAATTGTGCAAAATCTGCTTTGTTCCGTCCAGCGTGCGCAATTCATCACCCCCATATATCTAAGTTTATGATTTGCTTTTACACATTTGTTGGGAAGGAAGTTGTGCTAAGCTCGAGTGACGTTGATAGATGCGTGTGTGCTTTTGTGTGTATGTCTGTGTGTGTGTGTGCCAGCGATGTTTTACAATGGGGCTTCACAATCTGATCACAAATGTCAAAATAAGGACTAAAACCATCATGTATGTAAAAACATGTAACTTGTATAATTACTTTGTCCGGATACACACATATAAAAAACAGCATTTGATTATTTGAGGGTGATAAGCCATGTCAGCAGGCTGCATCCAAAATCATACAAAATACCTCCTTTCTTATTCTTCCTTTTTAATTTCTCTGACCTGTGAGGGTGTGCCCTGACATTTCACCTGTGGCATTTAAACAGGTTCTGCAAAATCACCAAAACCTGAGCTTCTCTATTCCTTAAAAGGTTAATTTTAAAACACAAGGACAGATGAGGACGGGGGTATTTGGAAGCCGGCTCATTGTAAAAACTTTTTTTCTGGTTGATTTGAACACTAAGCTCTTTGGGAACTTGTAAATGTACACAAAAACCATTTTCTAAATATATAATGTACTGTATGTATCATGACACACCAAATTGTATAAGCTCAACCCTGGTTTTACACATGCTTCACAAGTTAGTCTTTAGTATCACATTAAAGCTGTGGTACCCAACTTTCAAACCACAATTAATTTAATAACTTTATGTAATAAAATCCATATTATTGGCCTCTGTCACATCTTTAGCTCAGCTTTATGAACACTCAGCCAATCAACTCTGCCCAAAGCAACAAATGGTGACTCTCAGGGCTCTTTCACACAAGATAACACGTGTTCTAATAGGTTGAAGATGTGTTTTACTTTTACAATTCAATTCATTCAATTTATTCATGTATAGCCCTAAATTACAACAGTAGTTATCTCGGAGGACTTTGAATTCGCCAACACAGATCAGAGAATGAAGCAGTTTATAATCAAGAAATGCAATGATAAAAAAACACACGCAGAAAACACAAACAAGTGACTTGATACTTGGTGTGAAAACTGTTTTTTGTGACATTTTGTGCGGCCCTAACCTTTACTTTGCCAACTTTCTCAGGGCAGACGTGGCCATATAGCCTATGATGTATATAGATTGTGTGGTGTTTCTTTCCAAAGCACATTCTGAGTTGCGTCTTTTAACTGTGCCATCCTTGTGGACCAGAACAAGGGCAATCATGTAGATATAGTTTGCGTGGTCAATGTTTGCGTATCCACAGTTGTGCGTTCGTCTGCAGCTGTCTTAGTTTTAATCCACCACCATTCGGAGGAGTGGGAGAGCACAGCACATGTGAGCTGCGAGGAGAGAGCTCAAATCCCCTGCAGCGTTTAATTTCTTTACTTCTGAACTGTATATGAAGCTAGAAAGGCATGAGGCAATAGGCACATATGATTCAAAATGACCTCAATATCATTTTCATCTGGAGTAAAGAAATATTTATAAGGATACTTCTTTGTAGTTGTGATGTCAGTGCCTATTATTGACCACCTGGCACTGCAGTGGAACTGTAACAAGTGAATCAACGAATCACGAAAACTAATTGATTTCAGAAATAGTTCATGTTGATACTATTTCAGTAATGCTCTTTTCGAACCATCCATAGTTTTAAACATGCTAAGAAGAGATTTTATTACGCAGATAAATCTATGACTGGAAATCCCACTTGAGTTTATACCAATGCCCATATTCACTGAAACTTTAGAACAACCACTGGATTAATCAAAAGAATAATTGGCCAAACTAATCCTTAATTAAAGCTATACTGCAATGTCAAGTATATTCTAAAAGTTAAACCAATGGGGAGAGAGCTCACTTCATGATCATGAGTTATTATGAAACAGAGCTCCAAAGCTTCAATAGTAAATATAAAGAATGTGTGTTTGTTTTATCATGATGTCATCTATGATATGAAAAGTATAGGCGTGTAGAGTAAGAGTAGACACTGTTTCTCAAAATTCAATTCAGATGAATACTATTCTCTACTAATTTACAAAGACCATTATTCACACTGACACAAAGTCTGTGAAGTCCCTGTTCTTGTCTGCAGTCCTCTCCACACAGAAGCCTGTGAAGCCTGGGGCCTTGAGCGAAGGCGGGGCCCCGAAACTCAAGCCCTCTGCCTTTAAGGCCACTATCTGTTCAGGTTCAGGTACATTTGAATCACGGTTTTTTTTTGGTAAGCTCACGTATTCTGTTTGTTTAAGTATTTGTATGTATAGATATTCTATGATATTATTGTCCCATGTCAGGGTTTAAGAGGTACTATTGTTTTTACACAAATACATTTCACACAGACATGCTGTTATAAATGTACAGATGTCAACGCCCCAGGAAACATTTATACTTGTGTTTGAATCTCTTTTGAATGAGCAGAGATAAAATGTATTTATATGCGTCCCTTAACTAGCTCCTAAATCAACTTTAGCGTTTTTAACATCAGCTTTGCCAAATATTTTGTTTGTCGTGCACCACAAAGTTTAATATATTAGCAGATTATTCTCAAACAGTTTTAAAGGATATACAAGTTGAACCATTAAAAACGGTATTATTTTTATTATGATAACATTGAAAGTGTATCACATAATCGACAACAATTCAAGCTCTATGGCAGCTCATGATTTTTGGTCCATTGCAGCCGTTAGTCCCCGCACTGTGGCATTACCCGCGCGCGCGCGCACACACACACACACACACACACACACACACATACATCCCCATATGCAGAGCGTGTGGGGACCTGTATTGTCTTTAAGTGCCGTTTCGTGGACACACTGCTGCGAAGGCCCGTTCTTTGTCCGTGGTGACTCGGACAACACACACATGCTGTAAACATGCCTTTGGCTCTGTGAACTGATGCTGGCCACTTTTCATTTCACTTGAGTGGCGTGTCTTATCTGTTGTCTGTTTAGCTTGTACATTTGAAAAAGATAATAAATAAAATATATTAATCTGAGAAGTTGACTTTTGTATTGTTGTTCCCCGCATTTGACCCATCTTTCCAATGCCACTAGGGAAGCCACCATGTCAGGAGCAGAGGCGCCTTATGCTCAGCTTGGTTAGGACAAGAGCTGGAAGATATAAGATTAAGAGATTATTTTTTTGTTCCACCGTTGGGACAACATTATTTATTGCACATGTTTTTAGTGAAACCGGAGGAAGAAACCGATGCAGACACAAGGAGAACAAGCAAACTCCACTCAGAAACGCCCAGGATTCGAATCCAGGGCTTGTTGAGTGCTAACTACTCTGCCACCATGCCGCCACATTTGGCCCCAGACCTACATGTGTTTGTTGCGTACATGAAGCAGCCCTGGGAGGTAGATTTATAGTTTTCTTTATGTTTGAGTATAACGAGTGCCACACCCTCTCGCTGTCGCCGCTGGTCAAACATGAACTGTCTTCTACACAAACACATGTAGAGTGGACAATCGCAGGCAGGGCTTCAGTTTCCGTACTATTGTCCGCACTTCTCAAAGTGTCTATAGTCATATCCAGTGATCAGGTTTGTGTCAGAAGATACGTCTCAGTAAGAAGGGGCTGGAGGGTACTTCGGTGACCCTGGGCTGGGGTAGACAGGGCTTGTACTCAGTACTGGTGCATAGATTCACCAGCACTAGTAAGACTTTCACGTTTTATTTCAAGCAATTCTAAAACCATGTGGTGACTGTATGAAAAGACAATGTGTCTTTTCAGCTAAAAGGGAACTAGACAATTATGTAACATGACGTTATTTCCGCATTTTATAAATGTCTGTTTTCCTGGTTTTAGATCAGCACATAAAGTAAATATTACTTACTGCGTACAACAATACTACGCCTCAAAGTGCTGTGAGTAGCCTTATGCTTGAATTATGCAGTTTAATAAAATGCTTTGAAACATGAAAAAAATTGACAAATATTGACATATTCCAGGCTATGTGGAAAATCAGTCTATATAATTTGCTCGCTAAAGCCGAATTTGGGGCCAGAAGTTCCCTGATTGATCAGTTGTTAGGACTCATTGTTTTTTGGGGCTGATGGCACATATTGGTTGCCTCGCTTCTGTCAGTCTGCCGCAGGGCAGCTGTGGCTACAGTAGTAGTTTATCCCCCCTCCGTGTATGGAGTGAATGATGAGTGTCCAAAAAACCGTCATAAAAAGCAATGCATTATAAGATAGTAGAAGTAGAAGTCCACCGTGTAAAAGGTTGGCTTTTGAAAACAATTATGGCCACGACTGTGTTGAAGTGTATTGGACATTATTGCTACAGCTGAGCCGTGTTTGTTGTACAATCTGGCAGTGAATGACACAACGCTGTAATACTTTCAGTCATGTATAGCACTTCTTCTTTCACTTTGACCACCTGTCGCTCCTCCAGCCTGTCCCTGCGTCTGTACATGAGTGAGATTGCGTAGTGGCTGCAGCAGTGTGTCAGCTGTGGGTGGAGGAACCAGCCCGTCCGCTCCAGCTCCAGCCCCAGCTCCAGCTCCAGCCCTGTGGAGGAGGAGCCAGAGGGGTGTGGGTCTACTGCAGACAAAAGACTTCCCCACACTGACACCGGAGACCAGGAGTCAAGCCAGCTATTATATTGCTACTGTTTTTTCTCTTCTCCAACTTATGGCAACAACTCTGAGATGTTCCGATGCTCAGCCATGTTAGACCCAGCCTCTGCTCACTCGTGCTCACCTTTTGTCACTTGTATTAGGTAAACAGACAGCCAAAGCGGAGGAGACTGGGAGCTATGGAAAAGAGGAACTGGCAGGAGTGCTCTTGAGGTGCCATGGGGGGGTGCCATAGCTACCCCTCAGCGTCAGAGGCAGACGACAGCGCTCTTCAGCCGCGGGACGCCAGCCCAGACAAACTGTGAGTGTGTGTCTGTGAACAGGAATGATGCCTGCTAATGTTTTTACAATGGAATGTGCGCAGATAAGAAGTGCATTTTTGAGTGATGGCATCAGACAAAAGGAATACAGTGTGTGAGAGAATGGGCATACTCACTACTACTACTACTGCTACTACTACTACTACTACTACTACTACTATTCCAGTGGGCTTCAACCTATCACAAACGCACCTCCCAAAGGATTTAGACATTACACATGTACTCAATGTTTCCATTTCCTTTTGAGATTCACATGCCCACAACTGTTTAAGAAATTCACAATGCAAAAAATGGTTCTAATCCTAATTTGAGTACATTCTGACTGTTTTAAAACAAGATTTGCAGATGCGACAAACCCATTTAGTCTTATTCCAAGAACTGTTGCTTTATTTTCTCACACCAAGGAGACATTTCTTGTATATCTTTTTGAAAACACGACCATTTTCCTTGTTCCAATGGCAAATCTTGATTTATGGCAGTCAAAATATTCTCAAATTAAGATACATAATTTGCAGTGCAGGATTTAAATAAAGAGTGGGAGAAGACAGGAGTGACTGAGAGATCCGTGTTTAGGTACAAACACTCTATATAAGTGATGGCTATTTGAAGATATAAATATTTAAGACGTATATTAACACCCAAAAATCGCGTACTTCTGCTTTAACTTTGTGAGATATTTGTTCGTAGATCAGTTCGAACAAATAAGTAACTGTGTCGCTTTTGTATAGGAAGTAATAGTATGATGTCATTGTACTGCTATGACATCATACTTAGAGCCTCTTTTTTCTGTCTTTTACAAGTCTCTCTCAAAACAAGATTCTCTACTGGAACAAGCAGTGTTATTCTTATTCAACCAGGAGAATTCAAAGACTGTCCCCAGATAGGAGGAGCCTAATATACAGGTTTTGACTGCTTTTAAACAGTATTTGCCAATGGGACACACAAATTATCTTGTTTTAAAAAGATAAAAGAAAGTTCTTGAAATATGACTAAATGGCTTTGTCCCATTGATAAATCTTGTTTCAAAGCAATCAGAATGTTCTCAGACAAAAACTACTCGATTCAAGCAATTGTTTTCTCATATTTTATCTGTTTATGCAGTGCAGAGAGAACTTTCAAAGTCCAGTCAGGTCTCTCTTTGGTCTCTCTTTGGTCTCTCTCTGGTTTCTTACTGGTCTCTCTCGGGTCTCTCTCTGGTCTCTCTGGTCTCTCTCGGGTCTCTCTCTGGTCTCTCTCTGGTCTCTCTCACTTCAGCTGATTTATCTTATTGCAGGTTATTTTTTTTGTTCATAAAAACTGCGATGAACGAGGGACCACGGTTTTGAACCTTACATTTCAAAGAATCCTCAGAGTGCTACAGATTTTTAAAAGAATAGATACATTAGACGAGGCGTGTCCAAATTACAGCCCTCTGTGTCGTTTCATGTGGCCCTCTGTTGCTAACACAGTTGTCTTTGAGATCATAAACACAAGTTCACAGGCTCATCCAGCCAACTTCAGCTCTGTCAATGTTAGAATATATACACCTCATGGGAAAGCTCAGAACCTCTAGAATTCAGTTCTTGACTATATTTGTATACAGTGACATATATAAAATTATATACAAATACACTTGCTTTAACGCATCAACAGGTAGGAGATAAAAAGAGAATCCTAACAGCTTTCTATATATATATGTGTGGACTTGGCAAACTCACTAATTACTGTAAACCCTAAATACTCATTCTAATATCAAAGGTTAACATTTGTTTCTACCAATCAAATAACCCTGCACATTATATTTAAACTTTAAACTAATATTTGTTTGATTAGTAGCAAACACTGGAATCTAATTATATTAACAGAAGTATTGTTCTAATGGTTTAATATTCCATCCAATAGAAAAGTCCTAGTTGTATCTTATGATCCAAACCTATTATAGATTTTCCAGGACCTCGCCCTTTTCAAACTCCTGCATACAACTGTGTGTGTGTGTGTGTGTGTGTGTGTGTGTGTGTGTGTGTGTGTGTGTGTGTGTGTGTGTGTGTGTGTGTGTGTGTGTGTGTGTGTGTGTGTGTGTGTGTGTGTGTGTGTGTGTGTGTGTGTGTGTGTGTGTGTGTGTGTGTGTGTGTGTGCGTGTGTGCATTGTAGTCTGTTTGCTCTGGGCTGATACCTCTTGTGGAGAAGCTTCTGATGCTGGAGCTGGAACACATGGCCAGACTGGAAAAAGACAAGAGAGCTTTGTTTACACTACCACAACAGTACTTTTACAAGATCCCGTGTGTGTGTGTGTGAAAGCAGAGCAGGATGTTGGCACAAGAACTCCCCTTTTGAAACGCAAGGCGATGTAACATGTTTGATTCTCGGCTTTTCTCTTGTCATTTACTCATTCCCAGAGAGCAAAGGTACAGTTTTTAATGGACATGTGTCAAAAAGACTCGATTCAACCCAACTTTTGACCTAGTCTATTTTCAGAGACATGTTCAGTGTTCAGATTCAGAAAAATGTATTGATCCCAAAGGGCAATTTGCAGCATAATCTCAAAGCAGAACACAGAGTCAGGCCTGTACAGTTCACGCAGCAGCAGGTTACAATAGGTTACACAAAGTTAAAAACAATACAATACAATACGACATTATGAACATGTGAGGAAATTCTGACCAAATACGGTGGTTATTTATACACTATAAAACCAAAATGGTTCCATTCCTTCATTCTGTAATGAGTTAAATGAAGGGGGACCCAAAATGCAGGAATAACAAAAAAGGTTTAATGATGATAATGAGATTAAAGTCCAAGGTAAAGACAAATTCAAAAATACAAATACAAAATTAAACACGGGAACCAGGAAAACAGACAACCGAGACACATCAGGGCAGGTCTAAACTGAAACAAAACCAGAAATATGAAGTCAAAATAAAACCAATTCTAAATGACACAACATCCACACGATGACAGCAGTTGTTTTCAAGGTGATTCTTGCATCTAGCCAAGTTTGTGGCACTTAAACTTTGGAGAATGTTCTATAAATACTTCCCAAAAAATCTTCAACTCAATAAAACCCACTAGAATTTCGCTCAGTGTCAATAAATCACATTATAATTACAATGTGATGGTGCAGCATTCTCCGACTAATCAGAAGGAATGCAGTTGAGTTTCCTCTCTGCTACTACCTTCAATACTTCTCTTACACTATCTCTATATCAATACTGCCAATTTATATGAACATATTATTGATATGAATTATTCCAATAATTCCTACTCCCTATTTTCACCCAATTTGGTTAAAACGTGTGATTAAAATGTCTACTTTAGAAACTACTGTTTATGTCAAAAATTATATTTGTAACATTATCATCTATACCTCTGGTTAGATAGAAAAAAGTAGTATTTTCAATTAGTTATGCTAATTCTAAATCATCCCCAGAACAGACCAAAAAACTGAAGGCCACTACTAAATATCTATGGCTGCATCCAAATTCATAAAAAAATACTTTCTTCTTTCTTTCCCTGAAATTTGTGGCAAAAACTTGAAATAAAACTAAACTATGTGTAAAATTTCACTCAGAAAGGTTAGTTTTAGAGCACAAGGGGAAATAAGGAAGGAGGTATTAGGATGCTGCCTGTGTCTATCTCTCCTAATTCAGATGATTATTATTATCGCTGTAACAGGAGGCTGAGAGAACATGTTTGTGGTAAGGAAGCTGGAGGGAAACGTGGGCTTGTTTACATTCCTGCACGTTCTCTTGCCTGAACACAACCACAAATGAAGCTAAAGCGGAAATTCGGTTTTCACGGACTTTGTCGATTGGTGTGAGCGCAACCACTTGTGCTTGAACACCAGTAAGACCAAGGTGGTAATGGACTTGAGGAGAAAACCACTTTCCCACACGCTGCTGAACATCCAGGGGGAGGACATTGAGCTGGTGGACAGCTTCAAGTACCTGGGTGTTCACATTAACAATAAACTGGACTAGTCCCATAACACTAACGCTCTGTACAAGAAGGGCCAAAGTCGCCTCTTCCTTCTGAGGAGGCTGCGGTCCTTCGGAGTGAGCAGGCCTCTGCTTAGGACCTTTTATGACTCTGTGGTAGCTTCTGCCATTTACTACGCTGCCGTGTGCTGGGCCCCGGGCAGCACAGAGCGGGACAGGAGTAAACTGAACAAGCTGGTCAGGAGGCCCAGCTCCACTTTGGGCTGCCCCTGGACTCTGTGGAGGAGGTGAGGGACAGGAGGGTGCTAGTCAAAGTCACCTCCATCATGGACAACACCTCCCACTGCACAGGACTGCAGAGGAGACATCCCCAATGCAAGAAGGAGCGCTACCGCGGGGCCTTCATCCTTACCCCTGTCAGACTGTACAATAAGTCACTTTAATGACCTGCACTAGGACTGAAAAAGTTGCACTATCATAGTCACTTTTGATTTTATTTTAGACAAAATATACTATATTTTAACCTTTTTACTTGCACACTTATTCTCTTTTTGCACATCCTGAGTGATTCTATCAATGTCAAATGTGATATGTAAATGTGTCCATTGTGGGATCAATAAAGTTTATTTTATCTTATCTTATAATAACAGCTGTTTATAATGCGACAGCAAAACGTCTGTCAAGTCAGGTTTGAAATGACATATATTTCTATATGTAATAGGTGTTTGCTCATTTGACGCTGATGAAGCGAAAAAGTAGAAGGATACAATATCATTTTGAAGTTTTTATTTTCTATTTCCTAACTGGGACTGAGCTTGCCTCTCCACATACCTGGTTCTGTGCGACCATGGCACAAAGTGTAGGCTGGATCTGGTTGGCACTTGACAAGGTGTTAAATAAGTTCTTTGTGAAAAGTTCAGAAGAATCTGATGGTTGTCTGGAGTGTCCCAAACAGAGATCCAAGTGGTCAGTTAGAACTTAACCACATAACTACCAAATTATGATCAGTTTAAATAACTTAGAATTACAGAACTATGGTGTAAACTATTTCAACACAAATCTAAACACAGCGATTGTCAAAGAAATTTGTGTCGAGAAATGAAGACAAGGCAGCAGCGATCGCACCTGTAACCCGGTTTATTTCTGAGCCCTTCCAGAGACAAATATTTTGATATGATAATGTTTAGAAGTATTACAGTACAAAATATGTAGGTCAAATTCTACACTTGTTATTACATATTTTGGGCAAATGCTGCAGCCCCAGAGTCCCCTTATCAGTGTGGTCACAGGGAACACACCAGCTGTCAGCCTCTCCTCCCCTCTCCTCCCCTCTCCTCCCCTCTCCTCCCCCATCCCTGTCCTCTCCTCCCTCACCCTCCCCTCTCCTCCCCTCTCTCTCCTCTTGGGTCACCTCAGCTCACCACTGCAGCCCCACAAACAAATATTGGCCTTCTGGACTTTGCATGGAGTCAAATCCAGCAGCAAGTTTAGACAACAGCCACCTGCACTTCCCTTGTGTTATGGCAACGGCCGAATCTGCCTCAACATAAACAATTGGACTCTAAGGACGAGGATTTACTGAAAACTGCTACAACTTATTATTACATTACATTACATTACAATCTTAAAACTTAGGGCTAAAAGTTTATGAGGTCGTGACATCAAAGTAGAGAGAGTATCCAAATGTTTGAAACAAAATACACAAACATCATTTATCCGTCAAAGGATAATGTTGGTGTTCAGTACAGCCATTACCACAGGCCCCCAGGGGCCACAGTGGGGCGACTGCGGCTGTAAAGTGCTGAACTGTCGTTTGGTCATTAGGCAAGGCACTTCACCCACTTTTCCTAGAATGTATTTGGTGTTTGTGTGAATGGCTGGTGGTGGTCGGAAGTTGGACTCAGTGTGCCCCAGGGCAGCTGTGGCTACAGTAGTAGTTTATCACCACCGTGGAGTGAAAGAATAAAGACATATGAAGCGTCTTTATAAAGCCAATGTATTATTATTATGGAATTATATGAGTCATAAAATACTAATCTTCTTGAATCCCAATAGGGAAATGATCATGGACAAAGTTTTGCTCCAACTTGCTCTGGCTCTTATTGACTTACATTGAAAAGTAAACTCCTTTTGCTCAGTAACTGTTCTTGTGACACTCACTATTTTACAATCCATGGTTTAGCGCTGTCTGTGATCCTGGTATTGAGCCACCGTGCTGCCGGTGCTGGTTAGCACTCTCTCTTCTCAGCAAGAAGGTCCTGGGTTTGAATCCTGGTCGGAACAGGGTTTTTCTGTGTGGAGTTTGTATGTTCTCTCCGTGCCTGTGTAGGTTTCCTCCGGGTGCTCCGGTTTCCCCTACCACTAAAAACCACACAAGGTTAATTCCTCCAGCTCCGGTAGTCCTGACTAAGCCGAGCATCAACATCTGGAGATGGGTTCCCAGGCGCTGTTCTACGGCGACCACTGCCTCTGACGTAAGCCTTAGAGGCATCAGGATGGGTCAAATGCAGAGGATGAATTGCCCTACGGGGATTAATAAAAAAGTGTACCTTTTTACCTTTGTATTAAGATAATATTTTTGTTAATCCAGATATGAACTATAAAAGGACCAGATGCCTTAATTCGCAGAGGAATCTCCAGCTTGCTTTAACAACCATCTCTTCCCCTGTTACGACACAAAGCTAACACCATCAGAACAAATACAAAAAGATGAGAGAACATTTAATTTCAATGTTGCAACGCACATACAGGACAGTGTTAAGAGTACGCAGGGAGCACACAAAATAAACAATATAAGTAGCTGCTATGCCTCTTAGCTAGCTGTAAATGCTTTATTATGAATATATAAATATATCTCTTATCTATCTACTGTACATATATAGTGTAAATTTATATACATATAGGGCAGGATAATAAGTAAATAAAGTGAATGCCCATATAAGGAGATTGGAACCATCTGGCTCATGTTCAAATCGGCCACTTCTCCATTCGGCCAACACTCAGGACCCATGTGCTTTGTGTCTTCAGGGGCATCAACAATAACATGGTGGAGGAGCGGCTGTACCTCCGGCCCCAGTATGTGTCCCAAAGGATCACCGGGGCCAATGTGCACGCACTGGCCGCCACGCCCCCGGGAGTGGATCAGGCCGAGTGGCTCGCCAGCAACAGTCAGTACCCTCCTCCTCCCATGAGCAGTGTGGCATGAGCTGTGAGTGATGGTGCTGTGTGTCCTCAGCTGTGGCCTTCTTCAAGCACATCAACCTGCTGTCCAGTGCCCTGTCGGAGTTCTGCACCCCCAGCACCTGCCCCACGGCCTGCGGACCTGGCAACACGTACGTCCAGGCCTCATCTATACTGTATGTGTCAGCTCTGAAGCTCCGGCGTCAACACACCATGGGTTGAAGCCGGTGTTCACCTAAATATGAAACAAAAACAAATACCTATGTAAAAAGATCCAAGTCACTATATTTCTGGGCTCTAAAACATTTTGGTTCTACAGTTTAGATCTGCTTGAAAAAATGAGTCAAATAGTGACTCTTAGGGCAGTATACAAAAGATAACATCAAATAGTATATTAATCTAATGAGATGATGGCAAAAAATACTTTTACAAGACTCAAAACATGTATTATCGATGAAATAGAAAGTGAGGGACCCGCAGCTCTAAATCTTTATGAGGAGACGGTGTTAGTAAATGTACTATAAAACTGTATTATAATCTAGTTACAGGGATAAATATGTTAAATATTAACATTACATTATTGTCACTGTGATGTCGCAGAATACAGAGAACACAAACTGTTCCATCAAATATGATTTTTGAATAATATTTTGGCATTATATTACTAGTTAAAAAAGACTACAAACTATACAGTGACTTTTGAAATGAGTTTCTCACTCTGACACTTCCGTTTCAAATTACAGGTAGTTTCAATAAACCGCATTTGGCTAACACTAAGCGTGACGTCAGCACTGGGTTTGTCCTATACTGTCTATAGAAGCATCTCATCTTTAGATTTTAGATTTTAGTGTATTAAGGACAATGTGCAGTTACATTAAAAAGATGCTGCACCATCTGTAGTCCTTGAAAATACAAACATATTTCATACATATTAAAACATAGTTAGATTAAAAATTGCAAGTTACCAACATAGTTACAATCTCAAGTCGCACCATATAATTAACTTTTAGCACCATCACACGACATTGAGGTTTTTTCTTTTTCTCCCAGTGCGGGTTTTAGTGGTAAACTGTTTACTACTCAGAACGTCTGTCCTTTGGCAGCTTCAGTCATGGGTTTGGGAAAGAGTAATTACCAGAAATCTTATGGAGTGCACTTTCAACGGAAAACCTATTCAGCTCTCAACAGCAGAAGAATCTCTCCTCATCACAACAATCTACATTTCTAAAATAGTAGGATGAACACAAAACTTGAATATTCCATGTCTGCATCTGATCTATATTTATGCACTGTACTCAAAAAGGCTTGTGAAGAGAAGAACTGAAAAACTATAGAGATGAAGGAGATTCTTACATGCTCCCAGTCTCTGCATCATATCACCCACTGCTGCCACTAATGACCAAAGGTGTCCCGCGGTTCATCCATTTGACCGTGGAATCAGTCCTACATCGCTCACAGACATAAAGGCTATGGAGAAGGTTCTGAAATGGTACAAAGAGATCACACAAGAACATTCCAAGTGAGAAGGGTTACAGTATTTCCTGTGCAGTGCTGTGTACATACATGTGCAAATGTAATATTACAATGATTATATTCATTTAAAATCATGTTCTAACATTCTTCCCGTCGCTTTGGGTAAATGAAGCTCTTTTCATAAGAGGTTGGGAAGTTGTACGCACTGCTCTTTCCTTTGATAAATTGAGGATGTGTTCCATTATATTACAAATCCTTCTGGTCTGGGCGCTTATATGGTAACTTTAAGTTAGAAGTTCGTTTGACTCCTTTATTTTGACACGTTCCTATCTTCTCCATTTCAACACTGGTCAAAAAACGAAATTACCATAGTAAATTAATTTAGGTAATTTCCTCCAAGCAAATTAAGATCTTTACAGCTGTGTTCTAAAGTAAATACACAGATAATGCCCAATATGTTCTGTGTGTCTCATTTGTGTTGCTATTTTTTGTTGCTTACGTGTGTGTGTTTGTGTGTGCTTGTGTTTTTGCAGTGTGTACACATGGACAGATGAGCAGGGCAGGAAGCTGAAGTGCTCTGCTCCTCTGTACTCAGACTACTCCATGAGCTACATCCAGGAGCTGCTGACGGACGAGGAGGTCTTCCCCACCAAAGCAGGTCTCACACCGGGAATATTAAGATTAAGATTAAGAAATCCTTTATTCGTCCCACAGTGGGGAAATTCCATCACAAGTTAGAGAGAGTAAGAATGAGGAGCAAACAGCACAAGATAAGTCTAGATAAATGAATACACTATATACTATACTAAACTCTAAAAACAGAATCTTTTTATAAAAATAAAAAGGAAGCCACCTATTGTCTCCAACTTTTGCATATGGAGAAAAGATTGACATTTTTGCCTGTGTGTGAAAAATCAACTCAACTGTATTCAATTTGAGTGGGGATGTACTTGTCATTTTCTTACTGTAGGGTTTGTAAGACTATATTTTTAAAAACTTTTTGGGCAAAAATAAAATCCTGACATACTGAAAATTGAAAACAAACTACACAAAAGCTGTCACCGTGTAGTTAGAACCATCTGAGGTCACTGCTCCTAGACTCTGCAAAGTATAGGCGAAGCAAATGACACATTGCATCAGCTCATTCTACAGGTGTGTCCGGTCTGTGTGTGCAGTAAAGCTTCTCCCGTATAAACACAGATACCACAAACAAACATCAAAATAAATTGCATGATCAAATATTGCTTTGTATTGCTTTGATCTTTGTAAAGGGTGGTTTACAGTACTGGGCAATGGAAGTGCCATCCATCCATTCATCCATTTTCTTCCGCTTCATCCGAGCTCCTGTCTTTCACACGGGAAATACATCTAATTTGTTGTGAGAAAATAAGTGTTGCACTGAGCCATGTCCTTAAGGCAGACATCAGATCCAAAAACTGGTTCCTTTAAAAAAGTTGTCCTTAAAAAAACATTTAAAAATATTTATATTTCTCCATTAAGACTATAAACTTGCTGTAGTCTATTATTATGTAATTATTTGGTCTGCGTGTTTAAAAAAAGTTCAAAACAACACGCTTCCCTTTCTCACAGTTTCAACACGGGTCAAAAAACTACTCGATACTTTCATGTTGGGCGACAAGCTCAGTGTAAGCATGCCTAACCAGAAGTACGGTTCAATCCACTCACTTCTCCACCCTATACTGTGTTGTGTCCTGGCAGTGAGGCTGGTGTGAGATTGGGCATCTGACTGCCCCCTACCGAATGGATTAAAGGTAGAAATGGATGATGACTTTCTGTTAGCTCTGTTATGTCTTTTCTGCCATCTAAAGGTCATGTTTTTAGAATCCTGTTTGTAAATTTCCCACAATTGAACTGAAGTAAAATGTTATTGTTCACCATCATGATATGAAACTAAGCCAAAGTATTGCATCCAAATGGGTGTCCATTTAACAAAATTATTTAGCTATTTATTTATTTTTACAATTACATGTTATAGTGTTATACTTTCTAACTGTTACCATTTATGATTTGCTCTTTTTTATAACACTGGGGGAAAATGAAAACTAGTTGGGGAAAAATGAAAGGGAAAAACGTGTCCTATGTTGTATAGGGAAAATGCAACATAGGACACTATAGGCTGGGATGCCTTTTAATTTTGCCTAATCTTAACACAAGAAAAAAACAAAAACACTAATGTCATAAAGTCCATGTCTTTAGTTCCTCACTCTAAAATAGTTTACTTTTTTCACGTGTTTTCACATGCGTGTGATTTGGACCTCTGTCACCTCTTCAGTTCAACTTTTTTCAAGGTATTTTTACCTCTCAGCCCAAAGAGTCAAATAGTGTCTCACAGTCACAGGGCTCTTTCTAAACGTAGCATATTTTCTTATAAGATGAATACATATGTTCACACCATTATGCCTCTACAAGACTCTCTCTGTTGGGACAAATGTATGTATTATGAAAAAAGTCGATTTCCCCAGCTTTTATGTGATATTTTTCAGACTGCACTTTAGGCTGGCCTTGTTATCTAGTTCTGAGACTGTATGTGAATGCTCTGAAACAGGAAGTAGATGTAAAAATGTGCTATGAGGTGATAAAGTTGGACGTCTCTATGTGTGTGTCCAGGCTCGTCCTTCCCAAACGGCTTCAGGTTCCTGGTGCAGAAGGTCTTCCTGCTGCTCTTCCGGAGTCTGGCTCATGTTTACTGGAGCCACTACCAGGAGACTCTGGTCCTGGGCCTGCAGCCACATCTCAACACGCTCCTCTCCCACCTGCATGCCTTCACTCAGCTGCACGGCCTGTTGGAGCCAGAGGACACCCAGCCCATGCAGGCGCTCCTCTCTGCACTGGGACAGGGCCCGATGAGAGAGCTGTGATCGCCCCCCATAGCCTGGACCAACCACTGGGCCAACCATGGAGCTGAGGGCTTCACATTTTAGAGCAGACAAGTATGGACGACAAGGCTGCGTTTATCTTGATTTGAGTAGATTTGCACTGTTTTAAAAAAAGGGTTCATCCCCATTTTATGCACAAATATGTCAATAGTTATGTTCCACTTATTGAAGTGAATATCCAAACACCCTTTTAATTTATTTATATGTATATATATTTTATTAGCCGTAATAAATTAACAGTTTTTTTGTCAATATTGCTAAATAAAAGAATCAGTATGGCATCTACTAAATTCTGATATTTAAATCGTTAGCACACCACTAACAATGCACATATCTAGATACAGGACATTTTCATTTGGATGATAATCTAATGCTCAAAACAAATCATTATTGGCACCTTTAAAGGAACAGGCCACTGTTTTTACATTCTACCATATGTTCTTACCTTACCTTAGACTAGTTAATTAAGGTAAGAACATATGTCAGTATGTAAAAACAGTGGCCTATTCCTTTAAGCTTCTGTCTGCAAATGGATCTGTGAAGTGGGTGGAGCTTAGGGTTTCAGAAGTAGGAGTTTAGCAAAATCCAAGTTTCAAGAGTTTGAAGTCATGGGGGAAGCAAACAAGCTACCTGCTAACTACTATCCAGGACGTTTGAAAATCAATTACATTTATTTTCACATGGCCCTAAATCACAACAGTATCAGAGGACTTTACAAAGTTGTTGATTTGCCAAAACACTTTATATACTGTGTAGCTATACTCAACAGATGATCTCCAGGCCCAAACACATAAATAATAACATGATTTGATCTTGTAATTGTAAACTTGTAATTTTCCTTGCGGTGCTTTTAGGGAGACAAGCCCAACTTCATGATTTACAGCAATGTGGATTAATACACTTAGTCCTGGTCAAATAAACAAATACATTGTCTCCACAAAGTGGTTTTTAAACACACATTTAGCTCCCAAAGTAGTTTTAGGAGTGTTCTCCATGCAATTTCCAAGTTTGAAGTTTCCCATGTATAGGCTAACACTATATTAACATGTTGCAATAAAGAAGTGCCAAAGTTAATAGCCATTCATTTTCTTCCCCTTGTTCCATTTCTGGGTCTGGGGGGTGGCAGTCAGAGCTGCACCCAGTACACATAGCACCAGCCCCTCACTGATCCTCCTGCAGGTGGTGAGTCCACAAGAGCGTTGATCTTTCAACGGGGGCTTCAGTCTAAGTGGGGTTAAGTGTCTTGCCCAACGACAGCAGTAGGAGTCATTAAGTAGGTCTTGTGGTGGGCTCGAACCCATAACCTTCAGGCTCAAAGGCCAATGCTCTACCAACTGAGCCGCTGTTACCCCATTATTGCCACAACTTTAATATTCCTATACATTTTAAAAATCTACACCAAAAAGGTATATTTTCTCAAATCAAGATAATACAACTTAATTCCAGCCACATTTGTGGTCATTTAGTGTGACCAAATCAGACGACGGGAACAGACTTTACAAAAGCATGGAAGAGGAATGGTTTGGCAGGCTCCTCCTGTTCCGATGTGAATATAGTGTTTGATGAAGACGACCGAGGTCATTTCAAGCTGCATGTGACGTGTGAGAGCAGCAGCAGACGGACTCAGTATATTTAAGACGTGCATTAGATACGTACATGTTGTGTTGTTCGGAATGTTTTTCAAATAAAAAGCTGCCATATGCATCTCTTTTGTTCTAGTATATGTGGATTCAGAAAAGTACACCTTCTTTCCTTACGCGAAAGTTATGCACAATGCAGATGATCACTATGGAAACGGTACGTGGTCATAACTGAGGGTAATAGTTGATTTCTGAAAACATTGAGAACAAAAAAGGGAAAACACCTTTCATTTCATTGTCACGTGTGTTCTTTACACCTGGAACACATTTACTGATGGCTGACCTAACCAACTGAGGATTTCAGGATATTTTTCAAAATTTGTTAACAAAAAAAATGGATTCACCCAGACACTAAAATGGCCAAATTCTTATTGCTTAGACCGCTGCCCCCACGACGGATGAAGTGGAAGAAAATAGGTTGAGCTTCATACCAACATTTTATGTTGAAATGACAAGAGAACATAGAGAAAATATACTTGAGCAAATGGCATTTGGTTTTACTCATTAAATTTCTGTTTTTGTCCAAAAGGAAAATGTCAAATGTAAAAAACAAACAGACACAAGATTTTGGGATCCGGTTATGTGCAAAAGAAGGTGAAGATTTGGGGAAAATTAATCCTTTTGGACATTTCAGCTTGGTAACTGGCACATTAATAAAATACACTTAAAGGATTATAATAAACACACCTGGGGAAGAACATGGACCCCTCTTTGTGTGAGTATACATTGTAAATGTGATCGTAATAACAGAAAAGATAATTGATAAGTTATAATAGATTAAGCTATTTCTTATAAGCCTTGCATTAGTTCCATGAGGACTTAAGCAGTGGAGGGTTGGAGCATCTGGAATGGAATAAGTATTTGATTTGCCCAGCCTCTTTTCAAACTCTCTTTCTGTATCAAGTTGTTATTTTGTGGAAAACTATGCCAAAATAGAAGCACACAGATATGCTTGGTTTCGACACTAGATGGAGCTAGTGCACGGGTCGGTTAGTTATTGGTTCAAAATGGGAAAAGTGATTTGTCCTGGTTTGTTCAAGTCAAATCTACCTTGTGCCTTGTTCTTTATAACGTTATCTTATATGTATTTATATAACAAGAAGACTGTTGTAATATGTGGGACTGTTGTTCAGACACTTTACTGTGACGTCAATGCAATTCTCCTGATTTATTGTAATCAGTGGAAGGACAAAACAAATGAACAAAGTTCTTCCCAAACCATGCATTTCTGGCAGTTTTCCAAGAAGCTGAGACTTATTTGCAATAGACTTTTTTGGGCCAGACCTGATTAATCTGGATCAATATCGGATTCCATGGACACAAAACAAAAGAGTCCTGCTGATACATGACCGAAGGCCTGCAAGAAATGACCAAGAAATGACCTCTGCCCAGTCTGTGAGAAACACCTCAAAAAGTTGTGGAAGAACCCATCTAGAAGCTTTTTAAGGCATGGAACTGTGCCTCAAGGCAGAAGTCTGCACTTAGACTTTATGCTTTAAAAAAAACCATTTATCTAAAGCAGAAGTGAAGGGCCTTACTTCGATCAACACTGAAGAAAACCATATGGCATGTGTTTCTTTGCGATTCCAGTTCATACATCAATATTTCATTACATATTTGCTGAAATACTCAAATTTACTTTAGATTCATATTTACAAACCAAAAGTGCTTACAGTTTTCAAAAGGCAGTTTGACAACCATCCTATTAAACCAACTTTATTATTAATACAAATCATCCCAAAAGTGCTTTAGAAATATCACATTGACCTCGACAGAACATAGTGTTTGAAATGATTGGAAACTGAAGTCTGGGTTCTAAGAGCCTTCATGTGTCGTATCAGAGTCCACAGTGAGTCCATGGTTCTCTTCAGTCTGACAGCAGCAGCAGCAGCAGTCATGGTTCTACAGCAGAGTGGAGCTGTTGGGGAGCCTCCTCCACTGCTGAGATGAGGTGCAGGGTTAGTCTTCAATAGAGCGGATGTATCTCTCGTAAGAAGCCTCGTCCATGAGGACGTCCAGTTCAGCCGGTTTGGCAATGGTCATCTTCATCAACCAGCCTTCAGTTAAAAAAGAAACAGTTCAGCCTACCGGTCATCATTGTAGATACTTTGTTCCAGTGGCTGATAATATTTAGTCATTGCTTACTAAATACTACTACTACTTAGGGCTGGGCAATAAATCGAATTTGGGCAATTAATCGGCTTTTGAAAAAATGTGAAAGATGTGAAAATCGTTAAATCGAATGAAGGATATTATGAGAGTTCCAGAAGCACAACAATTATATTTGCAATATCAGGACACAGTCTGTACAAGACTTTTATAATATGTATTGGGGGAAACAAATTAAAAATAGTTTTGAAACTTGAATATTGAGCGGAAAGATCAAAACATATTTTTACAGGCAAAGTCTGTCGAAATCGTCCAAAGCTGGAAGTAAAATCAAGATTTTACTTTTTTGCCATATTGCCCAGCCCTACTACTACTACTACTGCTAGTATACATTACTTACTATAAGAAATATAAAAAAGACAAACTGAGAGGAAATGTGTTTCATATCACGCTGTCTGAGGGTTTAGTTTGAAAAATAAAACTGTTAAGGAAAATATACATATACTATTCTAATCTATGAATTTATGACCACTAAGGCTGAGCAGAAAAATATAAGATATGAATATAAATAAACAACTCATATAGGTCTGCGTTATAATCAAATATTCAGGTTCTAATGAACGGGCAAAGACGCAAATCCTAGTTACATTTCTGCACCACCGTAACCAGAGATTTCTGAAATTAGCTTGGTCGGATTTTTAAAAAGTCCAGATCTGTGACTGATGAGAAACTATATAACAGCTCCATGGGGTACCACACCATACGCCGGACTGGGAAGAGGCCGTGTCCAGTGATTCACTGTTTTGATTTGTCAATCACTTCCTGGATTAGTATTAGTATTAGTATTATTATTATTACGGACAACAGACATATTTATTGTGAATTGTTTTCCCTGTATTGACAACATTATTTTAGAATCATTTTAAACAAAAAAATTGCATCCGCGTCATTGATTTTCTAATTCGGCACAGTTGGACCCTGGCGTTTTGTTGCCAAAAACGAAAGAGACAGAAAGCTCTCTAACTAAACCTTGAAGGAATCAATGAAAAAACTACTCTAAGCATGTGTATGAAGGCAAAATAGCACTGTAATTATGTTTAAAGCAGAGAAAAGACAAGATATGGGACCTATAAATAAAACAGAATGCGTGTTGCTCCTGCCTGCTCTACTCTTTCCCACTGGGTTTTTTAAGAGTTTTTCCTTGTCGATGCAGGAGGGTCTTGTTGGACAGTTAGTGTCCAACAGAAAGGATTGGTGATGATCAGGACACTTTAGCATTCTACAACATGTATGGACATTTTTTTGTGTGTGCTTTATATTTTTCATGTGTTTTAACTGTTGATTCTCTGATCTGTGTTGGTGATTTCAATGGTTTTGTTAAGTCCTCTGAGATGACTTCTGTTGTGACCTAGGGCTATACAAGAATAAATTGTATTGTATTGTACTCTGAGACATCTTTGACACATTTCAATCAGGTTTTAAAGCTCTACATAGCACGGAGACTGCACTGCTCAGAGTTTTTAATGATCTGTTTTTAACAGCTGACTGCTTCTCCTGCCATTTTAGTTCTTTTAGATTTGACAGCTGCTTTTGACACTGTAGATCACAACCTTTTAATTTCGCGTTTGGAGCACTACGCTGGTTTTAAAGGCACTGCATTAAACTGGTTCAGGTCCTATCTTGGTGACAGGTGTTTTTCTGTCCACTTTGGGCCCTACAAGTCTGGTCTGGCACCCCTCAATTGTGGTGTTCCACAGGGCTCCATTTTAGGCCCCGCCCCCTTTTCGTTGTATATGCTGCCACTTGGGAATATTCTAAAAGAAACACAATGGGCCTCATTCACGAACGGTTCTTAGGAACAGATTTGTACGTAAATCCTACTTACGCGGTTTTTACGAAGAAAGTGGCATTCACGAATATTTCTCGTAACCAGAATATCTCTTGGGCAAGTACAAATCCTACGAGTCCTCAGGAGCACTCGTACGCATTCAGTGCCGACATGTTCACAGCCGGGGTTGTCCTCTTTGGTGAAGTTGAATAAAAATACAACATTCCAGTGATATGTCCGTCATATCGATGTATGTATTTATTTATTTGTAGTAATCTTTATTAGTAATCTTTATTTATATACCGCCTTTTTCACTGCAGATCTGGCCTACTTTTTAATTCATTTTGAAATGAAATGTGCCAACGCTTTATCAAATACATTGGAAATCTTGCCGTGTATTAGTGACCCCTTCCTATTTATAGGGGGCATTTCTTTATCCACGGGCCACAGAACAACGGCATATATACTGCTGCTGCAGGAGGTTACTGGGTCCGCGCTGAGTCTCTGCGCTGGTCTCTCCCATGGATCTATACAGGTCTGCACTGGTCTCTCCCATGGATCTATACGGGTCTGCGCTGGTCTCTCCCATGGATCTATACGGGTCTGCACTGGTCTCTCCATACGGGTCCGTGCTGCATGCTCCTGGATCCATACGGGTCCGCGCTGGTCTCTCAAGTCTGGTCTATGCGGTCTCTCTTCGGTCCGCGCTGGTCTCTGCGCACCGGTCTCTCCAGTCAGGTCACTACAGTCTATGCGGTCTCTCCTATAGGTCCGCGCTGGTCTCTGCGCACCGGTTTCTCCAGTCTATGCGGTCTCTATATGTCCGCGCTGGTTTCTGTGTGCTGGTCACTCCAGTCTCTCCTCGGGTCTGCATTGGTCTCAGCGCTGGTCCGCGCTGGATCTCCTCCCAGGGTCCAAAATATTTTGAGATTAATCTCAAAACATTTTGAGATTCATCTTTAAAATAATACATAATATATTTTTAAATTAAGCTCATAACATTTTAGATTAATCTCATCATATTCTTAGATTAATCTCATAATTTTGCTAGTTTGACTTTATTATCATAATATTTCGACTTTTAAGTCAACATTTTATAACTTTATTCTCAGTCTGGCAAAAGAAGAAAAAAGGGTGACTCTTTTGCTCCGTGTAACTCGTTGCTTTAGGCCTGTTGCTGTTTCCTCTGGCGTCTGCACACGGCCCTGCAGTCCCTTATATGGGCATTAGTGGGCGGTTACTTATGCTAAGTACCTATGCTAATGAAGCACCTGGCACGCGCGCTGTGCTTACGAGGAAATGGGATTCATCAATCTGAGAGAACAGCTGCGAACAATTCAGCGGCTTACGAGCGCGTTGATGAATCCCACGTGGGGACTTCTTAGAAATCTACTTAAGGACAACTTGAGAAGAAAGTTGAGTAGTTTCTTACGAAGTTATTCGTGAATGAGGCCCAATGTCTCCTTTCATGCGTATGCTGATGACCTGCAGATCTACCTGCCTTTAAATCCCATCTCAGTGTCAACTTCAACACTGCTAGATTGTCTACAGGAAGTACTACTTGGCTGGCCCAAAGTTTTTTAATTCTCAACGAGAGTAAAACTGAGATTATTGTTTTTAGCTCCAGTCTTCCTGTGGAGCTCACTGAGGCACTTGGTGCACTCTCTGCTCATGTCCATTCCTCTGCTAGAAACTTAGGAGTTATTTTTGATAGCACCTTTAGGATGGACAAGCAAATTAATTCAGTAATCAAAGCCAGCTTTTATCAGCTCCGGGTCTTGAGCAAAGTGAAGGCTTACATCCCACCCACTGACTTTGAGCGAGTTATCCACCTTTTTATTTCATCTAGGTTAGATTACTGCAACTGGTTGTACTGTGGTCTGGACCTCGGCTCATTAAAGCGCCTTCAGCAGAATGCTGCTGCTCGTTTACTCACAGGGACACGTAAGAGAGCGAGCACATCACCCCTGTGCTGGCCTCACTTTACTGGCTCACTGTTACTTTCAGGGTTGATTTTAAAGATTCTGATGCTTGTTTTTAAATGTTTAAATGGTTTGGCCCCTGTATATCTGTCAGAGCTGTTATCTCTGTCTGCTCCTGTCAGATCAGTGAGGTCTGAAAACCAGCTTTTGTTGAACGTGCCTCGGTCTCGTCTCAAAACTCGTGGAGACCGAGCCTTTTCTGTTGCTGCCCCCAAACTGTGGAATAGTCTACCTCTGTCCATTAGAGCAGCTCCTTCTTTGGAAGTTTTCAAGTCTAGTTTAAAGACACATTTTTACACCTTGGCTTTTAACACCAATTGAGTTTTATTTTTTATTACCATTTTATTTTTACATGTATGTGTGTGTATTTCATGCTGTTTTCTTTTGTTTTTATCTTTCGGGCCCCGTGAAGCACTTTGAGCAGCTGGTGTTGTTGTATATGTGCTATGCAAATAAAATTGACATTGACATTGAGACTATGACCTGTGCTTCATTATTATTTAGAACACTTGAAATATCAACATGGAACATCCCACTGGACTTAGAAGGTTCCTCAAACCAATGCACTGTTCCACTGACCTCAGGGAATGGTGCACAAAGTTTGGGCACCCATGTGTTACATGATATAGTCTAAAACAGTGAATAAAACATGTGTAATGTGTTGTGTTCTCACCGTCCTCGTAGCAGGAAGAGTTGACTAGGCCTGGCTTGTCCGCCAGCAGCGCGTTGACCTCCACCACCTCTCCGGTCAGAGGGGAGTACAGCTCACTGGCTGCTTTCACACTCTCCAGGGCTCCAAACTCATCTGCACATGGGAAAGAGACTCCAGCTTTGGTCCAGTCAAATCCAAGACCTTTTAACACTTTTAATACAGTTAAGGGAAAATGTGATACAAGACGAATTACTTTTTATATTGCAAAATTAATACAAATCCAAACTATTTCCAGTGCCTGGAATTTAGGATTTTACTTAATTATACTTATTTTCAATTATGTTGGTGGGGAAAGTGGACTTCTTGTATGCATTCTTTGGTATAGGCAAGAAGCATAACCTATAAAAGTGAACTGCAGTGTGTGTCCCCCACCGCGAAAGACAGCAATGCGCTAAGGGGTGCCCAGTCTGCAGTAAACCAAAAGAAGATTATTGATTGTAATTAGGGCAATTTTGACGGAAGACCCGACTCTGCGTTTACCAGGACACTCTAGTTTTATCTTGTCCCTCTCAATGTTGTTCGTCTATGGTCTGTCAAATCTTTTCAGTGACTCATACTGTCGCTTTGTACTCATCCTGCATGTAGGACAGCATTTTTTATTTACAAAACTTTGAGTAATAAGACAAAGTTACGAGAATTAGGACTTCTCTATTCTCTACCTTTCTTTTCTGACTGATGCACAAAGCCAAAGCAATGTCCTAGTCTGTGACTTCCTGTTACTTAAATGGCATATAAAAATGATTCTGATTCTGAAAGCCCCCTCTGTTCAATCCTACAAAGCACAGTTTGTGTTCTTATCTTTGTAAACCAGAGTGAGTACCTTGTTGAGCTAGCTGAGTGCCCACCTCAGGAAGGCCACAGTACACCACATCTCCCAGTGCCTCCTGAGGGACACAACAACATGTCAGAACATGAGTACTACAGGAAAATAAACGGGTGGAAAGACGTACTTGTGCAAACTTGCTGATGCCCACTGTCCCGGTGCCATCCTCTCCCACACGGATCCATTCATGCTTGTCTGTGAACTTAAGAGCTAAATACAAGAATGCAGTGATGAACACAAGGCACCAGGAACAGTGTAACATTTTCAAACAAAAGGAACAGATATAAAGAGTGTTACTAGTTTTGGAATCATAACCTGTACATTGTGTTTTACTTCAGTCAGCTCATCATAATTAGTATTTATCCAGCCCCAAGTGTTGTGGTTGGTATCAGTAAAATGCAAAAAACTGGTCAGACAGTGACAGATTAAACAGCCAAGTTTATCGATATAAACAATAGTTATCTACTAAAACCGTCAGCAGAAAAGACCTTCCAGACTACCACATCTGAAGATGCAGCCACTCATTACAAAAGGCACTTATGCAAAAAACAAAAAAGTAGATTTTTTTTGTGTGCATAATAGAGATTTGGGGGTTTGGTGAGCACAGCCCTAGGTTGAGGTGACTGTCACGGATCCATTCACTTTGATGCATTGTCATTACCGGAGCTCGGTCGCTTGAACACACACCCCCCAGAAGCTGAAGGACACGGCCCCGGTACCTGCGCACACGCGGCTGGAGGAGGCCACGCTCCTGCGGGGATGAGACTGCGGGCCAGAAAGGTTCGTCCGGCAGAGGGTACGGCACACGGACCGGCACACAGGCCGAGACAGCACACGGACTGATGGGCAGAGGCTGGAGCTTAACGCGCGCAGCAGCAGCCCGCAGCCCGCCATGTTTGTCGCGGAGTGATGACACGCCGCAGACACACGGACTTCTTCTCCAGAGTGAGTGGGCTGTATGACAGTTCTACAGCGTTACTGCTCCCTGCTGGAGAAAGGCCACTAGTCTAGTATCGTACATTGAGCATGTTCTAAAACACAAGAAGACAAGTGTGCCCTCACCTGCAGATGGCGCTGCTGTGCCACATTTGCCCTCTGCACACTGTGGTCACGGATGGATCAGGGACTTGTTCATCTGTGCTTCTGTAAAGGATCACCTGTTCTTTCATGTGGACACGGGACGATTACAGGTGATCTTGAAAATGTTTGTTGAGTTCAATGTACATAACATTCATTAATTTGCAAAGTCAATTGTAGATTTTACAAGACAATATCTTTGACATGAACACATCTGTTTCATATTGTTCATGTCACTCATGTTTAACTAACACTACATGATGTGTCCTAACTTGACCATTTATTGTCCCTTGACCATTTTACCTCATTGAGTCATTTAGACCCCTTTAGGTCTTTTTTTCTTATACTTTGAATCATCTGTTATATTGACCCAAGTATAGCACCGAGTAAGTACTTTATTTATATAGCACACTGGGTCAAGTATTGGACTTTTCTCTTCTACTTGGAAATCTAATCTCTTTTATTCTTCGGCCACCAGCAGAAAATAAGAAAACATACGACATTCACAGATTACAGACCGAAAAGGTTAGGCTGAACTTTAAGACTTTGCTTTTTACATTCTTCACACTTGTATCCCTGCTCTGTCCATGGTGCTGGAGACACACAAGGTCCTCTGGTGGATGATCACAGGAGCTGCAGCCAAAATGAAACTCAAGTCTGAAGTATGTGTACAAAAATATAAATGCTTCATACTTTAATACAACATATGGAAGATTGTGTATCCAGGAGAGAGCAATCCCTTTTGTGGGAAATGAAAATATTCTGTCAGTAGTTGGGCATATTGTTGATTTCCAACGGCAGATTAGAAAATCAAACAATTAGAACATCACTACTGTGAGAGAGGATCCACTCCCATGAATGGACAAGTTGTATATATCCAAAATTGAGGCTGTAGATCCAGGACTGGGGGAGTAGATGCAGGACTGATGCTGTTGATCCAGGACTGAGGCTGTAGATTCAGGACTGAGGCTGTAAATTCAGAATTGTGGCTAAAGGACCAGTACTGTGACCCCAGATCCAAGATTGAGGCTGTAGATCCAGGACTGAGTTCAAGTCTGTTAGAGCCACAGTCACCGATTCTCGCTGAGGATACGCAGAGGGTCACCAAGTAGAGGAGGGGACTGGACCCCTTCCATGGGTCCAGGTCCAGGTGGCTGGGTTCCAGGTTCCCATGATTGGGCCATGAAACATGAGACTACAACAGAAGTCTTGTATAATGAGGACAGGAAAGGATGGTGCTCAAGTTACCTCACACTCAAACTATGTTTTTTGTTAGTATCACCACAATCCAGAATGTGAGGATTGGTATTATTTGTTGCAATGCTATAGTTGTATCACCAGATTCAACCAGTTTTCCCTTTAGTGAATAATGTTGCTGAGTTGAGGATGTATCACATAGAAATCTCTCACAAAATCTAAAAATATTCATGCCCTGTCAGAGTTTAGTGGCTCCTAAAGATTTTTTGAGGACCTTGCTACAGAAAAACGTATCATCCTCTCAATAGAGCATCACACACACTGTTCCCACTCTCAGCTCAGTCTTACAACTCTTTTTGGCCGCGAGGCACATCTCTAATCCCACGTTCTTGCTCATAATAGCACTAAAAGAACCATTATTATGCGGTTTGTTGCCTTCGTGGCCCATTGTCTAAACGGAGAAGGATAGAATGGCCTCACAAAGCTCTCTGTAATCTTATGAACACAATAAAACCACAATGGATGTGCATTTTGGATGACTTTGGCTTACAGACGCGCAGTATAGGAGTTATCTGACAGAGTGGTTACTTTGTCTGTGCTTGTGTTATCTGAAATGAAGCAGCCACAAGGACTTACGTCTTTGACTGGCACTTATGAGAGAAGGGGAGGTGTTAGCGGTCCAGGAGTTATATCGTAGTAGTAGTAGTAAAATTAGTGGTCTACCCTACTCGGTTCTACTCTACACCAATTGTCATTTCTACTGTTCCTGTTTAAACTGTACCAAGTATTTAGTACCTGCTTGGTAGTGATTCTATTGTGCAGTGGTTCGCACTTGTGCTCCACAGCAAGAAGGTCCTGGGTTCGATTCCACCTCCAGGTGTGTTTCTGTGTGAAGTTTGCATGTTCTCCGGTTTCCCCTACCACTAAAAACATGTCCAATAGGTCTGGCATGCACCTCCTGTACGACGACCATGTATGAGAGGACAAATGCCCACAACAAGTGTGAAGCGCTTTGTGACTCTGGTCTATGAAAGGAAGGCGCTATCACTGTCAGCTCGAGTGACACCTATACTCCTCAAACCGCCACCAACTAAAGCCTGTTCTCGCGTCAGTGCTGGGTAGAATACTTGTATTCCGTTGAATACAAGTATTCTACTGAATACTTGTATACTGAAATACCTAAAATGCTATTTTGTACAGCATTCTGTGAGTTTGGAAAAAGTACCTGTATTCCGAATACTTAAAATACTTTTATTTATACTTTTAACTGCATTTTTGTGTGTATTTTTTGGACTTTTGAATGCGCTGGAAAGAGCGGGCTAGTCCAAAATAGCTCTTCTGTTTTTTGCTTTATAATTATGAAGCTGAACATGCAGATTCAGACTGAAAGACCAGTGTTGGGCACGTTACTTTGAAAAAGTAATTAGTTATAGTTACTAGTTACTTCTCCCAAAAAGTAACTGAGTTACTAACGGAGTTACTCCACTATAAAAGTAACTAGTTACCAGTAAAAGTAACTATTGCGTTACTTTTTCGTTTTGTTCTGGAACATAATGTGCACCCGACGTGCGCATTTTTACCTTTAACAGTGCCAATATTTCCATCTAGAAAAGTCTGTTTTGCTGCTGAAGTCCTGTTCACTCTTCATCTCTCACTGTGCTGTAAGCACTAAACACCAACACCCGCCACTGTGAATGTGGAAACACCGGTGACGAGCGGTGAGGCTGGTGAAGCACTGACTTCAGTCCAATCAGATGAACATATACATCATATAAATCAAGTGGACAATTTGTTTGGCTACAGTAAAATATGTTTTATGCCCGCATTGTTTGTTCATACAAAACGCAAAACTATGAGTTATGGGTCTTACCTTATAAATGATCTGCACAGTCCACTTCGGTTCAGACCAGTTCCTTGTTTAAATCCAGTTAATGGTTTGAGCGTAGATATGTAATCCTCCATTTGGAAATGAGTCCAATGAGTTTTAAAAAGTAAAACAAAACGCGTGTGTCCTCCATAAACTCCTGTGTTTTGCTAGCGGCAGCCGAGTGCATCCAATTTCTAAAATCAACCGTCTTACACTTCACCTCTCTTTCTTATCATTCCTATAGTCATTGAAAAATTACCCTATGTGCATTTTAGATTATGTAAAAATGTGTTATATGTATGTTAGCCAAACCTGTTGCTGTCCTTAGCAGATAAACCAGGAAGAGCAAGGAGCTTATCGATGGAATTGTATGCAGCCGACTTCTGCGCTCACATGCGCTCCTCTGAGGCTGACCCATGCCGTGGTTGAGCGCGATTAAGACCCATATTTGTTTCAAAAACACAATTTATGAGCCATCCTCTCAACTGTAGACATGTGGATTGTAAAGGAAATATGTTTTACATCAGCCAATAATTGCTGAGAGGTTTTCTCATCCTCCCTTCTCTCATGACAACACGTTCATTGTGCGTCTTGAGTAACGCGCAGTAACGGGATGTCGGAAATGATAACGGCGTTATAGTTACTGTCAAAGTAATTAGTTAGATTACTCGTTACTGAAAAAAGTAACGCCGTTAGTAACGCCGTTACTAGTAACGCCGTTATTCCCATCACTGTGAAAGACCGGCCACAGCTCTCACCCGTCCAAGGCCCGCCAGGGCCTGCCAATCACACCGCTCTGCCAGCCTCTCGACAGTGCTCTTACTACTGTCCTATATGTGCGATGCAACATCGAAATTTCCCCACTGTGGGACGAATAAAGGAATTCTTATCTTATCTTCTAGCCACCACCAGTGCTTGACCCTGGGGATTCTGAGATCATCTACAGCAGCAGACGATCTCCCCTCTGCAAGTGTCACTGCCGGGGTCAATGCGCAAATCAAATAAATCTTTTTCATGCATTAATGTTTCTGTCTTGGTCTCTTCAGATTGAAATTACTTTTTGTTTTTCTACATGAGATGTTGCTGCAGTACAGTGTTCATGGTTTTACAAGGGTCCAGACCAGAACGGAGAGGATTCATGGTCTGAAACAAGCGGATCAGGAAAAAACACAGTGGAGGAATGCTAACTTTTTGAAAAATGCTAACAAAGCATTCAGCATTTCAACTTTGGACAAGAGCAGAGAAAGTGGTCCGAACCAAGAAGCTGCTCCACCTTGTGACCTTTCCTGCTCCACCCAGTAGCTACTCCATCACCCGTCCTGCTCCAACGGCTACTCTACCTTTGCTGCTGTGACCTCATGTGCTGTTGCATTTTATTATTACTATTGTTAGCTTTTTAGAATGTTCAATTTATTTGTTTTGTTTGTATGGATGGATCTATCTATCCTTCTATTTTATTCATTGTAAATTAATGTTTATTCGCAACACTTAAAAGGTAAATTTCATCAATCCATCCTTCCATCCATTTTCTTCCACTTCATCCGTTGCCGGATCGCGGGGGCAGCATCACGCCCAGACTTCCCGATCCACACACACTTCCTCCAGCTCGTCCGGGGGGACCCCAAGGCGCTCCCAGGCCAGCTGAGAAACATCGTCCCTCCAGCGTGTCCTGGGTCTTCCCCCTCCCTCCAGGTGGGACATGCCCGGAACACCTCCCCAGGGAAGCGTCCAGGAGGCATCCGGAACAGGTGCC